ACAGCTGAAGAGAGAGCTTCTTCGTCTCGGCAGTTGGTTGTTCAATCCATTGCAAGAGAAATGGCCCGTCACGGGGCTGCCAGATCGGGTTAGTGATGCCGAAGAGGGAATGGTGGCATGATGTATTGTCGTAATACCGTTACACAGTTATTGACACCTGAGGCATCTAATGAGTTCCCATCTACAAAACAAAGCGCATGACTGCACGAATTTCAGATGAGAAGATATTGTTGCTACTATGCACGATATGAAAAGAACGTGACAATCATCTCAAATGTCCTTCTTGGCTTGGCTCACCTGCATGTCAGTTTGGCAAGTTGCGAGTACCCACATCAAGAGCATTCAAAGCTGCGCCACGATCCCGGTAAGCAGCGCATGCCTATTATTAGATGCTATACTCTGTCTCAAATGGTTATCATACCTATGGGTCATCCACACTAGTTACGGATGAATAGTTACGGATGAGCGCATCGTATAGTGATACTCAACTTCCTGCTTAGTAGTAGTTATCTATCTATTGTGGTTGCAATGCCATCGTATGTACCTTATCATAAGCCCATCAATATGTGTTAGACACGTAACAAGGAGGCAAATGACTGCCAGCCAGCTTTTGCTTCTAGGATATCTTTTCATTCATATCTACATTCCTAGAAGGTATGGCTGCTACTACCGAAGCCGCCAAGTTCGTTCGTTGGAGTTGTTGAATATAACGAATCTTACAAGGCTCCAAATGCCCACTGCTTTTGAAAAACGAAGACGACAGATTCACGCGGTTGGGGTACCTATATTCCGAGATGTCGAGGCTGTCCCTAACCCCTGGGCAACATATTCGCACGTTTTGGGAGGGCGACCATTTTAATGAATATGAACGAGAATTGAAGGATGAGCGTGCACGCGTAACTTCCGATTATCTGCAAGACTGCGACTTTGTTTTATATTGCTATAATATTCCAGGAGTAACTGGAGAGCCTTGTTGCCCCTGGTGTTTAATTAGTGACCTAGAGCTATGGCTAGGGAGAGAGCTTGGAGCCTATGCTATCAGAAGCCGCCGCCGCCGTGAACTTATCTGTTATGGATACTAGCCGATAACTGCTTGTATGTGACAAGATTATGCGTATTGCTATGAGGCATGTACACTTGCTAAAGAACTCATTATGCCACAAAATTTTGATAAATACATCTAACGACGTTGGAATGCAAGCTGCAAAGGAGGCAGACTCGTAGTAAAAGTATCCTGTGCTCCCGTTTCGAAAGCCTCCCCCGTCTCGCCAGGCGCAAACGAGAAGTTATACTGCTGGGCTATGGTTGATATGCTGGTCCGCAGACTGATCATGGCCAGGTTTTTCCCGGGACAGATATAAGGGCCTATTCCAAATGTCAATTTGGGTAAACCACAAGGGAAACCATCACCTACCTGTCAGGAATGGGATGAAGGGGGCACCATCGGTCTTCATCTCGTATCTCTTCTCACTCCATCGCTCTGGAATGAATTCCTTAGCGCTTTCGTAGTATCTTTCGTCAGTCTGAATTAGCTGAACGGGCACGAAAACAATGGTGTCTCCTGGTATATGGACTTCATCAACCTGAAGTCCTTCAGCTGGCGTGACACGATAGCCCCCGGTCATTACAGCAGGGCGTAGTCGAAGTGTTTCATTAATAATGTCATCAATGAATGTAATATCCTTGACCTTATCATAGCTCCAGTCATCTGCTCCGCCCGGCATAGCCTCGTCAAGTTTCTGGTGGAGCTTAGCCAGCACAGATGGATGCTTAGCCAGATAATAAAGGACGGTCGCCAAGGTGGTGGCTGTGGTCTCACTTCCTGCAATAATAACTGCCCTTGAGTCCTCATTGAGTGCCATACGAGACGGGGCAGCAGAAACACTTCGCTCCACATATGCTTTGAGAAGCCACGAAACAACATCTTCTGGATATGCATTGGCGTCCCAAGTCTGTATAATAGCATGACACGGCACAATCATTAGAGACTTGCTATTAGGTTGTCACAATGAGGGTTACATACCTTCTGTTTCCTTTCGATTTCATCCGCGCACCACTTGAAGAAGCTCGAGTAGCCGGAAACGGCTCCAGGGATACGGCAGAGTATATTGAGGAGCCACGGGACCTGTAATAGAGTAGCACCGGCGGCCATATGGTCATGGACTCCTTTGATCGCTGGATGTTCCACCCCGGTGGTCAGGTTGTGGAAATCTTTGCCAAAGCCGACGTCTCCCATTATATCAAAGCTAAGAAACATTGTCCAAGCCGTCACATCGATCGGTTGGCCCAGATTCTTTGCTACATGGGAGGCAAGTAGATCCGCCTTGCTTTTGACTCGGGGCTCATAGATTCCGAGAGCTGAACGGCATTATGATATTAGTCACTGGGTTCATGGAGATGATATTGGAGAGCCTTTCCGGGCTAACATACCTTTTATGCTGAAACCCTGGTCCCACGCCTTTCTCCGCTTTCGGTGGTCATCATGATCACGAGTGCAATGCACGGAGCAGTACTTGGGATTTGTTGACACATGGGCATACCATGTTGACTTACTGCATTTGGACTGTGGCCCAAAGAGCAAAGGTATGGCGGACTTCCGTACAATGCAGACCTCGCGTGGACCTATAATCGCGGAATACATTACCTCTTGGACGAGGAGATGGATAAGTAACTAGCGGAGGATTACCAGTTCGAATAAAGTCGCCATATTCGTGATGAAGTCTTGCGATCTCCACGTTGTATTGGAGATCTTTGCCTGCCAAGTAGGCATTATAGAAGCGAGATATCTTGGCACCTACTGGACCTGGGAAGTGATGCAGGCGATGGAAAAATAATCTATAGATGCCAATACTGGAGATGAGACCCGTGTTGAACGCGGATGAGATAAGTATCACTCTAAGAAGAGCTTGAGCGACCGAGAACTGCGTCAAAGTCAAGTATGCATATGCTGTTGATAGAACTGCGACCGCATAGAGTGCAAGCAATATGAAGAGATAGTCTTCGACCGGAAAATTGGTGCGAAAGAGACTGACGTGCGAAAGCAGCCCGAACCCCGCGGCAGAGGCTGCGAGGCTGAGCAGATCCGATTCCAACACAGCCCGAATGTCTGTCAACGAGACAACAGATGAAGAGAATTGCATTGTGCTCATACACCGATCTAAGAGGCTATAGAGATTGGAGTTGTTTCAGGTCCAAATGAAACAGGGTGGAGCAGCTGATATTTAATGTACAGCGTAATAGTTGTAGAGCGAGCCATGGATGCGGACATGCTGGCATGTCTGTTTGCAGCCGATGCTCTGTCATCCGATCGACAAACCTAATGCCAGTGGTTAGGCGTCCAACGCTGTGCTGGCATAAATGACTGCTAATGCTCACTCCAGTCTGTATTACCGTGATAAACCTAGTAATTTTAATTCAGCAATAATATGACCCTACGGAGACATAAGCTGGATGCATGACGCGCAATACAATATAAACTGTTGACAGCCACAAAACACTAGTGGACATCTAGTAGCTTATAGTACTAGTACTGCAGAGTCTGTCTCTCATTGAACAAGAAGATATATATATTAGAAGCACTGAAATAATATTCAACGAAGTCTAATTATCACAACGTGGTTATAACATACCACTATGTAGATGCAATTTTTCGTGTCAAGTAGTACTAATAGCATCATGATATAGAGCCACATGACCACATCATTAGTCCCAGATATGTATGCATATGAAAGCATACAGATGTATTCCACATGCTTCTTTCAATAATGTCATAGATCTATATGGTTGAGCTTCTAAACCCGGGTGCAAACGTCTTCTATCCTATCCAGCCATCACGACATCAGGGTTTTTCGGAGAGACCAAGGACGTTTCTCTCACAACCCGGTCCAGAAGAAACACAATAGTATTTTTAGCGCTTCAAACACCTTCTCCAGTTGTATGATTTCAGAGAGTACTGAAAATCGAATCACTAATAACACCTGTGTACTTCCTTAAATTGCTGTTGTTTTTCTCATACAGACAACCTTCGAAGAGTAGTAGTCACTTAGATTTCCGAATACCTTGTCGTTCACTTTTTTCTCCTAGACCATATTTCCATGTAACACCACTCACTCAGTTATACCCCACCTCTTTTGCTTTCAGGATAAAGCGATTGTTCTACTCTTTGTCGGAGTCCTTATACCAAAGGGTATAATCTGCCTTCCCTGTGAGGCTTCGCCGCTTTTCACAGAACGTGTCCATTGAATCAAGCTTACTCCCACATTGTAGAGACATACGCTGGGTAGTTGATTCACCTTGCTATGGTCGCTTGAAGATAGTCCAACGGCGTAGGTAGCGCTGGGCAATGGATGAGAGTTCCATTGAGTGGAGAACCTGAGAAATCATGAGGATAGAGAGGCCTGATAGTCGTCGGAAAGAACGTTGTTATATCTGTAATAGGTTTAAGCGCGCGCAAGACAAAAAATGGCTTCCACCAGGGAAGCTATGTTGATGCATGTTTAGGAATCCATGCTCAAGAGATACTACTCATTTATTAAGCTTCTAAACTCCACATTTTAGACCACAGGCCATTCCCAAACATTATACCTAATCTTTCTTAGTCCCTCAATTTTCCGACGCTATCTGGTTTAATTTCACGCAGCGTGTCTTGGCGCTGGGCCCGGATATTAAATTGTGGGTTGGAGGTTGTTTCATATTCACATGAATAAAAGCTTGGATCTCTAGAGTAGTCTGCACGGACCTTTCACAGTTCTGGAGTCCACTAAGTGGGCGTTGCGTGGATTGAAGCAGGATTGAAGGTCGCTAACTTCGCTCCGCATCCCAACGTCAATTGCGAGAAGATAACAAGCAGACGAGCTGATAAACATCCAAACATGATTAGTTATTGGTACTGCGCAGTCTATCTACTTAATATGTCCGTATATAAACCCTTTCTAGGCTTTCCTATACGTGGACAAACGAGACTTAACGCTCTCCCCTACCAGCCCACACCAAAGGGACATTCACAGCCCCGTAAACCGACTCCTCTCCCGCAACCGCGCCCCGAAAAAGTAAAGCAGGAACATACCCACAATACAAAAAACACTAAGACTCGCAAGCAGAGTCACTCCACCAGAGACCTTAATCCCCTGGAACATTAGGCGAGAGAAGAGAATAGAAGCACCAGCAAGTAGACTGCGCGCGAAGCCGTTGGCGGCGAACAGCGAGCCCGCGTATCGAGGATACGTGAAGGGGAGGTAGATGAACATGCACTGGGTGATGATAAAGACGCCGCACATGCTGATGGCGATGCCGACCAGGCTGACGATCCAATGGATGGAGGGGGAGGAGGTCCATGCTGGAGGATATTGATTAGTATAAATTACAACCTTCACAGACAAAAGAGAATCGAGGAGAAGTTAAAGGACAGGAAGAAGAACGTACCAAAGATATACAATCCTATTGGAATAAGCCATGTCGCGAACAACCCCGGCCAAATACGAGCTTCAGGAGGCACAGGATCAAGCTTCCCCAGCTGCTTTGGGGCAATAAAGTAGAAATATGCGCATAGAAGACCGACCGCAACACAGAGGCCGCACAGAACAGCAAGGAATGCGAGACCCCGCTCGCCCAGAGTGAAGCCGTACATGTCTGTATACACGAGGGGGAAGGACTCGAAGAACGAATAATAGATTGCATATGTAAGCGCAGTGTAGAAGGTTGAGAAAAGAACAGCAGGGTCAAGAGCATTTATCTCCCATGGTTTGATGAGAGCGTTGAATGTAATTGCTCTTGGACTCATCTTTGACTGACGAATCTCGGACTCGGACTTGATGTCTATGCAACCTGTTTGAGTGCGTAGGCGTCGAGCGCGGCGGAGCAGGATGTTGTCTGATGATGTCTCAGGCATACTGAGGAACATGATAACCATTGTGGGGGCTGATAGCCAAAGGAGCTCCCACGAGCTCCAACGCCATCCCATTTTCTCGACGGCGAATCCGGCAACCAGTGGGCCGAGGGCCTCGATATATTGTTAGTATAGTAGGTGTGAGTATTTGTAGGAAATGAACGTACTGGGCCAAGAGTTGCACCTCCGCCCCATAGAGCTATCACATAGGGCATTTCCTTTGCGCCGTAGAAATCGCCGTAGCTTGCGCCGGCCGTAGCCAGGCAGGGCGAGCCGAAGAAGCCAAGAAGGAAGCGGAGAATAAGAATACCCGCAATATTATTAACCAGAGCCATAGGAGTGCAGAGAATGACAAAGAGGAAATAAGTGACAGTGTACGGAAGAGTGCGACCGACGGCTGGAATCTCTGACAGAGGCGAGAAGAGCATGGGGCCTAGACCATAAGCAAGGACATACATGGTTAATCCCAGCTCGGCCACTTCGTCACCAACACCGTAGATCCGCATGACGTCCGGCTCACTGGCAGTATATAGCGAGGAGCCGATATAAACGGAGAAGGTGTAGACAAAAAGTAGCATGGCAACCCAGAGCTTTTTTCCGGAGGACCAGTTGTGTGGGTTTTCTGGATCATTCTCGCCATACCAGCCGATTACTGATGGATTGGGTTCTTTATTGCCCTTTTCCGGATCCCCGATGAGCTCTCCATTGGAGGAGGAAGTGGATGAGGAGGAGGTGGAGGGCTCGAGGGATCCAGCTGGTAGTTGGAAACCAGGCTGATCCTCAGGGTATCCGGCCAGCTTCCCACCACTGGCTAGCCGTAGGCATTGGCCAAAGGTAGAGTCACGAATGATGTCCCACATGGTTGAAGATTGAGGATTGCAAGACCATGATGATAGAAACGAAGAAACACAAGGGCCGATGAGAGGCGGACATCTTCAATCATTCTTATATGTTGGCAGCCAGGTGGTTGCATAGAACAGTACTCCGTGTGCTTGACAGAAGATAGTATGGAGACCGCGCAAAGCTAGCTACAAGGGGTTAGCGTTGCGCGGTGATCGACGGGATGACATTACTAGCGTGTGGCCAATATCCAATCAACACCAGTCGGTGGAGAAGATCGGAGGAAAAAGTCACCTGGAGGAATTCAGTGACGGTAAGAGCATCAATAAATGTTAATTGCTAGGGCGTAGGGGAAAGAAGTGAATGCAGGTTGGTATGTATTTGCTAGTGCTGGGTATATTCCTTACATAAAAATCCACAGCCTCAGGTCTATGGAAAGGCAAGCTAAACGTCGTTGTATTACGTAGTCTGACTCTCAAGTTATAACTGTATCAACTTGCTCGCAGAGTCGCCCAATACCGTCAGTATTCATTGCTAAAAGGTAGTAGATACAAAGAAATACCAGCACCATGCCCTCGGCAGATCTCACCTCGTCGCCCGAGGATTTTCTTACCCAAACTTACGACTATCTCATCATCGGTGGAGGAACAGCCGGCTTGGTTGTCGCATCACGGTTGTCTGCAAACCCTGATGTGAGAGTAGGCGTCATTGAGGCAGGAGATGCAGGGTTTGATGACCCAAATTTCACCAATCCTGGGAAGATTTCGGCCATGCTACATAATCCCAAGTATGACTGGATGTATCAAAGCACGCTGCAGCTAGGTTTCCGACTCTTTACGCTTCGAAGCTGTCTAAAGGCTCCCTAGGCGCAGAATCAAAGCCGATCCCATCACATCCCCCGAGGGAAAGTTCTCGGAGGATCAAGCGCCATCAATTTCATGGCATATGGTAGACCTTCCGCGGTTGACCTCGATGACTGGGGCACGATAGCGGAAAATAGCGATTGGTCATGGGCAGGGTTAGCTCCATATTATCGGAAGAGCGAACACCTTGAGTCGGCTGGACTGACCGCCCCTGCATCTGATCTTTGTCCCGTTCAGGAAGAGGCTCATGGTACGCAAGGCCCGATTCACACTACGCTAGGTCCCTGGCAAGCCCCTATCGAGACCCCCCTGCTAGCCGCAATGAATGAGATGTCAGGGCTGTCTCGGCCCCAGGAGCCGTGAAGTGGGGAGCACTTGGGATTTCATCGCTGCCTCTTTACTATCGATCGAAGCACCGGTCTCCCACGTCGTAGTTACTCGGCCGGGTATCTATGGCCAGTTTTGAGTAGGTCAAATCTTCACGTCCTGAACAACGCGGCAGCCACCAGGATAATACTTGATGACAAGCAGTGCGCTTGTGGGGCTGAATTCGTCTTTGACAGTAACCACTATCAGGTCACCGTCACACGCGAGGTTATTTTATCAGCCGGTACTTTCGAGAGTCCCAAGTTGCTGGAGCTGTCAGGTATCGGAGAACCTGAGCATCTCGCCTCCTTGGGGGTCCCATGCCGGGTTCCCCTTCCAGGTGTTGGGACGAATCTCCAGGAACATCCCGTGTCCGCGGTGGTGTACGAGCTAGCAGATGGAGTACTGTCCATAGAAGCAATCCTGCGTGACGAAAGCTTGCTAAAGCAGCACCTGCAACTGCTGCAAGAACAGCATTCGGGGGCGTTTTCTGGCCCGGTCAGTCTGATGGGGTTCATCCCTTACTGGCCCCAGGTCTCGGCTGAGCGGCTCAACGAAACCATCGTCAGCGTGCTGCAGCCTCATAGTGATAATGCCACCGACGATCCCGACTTGGTGACATTCCAGCACCGATAGCGCCAACGCATTGCCGCGCAATTTATTGGACCCCCGGTCAGCAGATATCCAGCTGGTGGGTTTCCCGTCAGCACTTGCTATTTACCGGGTTTATGCCGATTGCAGCAAATTTAGCCCGGGTCCTCCCCCAGGCCGGAACGCATGCTACTCGCTCATGATCAGCTCCATGTATCCTGCCTCCCGGGGAAGCTCCCATGCGCAGTCTCGGGACCCGGAGGCTGCACAAAGAGTGGACTTGGGATTCCTGACAAACCCCGCTGATTTAGACGTTCTCGCGACGGTTGTCATGGTTGCGGATAACATCTTCCAATCTCCCCGTATGAAGGGGCAGGTCTTGGCCCGGGTGCAGCCGCCGCCAGAGGTCAACTTGCAGGATGTAGAACAGGCGCGAGAATATGTCCGGGATCGGCTGATGAGCTATCATCATGCGCTCGAACATGTGCTTTGGGTCGGTAGTAGATGAGAGATTATGTGTCAAGGGCACCCAGGGTCTGCGTGTGGTCGATGCTAGTGTCATGCCAGCCCAAGTCAGTCATGCTGTGCTCGGCACGGTATATGCGGTCGCGGAAAAGGCTGTTGACTTGATTGAAAGCACTCACCTTCATTCAAACGGGTGTCAGTGAGCTTTGTACCCTGTTAGGTGCTCTATCCGGATAGAGAACTTGGAAGGATGTTGGTAAATCAATTAGTGAGATAACAACACTGTACGGCTGTGACTCTTGTCCATAACTATGTCTCAGTATGCGCAAGATCTATGAAATTTTGGGCATCGGTACCTGTCTCCAATCGAATCATGTTATAGCTGCGTCCGCTTCTCGGCAGGATGTAGTAGCATGCCCGCCCAAATCAGGACATGTCCTTCCGCCGTTTCCTGGAAAGGCAAGTTGGAATACCCCTGAAAAGGCATTTTAGACACATATGAGCATAACGATAGAGATGGTACTACCTTGGACATAAGCATGCCTTGTCCGATCCCCATATGTTGCCCAATCCAGGCAAGACACTTCAAAGCGTGGTTTTGAATAGGCCGTGGCACTGCCGAGCAAGTAGAGAGTACAAATAAAGGATGTAACAATAATAGGCCTCCCACAGAGCGACCAACGCCTGGAGGACTGTTGAGTGAGAGAATGTCTTGCTGATACGCGTGCAGATTATTGGCAAGGTGGTATGGAATAGATGCGACGATATCATAGATTAGGATGTGAGCCTGCTTCTCCCATCTGGTCACGTTATCTGTCCGAATGGTGCCGCCCATTCGAGATGCAAGACGGATTAAGACATCCAATAGCATCAAATATGTCTTTCGATATGTGTTCATGACAGCTGCAACATATATGTCAAAGTAAGCATGTACGGGGCCGCCCCATGCAAAGGGACATGATGAAGCTTCGGCATCCTGCTGGCTCATAAAGCCCACTATATCAGCCTTCCAAGATACATCCTGAGTAGGACCCCATTGCGAGAAGGCAAGTTCGATAGCAAGAGCACGATCAAGGGTTTTTTGTAGTTCGTAAAATGAGGCTAATGGATCCTGTAGCTGCGTGTTTGCATGCTCAAAAAGGGGGTGGCATTTTATCAGGATGGAATCCAAATTGTGCACAGCATGGTTCGACGCGGGCGCACAAAGAACCCCGCGGTTATCTTGAACCTGGCATTAGGTTAGCATAGTGTTATCCGGGATGTGTTAATAATCCGAACCTGGAGATCACGCTTAATGAGCAAAGGGTTTGCCACTTGAAACAACTGCGTGCTTGAGAGTAGATCAAAAGGAGAATTTGGGCTCAACAGCAAAGCACAGACCCCTCGGACATGGGCAACATGCTTCTGTTGCTCTTGAGTAATCTCATCACTGCTCACAATCTCATAAAGGCCGAGAAGGATAGCAATCACCAATGATTCCACGGTAGGTGCTCGTAGCTGGCAGCAATGCAGCAGGTCCTGGAAGGAGCATAGTAGACCAGTATACTGCCTTCTTGCCCTGGCTAAAAGATCCGGCCGAGAGATTTTATTGCCCAGGGTTGCCCAAGCGACAATCTCGACGGCCCGGACGAGGTCTGAAGAGGGATGAACGCTGGCGAGGAGCGAGGGTAAACCATCCAGGAACCCGCGGGAGACTCGAGAATCTCTCGAACAGACAACATACTGGTCAAGGAATAGACCAACAGGATCATTCGTGGTCACTATCCTGCTTTGGGGCGGGAAGAGCAATTGGACAGGCTTGTTCGCAGGAACTACATAATGGCGGAAGCGTAATTCGTCATTGCTCCTGTACCCGAGGCAGATTCTCCCCGATTGAAGACAGCGACTACAAGCCTGTCCAACGCAGAGCCTAATGTTAGCCTGGCATCCCTGGGGTCCCCGAAAATGGCCCGTGGTTTCTTACAGGGCGGCCTTCATCACACTATACAACTCTCAATATGATTAGTCTGGCACTGTGTTGTCGCCCACAAAATGGGTATTTTACCTTCTTCCGCCGTTTCCTGCAGGTCTCACAGGCACGAGAAACGCCGTAGTTTACCATATCAAATGTATTATGTTGGGACACATATCTCTCCGTCGCCTAGCTAGTCAAGAGCGGTTTATTGTTTTTAGTCTAGCGGTTAGTGCTTCGACATACTATATCGGTCAGATGGACTAAGAGGACTTCATAAATGAGATTAGTTAAGATTACATTGAGGTCAGACAAGACGAAATCAGGTGACGTCAGGTGATACGCCATGTAGTAGTATGTATGCCACTGCACTACTCATGAACTGGGGATGAAAATAGCTTCAATACTACGACATCACATTTAAATATCGCATAATGGTGCTTAATTAGAAGTTCTGCCTTTCCCAAGATCCACTTACTGAACCTTGACACGATCCCAGAACCCGATACCGTTAAACTGCGCTCTTCTCACTGGGTCTGACAGAGAAGAACCTAGCAAGTGGCTCGACAATATCAAATTGGCATAGCTACATCTGCAACTCGAATGCATACCGAAGAAAAGCCTTTTCCGACATTGAGGACCAGTAACCTGACTGAAGACTAGACTTTTGAGGAGTTCATTAATAGGCGTAGATGACACTGGAACACCTAAGGCTCAAGAAGAACGACTGACACGTCATTCGATGCCTCGACTGCTGGGAAAGAAAGCGCAAGTGGGATGAAGGAGACTGTTGAGGAAGACTTGAAATGACACCGAAGGTACATAGTAATTTCGATCTTGACCTGCCCGCTAGGGTTCCAGCATAATGACCTCAACGAACTGAGCATACTTATGAATGTAGCCAGTGGCACTTGGGTAATTGTTTTATCGCGCTAATCAGTAAATAAAATGTACTATTCATCTGGAGAGTAAATGGAGAGGTATGTCCCAGCATAAATTGTACTTAGCCATACGATCAGTGACATTTCCATCAAGAATAACACCAGACTGTATCCGACGCTCACTGTAATCAGACACTCTACCTAATTCTCTTCTGCTGCATAAGCGGCCTGACCTACAGACGTCTTGTCGATCTCCCTCCCAGGAGCTGTGATGATTTGAGTCATATATCCATCTGGCACTAAGTACATCGCGTGAGGTAATGGTTATAATCACGTATGTTGCATAATATCATCCCAAGTCTTGATGCAGCCATTGTCAGCAGATGAGAAGGACGAGCAGAGGTTTATAAGTTGGCTGTGAATATGCTGCGCTTCCCATGTCTTAGGTATCAAACAAAGTAAGTACTTTATTCTTTCCTCCCCACTGTTCTCTGGGTGACTTTGGTCGGTAACGAACTCTATTGCAGTGTTCCCATTTTTATCTTTCCTGGAGATTAACCAAATCGATGTATAGGCTTCTAGCATCCGAGCTCGACGTATATGCCAGGTGATGTCCCCACCCGGACGGATACCCTCTAGAAAAGGGAAGACCGAATTTACCGACGGCATGGAGAAGGCTGTGGAGATAATCAGGTTCATATTCAATGGACCTACACCTTCTGAAGGAAGAGGCTGCGATTGACTAACCATCAGGTCGGAACCTCACTCTCAGGATTATTAGTTCCAACAGTTCCTCTTGGAGAGGTTGAATCAGAGCATCCATGATCACTGATTGAGTGGCCCCGATGGTTTCGACAAGATGTTCACGAAGGTCTAGCTTTTCTGCTCTAACCAAACCTTAGCTCAGATCCTGTCAAGGAGTCGCTTTTCTTAACTTACCTTTCAAATACCTGCGATTCGACCATGGTTTGTTCGTACCTTGATATGTTCTTCAGTGGACGCGGTAGACTAAAACTTAGCAAATAAGGCTTGACCGGTGAGAAGGTGTACGAATGGGAAAAGTCATATAGAACTGTGTCAAAGAAATCCATCGGAAGCCTGAAGTGCTCATCTTTAATGTCTCCATGAGTGATCCCAAGGCGATGCAATGTCAGAAGACGTCGAATACGGTCAGTAAAGAGAGAGTCATAGTAATCCACTTCGAAATCACTCAGGGAACCTAGACCGCTGAGCTTGTCCTTGAACTTATCCCCATGACTATGTTCTTTGTGTGCTGCTAGGATTCGTCGTGATGACAGCTTCGGCCTGATACATTCTAAGGCAATGGCTCGATGTTTAGCATAGGGGCTGCCAAGGTACTTTTTGAGATCCTTAATGACACCATGAAACTCTGGGAAGTAGATTCTTTGAGAGCTTGTACATGAGGCGTCAATGCGATGAAACACTCGGAGTTCGTTAGGAAACCAATCGAGTTCATCCCTAACCTCCTTGACCGTTTTCGGGATACGGGAGGGCAGGCGTCTAAGCTGCATTTCTGCATCACGTTCAGTGTACTCTGGGAACTTCGGTTGACTTAATATCAGTCTTTCTGTTGAAAATTTCCCATCCACGATGTACTTACAATCTTAGCCACGTGCTGGCGGTAGTATATCCCTCCATGTCGGACAATAAGCCACAAAACCTGTATCCTTCCAAACTCAGAGTATCTTCCAGTATCTGCTGATCCTCCGAGAATCCATTTCTTCTGTGGGTCGAAAAGTCTAAAATCTTTCTTATATTCACGGCCTTCATTGATCCAATCTGGTAGGGGCCATTCGGAGAAGAATGTGTCTGTCCACGACTGACCATGGCTATTGCTCATCATTGACTAAGGAACGGGTGAGCTGGCTTTAAAACACCTTCCAAGTGCAGCAAGCCAAACCTTTGGATTGTGATATTGTCACTTGAACGAAGGTCGCTTAAAGATTCTAGGGTAAATCTTCGAACACTTAAGATAGGATTATAAAGCTGATACATTGAAGTACAAGGTTTTCTTGATACTAATAGGAGAACGAATGAGCTTTTTATATTGTAGTTATAAGCATTCTACTGCCAAGAATATGATTTCATATGGGAGAAGGGTGCCTGCAGCTGCCTATCTCATTAGGCAACTGTTTGACCCCTTGCATAGCTTACCAAACACATACATGGTTATAAGTAAAGATGAAAATTATACAATACGATAATTCCATAATTCATTAGGTGAGGAGTCAAGAAACCGCATAACTGCAATGAAGGTGAGAGAAGAATTATGCTTCATTCACTGGCCGCACCACCCTCGTAAGGCCGTATGTGTACTTAGTTTCTATAACCTCTGTAGTTTCCTAACTCGTGTGTCTGTCAATGTAGATGCCCCAAGACCCGAGTAAGTTGAGATGTCTGCCGCGCAGTCTTTGCAGAGGCAACTGCAGAGAATGTCGCATTGCTAGGATTTAACTAGCCCACTATGACAGAAAACCTTAAGGATAATAGTAATAAACACTGCACTTGCAATACACCAAGTGAATACGAGACGGCAAGACGCCAGTGTTATGACTAGAATCTGCAGCTATTTTATTTTCTGTTAAACATAGACAACCCAAGGGCAGATTACAATTCACATGTACTCTGTGAGTGCTCAATTGCCGCACCCTTGCCAACTAATTCTATGTATCACGTTTCCCGTAGGGACATCATATCTCTCCGTCGGATCATTAGATAGATATATCGTTTTTGGTCTAGCGGTCAGCGCGTCGACATTTCCCCTTTCTTCCCACCAAAACTATCGACTTCCTTCCAACACTGTGTTGCTGCAGTCTAATCTCGTCAGTGACCTTCCAGCATCTTGTTGATCAACATTTTCATATCGTCCTCAGCGACTTCCAACATACATCGATTTCGAGTCGTCTGGAGCGCAGGAATGGACGCTACCGGGATACGACAAGTAAGAAGCTACCAAAACACTCTAGTTACAAAATAAGTCTTAGGAAGAGCCTCTAACGGCTCCTCGTGAGCTTCCTAGAGGCATCAACCTTGGGTCATCTGGGGCGCAGAATAGATCCCTACCACCAACGAATGCTATCATACGTTGAATCCACAAACCATATATCAATCACTGCGTTGAATACGGTCCCTGCCTGCATCACTGTAGGATCATTATGGGATGATGGTTCTGTTATGGAAAAGCCAAGTACATGAAGATCTACGCTTCTATATGGAAAGTAAGAAGCTTTCCATCGAAATTACCCTACTAGAAAATCCACTAGCATCTTCTAACTCTTCATCCAATAGAGGCACTCCCAGCACTCCCAGCACACCGGTTCGGCTCCTACATATACCACAACCAGCAAGAGCGCGTGGAGATTTTTGCGGAAAATTACTCAAGCATTGCATCTATTCATGATGAAACTAAGAACCTACGCGCTGAAAACAGCTTTGGGCGTTCCAAAAATCTTCCAGTCTAAGTACTGTCATTAGAGAAAATCGTGGAGATCTTCCTTCTCCCTTTCTCTGGTTGATCCAGGCCGCGACCTTTGGTGGACTAGGGCCTACAGGCTTTGTCAAACTAGCCAAACTTCTTCAAAGGCTTCCGCCAAGTCGAAGTGAAGAGGTAGACTAGAGCCTCGGAGACTCTAGTACGTCGGCCAAGCTCTTAAAAGACCTCATAGGGGCCATGCAGTACTGGGGGCTTTCTGATCGAACCCGTCAACCTTGCAATACTACGAGATAAAAAAGAAGGAAAAATACAGATGTTTACAAGAACCCGAAAGGCGAGGGTGGTAGTCTGACAAGACCTCTTCAACCGCCCTTCTATACGGGCAAGATTGACGGGTTCAATCAGAAAGCCCCCAGTGCCCCGAGTGTCGCAAGGCCTCTATGAGGAGATTGGCCGACGTACCGCCTTTCTTTCAAGACAATGCTGACAGGTTGGAAGCTCCCTTCATGTGGGCAATGCCATCTACCTATGAGGCAAGCTGCCTCAGGTTTCAGCTGCAAAGGACATCATTCTCAGTATCATTGCAAAGAGCAGTTATTCGAGCAAGGAGGTGGTATGGAAGAGGATCAAGGCACATTCAGTCAGTAAGGAAGCTGCTGTGGAGGCGAAGGAGAGATATTTTCTTGGTACAGCGTTTCTGCCAAGTAGGCCAAAACGATATATCGTTGGCTATTCGGAGCAGACGGGGCGACAAATGTCTCGACATATGTAGACAGGCTTCAGGCGCTGCAAAAGCCATCGGTTTCATCTTTCATTTCTTCATACTTGCTTCGCATGAAAGAAGAGATGGTGAGAGATATATGCAACAGTATGACTCGTTGCATGACTAGAAGATGTATCTAGGTAGCTCACCAGAATAGTGTATGGGTACTTCAAGATAAAAGTTTGTGATGCGCTGAATAACGTATGTAGTGAGAGGCTTATATGATTTTTCAGGCGTGGAGGCAAGAATCCAGCAGTAGTGAAATAAAGCACGAGACTCTTGCTTCATCTACCGGCGTAGTTTTATAAGACGTTTGCCGAACTAATGGCTTTGATTTGATCATACATCAATTCTAATGCGGTGTCTTAACTCATTAATGGTATTCGCTTTCTTTAAGCTCAAGCCCAATCACCGATCGTTTTCCGCCCGCGACTCCTCAGCCATGCCAATCTTCGCTCGTTTCGAGAGATCGGCTTGTAACGCCTTATCAATGATTGCATTGATCTCCTTGACCTTCTCCAGGGCAACGGAAGTCTTATCCACAAAGACCATCGCGTCCACTGGCGATCCGGAGAACTTGGAGACGAAGCACACATCACCAGCGTTGTTGATGCCAATCACGACGTCAGCTTCCGCTGCTTGCTCCTCCTTCCGAGTTGCATCAATGATGACCCGTTTTCCTTCATCGAATGTGTGGAAAGTAACAGACAGCGGCTTATGTGTAATGTTCAATGCGACAGGAACTCGTTCATCGAGTCTGTACACAATCACCTGGCCATCCTTGACTACAGCGTCTTGACGGCGGAAATGCTGCAATCCAGCCATGATACCAATACAAGCCGCATCAATCAGATTGCCATCGTAATCGGTAACGTGGACGTCCGCGCGGATGCTCCAGCAGCTGACACCCTTGAGGATACAGAGGGACTCGGTGTCCAGGGCGTTGGAATGGCGAACGACACGGTCGAGGACATTGGTGACATATGTTTCAAAGTCTCCTTGTCTGAAGCAGAAATGGTCAGCTGAGTTATTGCTCGCTCGCGGCTTGATGAGAATATCCATACCGGCCATTGTCCCAAGCGGGGGAGCCCATGGCAGTCAGCTCCATGGCGATTGTGAAAAGACCGTCGAACGGACGATCATCGTGAGGTTTTGTGACTTCAGCTGAGATACGGACAATGAGGCTGCAGCAGAAAAGAATCAGTTAGTGTTGTTGAAGCAAGCTGAACGATGAGTCTACCTACCTGGTTTTGCCGAGCTGCACCTTCACATGTCCATACTCCTCCCCGAATGACACATTCAGCGGACGTAGCTGGTCGAAACCGCGACCGTCCAGTCGTACATCCTCGCGCAGCGCATTGAGGATGAAGTCGCGCTCAGTGACGGAGAGCAATGCTTCTTTGTTCATGATTGCGGAGGCGGATTTGGCCCCGGCGGGGGTCACGGCGGACTTTCTGGGAAATTTCCTGCATGCCGCATCGTCATCGAGGCGGCGGGCCAATGTTGTTCCTCGTGGAGCCAATGGGAGAGACTGCTGGCGGGCGGTGAAGTGGCTGACTCATCTTGTGGCCTGAGGTTGCAATCGGCGATCATTATCAGATCTCATCCTCGTCGGAGTGCCAACAACCAAACAACACAGAGTCTAACAACCGCCACCATGACTACGGGTATGTATCTATATTGATTGAATCTGAGAACCTCTGTACTGACTACTTTATAGCTCACAGGCCCACGTTCGATCCCGTATGTACCCCCGATCATCTGCTCAGCGCATGAAGCTCATTGAAACAGGCACAAGGAAAGGAGGCCCTCCGCGGCCCTGCGTACCACCAGCGTCTTCTCCCGGCTTATACGCACCTGAAGACACGGTAAGTGGTATGACAATATGTCTGCGACAATTTCTGACATGTCCAAGTCAATTCGGTCAGGGTAGTGAAGTCGAAACCCAGCAACGCGATCTGCGCGCCGAGCTGCTCCAGGCGGAGGCTGCTCATTTCGCCAAGAAGAACGGAGTTCCCGTGGACGAGCCTAAAGTCGAGACCGCCACACCCAAGCGCCAGTTGGAAGGTGGTTCACCCGGCGGTGATGCAGGGACAGAGGAAGAAGATCCAGAAGCCAAACGACGACGAATACTAGAGGAGACTCGAGATATAGATGCAGATTCCGATGAATCGGAGGAGGATAGCAGTGAAGATGAAAGGTCAGACTCGCGAATATATTAGATTCGCGCGATAATACTGACAGGTTACAGTGACGATGAAGAGGACGAAGCTGCTGAATTGATGCGCGAGCTGGAGAAAATTAAGAAAGAGAGGCTCGAGCAGAAGGAGAAAGAGGTTTGTACATTGGTTTTTGACTTTGACATGGTTTACTGATATTTGTCAGGAACGCGAGCGTGCTGCGCAAGAAGAGGAGCAGCGCGAGGTCGATATCGCTCGAGGAAACCCGCTGCTTAATCCTCAAGACTTCAATGTGAAGCGGAGATGGGACGATGATGTTGTGTTCAAGAACCAGGCCCGTGGTACAGAAGACAAGAGGGGCAAAGAGTTTGTTAACGTAAGTGCTTGCTTTTTTATCATCTATTATGCTATGATACTAATCTTGCATGCAGGATCTGTTGCGATCGGACTTCCACAAGAGATTCATGGTGAGTTGGTACTGTTGCAAGAGTCAATGAATTTACTAATTTGAGCAGTCAAAATACGTCCGCTAAAATCGTGTCCGACAAACGTACCCACTCCTTACAGCAGTCACTGTGATGACTGTTTGTCCTACCCTAGAGTCGTCAATCGGTCCCCAACTCATACCAGATACAGCATCGTGGTGGATTTGACTTCCAGATCAGCATGCGAATAGAGAAGCAGTACAAGCCAGTATATGCTTCCTACTACAGCACAGGGAAGAACGCTCGACAACACGAACGAGAGTGAATGGGTGATTTAACACATGGCGCTTTATATTTCTCTTCATAGTGTATACCCACATCATCAATCAAACCAATATATCCATATAGCCCAATTTAGTTTAGTACTCCGAACACTAAGTAGTCTCCTATCATATCAACCTGATAGACAAAGTACTGCCGGCAGTACTCACACCGCTCGCAATCTACTTGCACCGCAGCATCACAGTATCCTATCCTATCTTTTCCCACAAACAGAAACCAATTGCTGTACCAGCTTAAGTTCAAAATGGATTCTCAACCGTCATCGAAAGCGCTTCATTGTAAGCCGTACCCTGCATTTTTCACTTACCTCAGTTCCAAACCCCTCCATTGCACCGCTAACAACCATCCGTCGCAGATCGCATCAACACCAACATCTCACAATTACTCCAACGCTTCGAGAACATCATGGCAACAGCGACTGTTAGCTCACCTCACCCTCTTGCAATATATCCAAACGAACAACCACTAACCCAGAAATCCAGACCGAAAGTACCAGCCACACCTCCACGGCCGTCGAGACATACCAGCTAGACGTGGAATCCACAGCGTTGGTACGCCTCAACTAATGCTCCTCTATTCCAACACAAATCCTACAATGTCAGGGAACACTTGCTTACAGAATTGAATCTGAGATAGGTCCGCGCAGCAGAAGACATCCTCGCCCTGACCCGGACAATGAAAGAAACCTGGTTATTCGGGAAACTCGACACACTAGGCGAAGACGAAGCGGACGTGAAACGTCGCGAGGAATTAGAGATGAATGCGGAGGCGATTCAGAAGGCCATTGAAGATGGGGGGTTTTTGAAGGCTGCTAAGTGAGGGTCAGCTTTGAGGTGTATACTGTGGGTGCATGGCGTATAGTGGGTTGGTTTATCTATTGTATGGAGTTGGTGGGTTGGCGTTCGGGTATGCTTCTAGAAAGTGGTACTTCTAAATTCTGATGTTGATGTAAATAGTAGTTATGTATATATATAAAATCATATCATAGAATGCCCCCTAAGCTACAGTTAGACCGATCAATATCCGGTAGATAGTTAGTGTGTAGTTCTGGAAAGGGAAAAAAGCACGTGGTTCCAACCCCAGCGGGGGATTATCGTGAGATCGCGAACCGTCTGATAAAAGCTTCCCTTCCATCAACTTATCAAAAACTCCCCCCACCGCGTGCACTCCCTCCTCCCTCTACCACCAAACCACCAAAAAATCTCACACATAACCTACCTATCAACCAACCTACCAACTAACACACCACCACACCTTCAATTCCAAGTAACCAATAAAGATGCCCCCATCACGCCCCATAACCCTCATCGTCGCAACGACCCCCATCCCCACCGAAGGCAGCTCAATCCGCCTCGGCATCGGCCACTCCGGGACTCTCCCCTGGCCACGAATCAAAACCGACATGTCGTTCTTCGCGCGCGTCACCTCCCGGCCACCTACCCCGGGCACCACCAACGCCATCATAATGGGTCGGAAGACGTACGACTCTGTGCCTGCGCATCTCCGCCCGCTGGCCAAGCGCATCAGCACTATTATAACACGGGATGTGGATTCTCTAACTGAGAGGGTGGGGAGGGAGGTTGAGGTTAGGCGGGAGAAGATTGCTGCGTCTGCTGCTGCATCTGCATCTGCTGGTGGTAATGGGGGGAATGCTGAGCAACCCGCAACGGATGCGATTGTGTGCGGGGGACTAAATGATGCGCTGCAGCAGCTGGAGACGAGGTATGGAGAGGAAGGGAAGCTGGGGAAGGTGTTTGTGATTGGGGGGGCGGAGATATATGGGGCTGTTTTGGCTGCGGGAAAGGATGTTTGGGGAGGGCCAGTGAGGATTGTGATGACGAATGTGGAGAAGAAGGGGTATGCGGAGGGGAATAAGGGGGAGGTGTTTGAGTGTGATACGTTTTTCCCCGTGGATGAGGAGTTGTTTGGGGAGAAGGAGGGGTGGAGGAAGGTTAGTGCGGAGGAGGTTACGGAGTGGGTTGGGGAGGTGGTTACTGGGGAGTGGATTGAGGAGGGGGATGTTAGGGTGCAGATGGTGGGTTATGAACGTCAATAGAATATTGAGTATAACGGAATTGAGTGGTAGCGTAGAGGCTATGTGCGCGGGCGTACGCCGGTGTCTATCACAGTACAGTTGATATGGTTATGGCAAGGTAGTCTATGTATACGGCAGATATGTACAGTCTAGATAACAACTAGCCGCCCTAATAATGCTGGTACAATCACATGCTCTCGCTGAAATAACGAATCAAAACCCAAATCAAAGGCAAACCAACTCCTTGCTAATGTACAAGCACATGGAGTATGCACATTGCTGGATGCAGCTGTCCAATCGAAAAATACTTGGCAATAATCGCTGAACGATGTCGTAATGAAACACTGCAACGCTGAACGCTGAACGCAGATCGATCACATCACTCATTCTCTTTCATATACTTCACAAAGGCTTTCTTATGTACTAAGCCGGCATATTGGCCATCATGCGACACGCACAGATAGCGCAGTCCGAGCTTGGCAAAGCATTGATACACGAGGTCGATAGGCGAATGGATGTCGAGGGCAAGAGGGGACTGCAGACGTCAGACTTGTAAACGTCAAAGGATGGAGCTACATACCGGATCAATGTATTGACCGAAGTCGACGCGGCCGGTTTCGGCTTCATCTTCGCTGTCAGAAACAGCCGAAGAGCCGTCCAGACTCATCAAGCAGAGGGTGTTCTCCTCGTCCGCCAGGTTGTCCAGCGCGTACTCCAGCTCAGGTGCCGGGATTAAACCGGTGAGGACACCATGACGCAGGATCGGAAGACCTCCGTCCAATTCGCCCGCCATCAACAGGTTCTGAAGTTTCGAACGTAGCTCTCGTGCCGGCACAAAGGACGAGCCCGAAATGTCAATGATACGACTGGAGCGAACCGGCCGAACGAGATCCCCAAGCTGCGCATCCGACGTCGGCTGATGTTTACTGTCAAGGAACGGGTAGGAATTCATATCGGTTAACATATCCTGCCCAAGTTAGCCGCCACATCTTTACACAAACAAAGTATTGTGCAGTACTTACGTAGATGCTGCGAGGTTCGATAGCATCAGCAGTCCACTTGGCACACAAGACAGCCACGGAAAAGGGCAACACATGGTCCAAACTTCCCGTGAGCTCAAAGAGAATGACAGCCAGTGTAACAGACAGACGTGTCACTCCACACATAGTTGCACCTGCCGCGACCATAGCGTAGACTCCTGGCGTCACGCAGGATTCCATGCCGGCGGTAGCGGGACAAGACGATCCAAACAGAAAGGAGGTGGGATACTTCAGCACCAAGTACTGTGCGGCATGTCCAACAATGCGGCCCAGAAGACCACCAACAACCATGGAAGGGACGTAGATACCACACGGCACCTTGATTCCGAACGTAACCACCGTTAGAAGACTCTTGATGACAAACGCGACGAGCAAATAACGAATAATTTCCCCGATCCCCTCCTCCGGTGGACACAGACCAGTCGGTGACGACGACTCGTGATCACAAGGGCTGGCCAACTCAAACATAAGCTCGGAGACGGGGAGCTTGGTGTAACGATTCCAAAAGCTAACTAATCCGGTCAAAACAGCAACAAGCACGACCTCGATCATTGGCCAACGCTTGATAAACCAAATTCTTCGGAATGATCGCGCCCAGAGGTTCGAGGCTTTGATAAACAGAGCACCCAGCGCTCCACCGAGCACGCCTAGGAGGATAAAGATCGCCATCTCAAACATCTCCCAGTCGCCCAGATAGCGGACCTGGAACAAGACAATCTTGCCCGTGCCGTAAGGATTCAGGAATTTCAGGGAGAGTGCTGCTGCGATGCAGCAGAAGAACGTTCTGAACAGAGTCTTCGGAGGGAAATAATAGCTGACTTCCTCTAAACTGAACAGCACGCCACCGATGGGGGCACCGAATGCTACCGCCACACCACCTGCAGCACTTGCGCTCAAAACTTCACGTCTCTTGCCATCGTTGTGGTTATACTTGGCAAAGATGCGACAGCAGATATTGCCCACGCATGTCGCGATGTGCACATAAGGTCCTTCTTTGCCCAAGCTGAGGCCTGACGAAACGCTAAAAACCAGCGCAAGGGTTTTTATGAACAGAGTCTTGAAGCCAAGGTATCCATGCAGAACGAAGCCACTGTTGATGACCTTGACCTCAGCCACTCCACTTCCTGCCGCAGGATAGTAGACCATGGCAGGACGCGTGGGGATGGCGGAACTAAGCGCTTGCTGGCTGGAAGCAGATCCAGGTGAATTACTATTTGCATTGTTTCCTTTCGTACTTCGCGACGACGCCGCCCCAAGGTTTTCATCCAAAGTTGTCAGCGACACCGAGGATGGAACCACAGTCTTCGTGAACAGCGTCAGGAAGCACGAGATGACAGAAAGAAGCACCACCCAGAAGATGAACATGCTGTAGTTGACCCAGTAATTGTCCGGTCCTGACGGATTGTAGATCTGGGACCAGGACCGCCACGCCGGGCAATTTGAGCCCCCTGTACAGCAGCTCTGACGGCTGTGGAACCAGTGCGTAGTACAAAAGCCTTCCTTCACGTCAAAGATGAATTCCTCAGTCACATCTACTGAATAAGCTATTGCGGCCGTGATACAGCCAATCAATGCGACCAGGACCCAGCCCTGGGAGCCATCGAGCCATGCCAGCAGACGCCCGCGGATATCCTTGCGCTTGCGCAGTTCCCGAAGACGAGCCCCGTCTATGATACTGTCATGGACCCAGTCAGTGGAGGTGAACTGGTCATACCAGCTCCGCTCGTCCATGAATGAAGCCGTCATGCCATCTTTGACGGAAGCAGCCAGGCTTTCCGCTTGCTCCGCATCGATACTGCCGCGTCGACTAAATCGGATCGCCTGAGAGTTGGCGCGGCTATGGTGTCGCGACCGGCGAATGCTTCCCGTCATTAGGGTGTGTCTAAAATTGTTGAAATCGGACCCCGTATTTCCAGAAAGATTCGTATATGAACGTCGCGGCATACCCCGTCGGGTTTCATTGGCCTTCGGTAGAAGACTTGTGGTTTCGCCGACTTCCATACTCGGTTCCGAAGGTTCATGGGGAGTTTGGACTTCCGAGAGAAGGCTATGAGTTCGTCTAACGGCAGATGGCGAGGGGGGAGCTGTTCGCGAGGCAGTCCTGCGGCCGTCCGACCCGCCGGAGGGAAGCTCGGCTTCCGGGAGAGCGCCTTGCAGATTGGGAGGGACTGAACGAGGCATTTTTGGGAAACTAGTGAAGCAAGAGCTGCTTCGGACTTAATATATGCGGCCTGAAATAATCAAGTCAGCCCAGGCAGTCCGGGGTCTGCCAGATGCAAACCAGCAGCAGCAGGGACGGGAAAGATAAGAACTACCCTCAGCAGCGGACATATCCAACAACATTTAAGCCCGAGAAGAGGCCGAGAAATCGAACAGTGGGGACTGCGACTAGTTCGGTGGTTCTCCAGCGCGCGAGGTAGATGGCGGTGAAGTTGCCGAAGTGAAGAGACGGGAGAGCCAAATAAACACGGCAGTCGCAGGTTAGGGGGGTGGGGAGGGAAGAAGGGAAGGGAAAACGAGAGTGAGGCTGTAGAGGAAGCACACAATGAGTTTAAAACAGGAAGAGCAATACAGAGCTTAGCGAGAAGTGAAAGAAGATGACACAATTAAGAGGGGCAATAATAGCTAACTAATAATGATAATAACAATAATAATCATACCTCAAAAAGGAGGTTCCGTAGGAGGGAAAAATGCAGGAGGCAGCGATGGGCACGACATCCGAGGTGGTCATGGCCACCAGCAGATAAACGGGGCTAAAGGCGCATCATCTGACGATCGGAGTCCGGGTGGTCCCTTGACATGGTTGGTCACCACGCCTATCATTCCCCATCCTCCCAAGTGGTATGGTTTCCATGTTTCTCCTTTGAAACCTTGTTGCTTTTTCTTCTCTCCGCCCCTCCCTCCCTTTGGAGACTTCCCTGCTATGTAGCAGCAGATGATGAAGGGAAAGGAGGGGGCAGACAGCATGACAAACGGTTAGATAAATAAAGAATCCTGGGGGACCCGATCCATGGCACGTGCATAGTCACGATAATGGCGGCCGTGTAACATGCCAATGATGCCATTCATTCCCCACTCTCGCCTAATTATTTATTTCCAAGCTTACTTAGTGGCTGCACCCCGGATGTCCGCCGCTCTTAACTGCTTGTCCAATATACTCCTGGGATGCGAGGCATGACCCCTCCATGAGGCACCCCTTCGGACGGCTGAACCCGGTTTAGGAATGAGGCGTGAGCTGGCCTTGACATCCGATCGAACGGGAGAGGAGGGGGGCGCAACACTGCACTACTTTAATTCTACGGGCGCCTGATTACTGCAATTGGTTAGATGATCTCCGTGTCAAAAGATCAACACAATAGTTGAGGCGACATTAACTGTGTCTGTGTCCCAAGATAGGAGCTATAAACGACATTCTTATCATGGCCGCATTGCACTGTAGTAATGGTGCAGCAGGCTTGACTTTTCGAGCGTAGATGTCTACAGACCACCTCCACCGATGCTGTCACATCGTCTATACTTACCACTGTCACTCACAAAAGAAATGAGGGCCATTTATCAATCACAGCAGCCGCTCAAAGGGCCTTTTTGGTCTGAAATAGATGATTTGTTTTGCCGCTTCCCCGCATGATAAAGCAATATCGAACTCTACCAGTTACACTGTACCTCTTTACTCGGTAGATGCAGGCTACCATGGCTCCACTCCCGTGCATGCATGGCAATGTATACTTTGCCACTCTGCACAGCTACTAGATCTGACAACCGTACTTTTAGACTTTTGTTGAGTATTGGCAGATGGAAGGTGAGAATTAGCTTTACTGACTATACATACTTTAATATGAAAAGGAATGCAAAATCGCTTAATGTTAAAGTCCCTCAACCACAATGAATCGAGTCTTGAGCCTGACAGACACGTTGTGCCATACCCCAACTGCCACCGATCTTCAACCCACCATCTCCAAGACAAAGATGGCTTCAGTATCCGGTTGGACAGCGATAATCAATCATCTGCGGAGACTAGTATTATCAAAACCACCAATGGAAGCATACTCCAACCCCAAATACAGTTCAATACCCAACGCGCATGACGTATCCGCCACAATAGACCTTTTCGGATCTACATTCACAAGAGTACGTGGGAGACCGATAACCAAATCCCGATCGCATAGCAAGGTTACTACTGCTGCTGCAATTATTATTAACCACAGCCACGTTATCTATCATCAACAAAGCTAACAGGTAACCATGGTCTCAACCGACGTTTCCATTACCATATAAACTCTACTTTCCTTTAAGCAAACATCTTGAAACAAATGTCCTTGTTCTGAAACCCAGCCTCAGAGCTGTCCGTTTCTATCCCACCCACGGAAACCATGAAACCACTATGAAACACCCCGCATACAAACACCGTCTGTATATAGACCCCACCTCTTGAAAGAAAGGCCGATGGACCCCATGTCCCAGAATCCCCTAAGTGGGAGATAAACAACTTACCGCCGCACCTCTCCGTTTCATTCCATACCGAGACTCCCCCTCGCCCAGTGTCCCCACAGATTCTCTTTCCCCTTGAATTCTAGATCTTCGCACTTTAATTCTCATCTTAAGACGCAAGGTTTCATAGGAGAAGACATGTGCCTCTGGTTCCACTAATAGCGCATTAGTATCTAAAACTTACAAATCCTAGTACTCAGCGACACTTGGGCATGGTATCTACCGTAGAGACTGAATTTGACCGGTGTCAGAGATGCGTGATCAAAAAGTACGACGATTCGTGAGAGACCGATGTTACAGGTCAGATGGATGGTAGGGTCAGGGGTGATGTGGTGGGTACAGCGGGGGGTTAGAGGGTGCGTTCGAGGCGAAGAAGGTTTTCAGGCCATTCAATCTTGGTTGAGGCTTCTAATTCTTATTTCAGTCGTGCATTTTTTTCCCTAGTTAGAGGTCGGCATGTTTTGTCTGGGAACTTCAGCTCTGGGTGTTTGGCGGAGATCTTGGGAACAGACTGATTGTAGAGCTTAGGAGGATAGTATGAATACTACATAGTAGATGCTTCTTAGTTGTATTATCCTTCTACATAATGGCGTTAGTAGCGATGTACTAGTAATTACATTTACAAATGAAGTGCCTGGGGATAGGATATCACGTTGCTTGAAGCCGATTCACGTCAGACCTGCATTGCGATGAGCAGGTCTTAGGCGCCAAGTTTCTGTTAGGAATCATGAAAGTGGCCTATAGCTGCCACAGCATCTAAAGCTACTATTTTGAAGGTTATACTAGGTGATTGCCATCATAATAAGCTCTTTTATATTGATTGAAAGAACTAATCCTTCAATAATAGACCTTCTTGCCATGCCGTTATAACAGAAATACCGCTTTTTACCGACCTAACTTACAGTTTACTAGATAACTCTGTGCATTAATCATCCAAGACCGTATTCCACAATTTTGTAATTGATATCAGATTCTAGCAGCCAAGCTATATATCTGAATCAATTAATACGTGGGTGTTTACTCTCGAATACATAGTGAAAGTCTACTTTCAAATGACTGTTGACTGGACACCCTGAAAAACATAGGAGTCATGTTACGACATTTTCTGTGTTATTATTCTATCCTGGGTCCATTCTGTTCCAGTATTCGGATCAACTGTATGTTAACAGTCACTCATCCCGATCAAGTTTCCTACTTCATCAGTCCTGTTTTAGGAAGTTGTAGACTGAGCACTAGCTATAGATCAATCACTGCAAAATTTGGAGTTCTGGGAGAATTATTCATGATACATAAGAGAGATAAGCATGAGTACTCACGACAATAAATATCAAAGTAGGATTCTGGGCAGCCAGTAAGCCTGCATGTGATGTAGGTTATTGTCTAGCGGGTCTGTGTTCGCGAGGTAGAAGAGCGAGGATTCTGGATTCCGTGTCTATAACATACTATTTATGTAAATGTTACAGGGCTGTCTTCAAAACCCCCTGTAGGAATGATAAACCGCTGTGGTGTAGTTGATATGCGTGAGTATTAAAGTCAGATTGTTATCACCAGAAGGTAAAATGTTGTGCGGAGATACGAATTACTTCAGTACTGCTTACGATATTTTGCTGTCTTTCTAAACCACTGGCCTGTTCCCTTTAACCGGCGATTTATTCGCCTGCATGATCTCCAGCTGTTGATTTATGCCGATATTGCAGTATAGGCTCTTTGCATGCATCAGATGAGCGAGGCCAAGAAATCGAGCCTGCAATGGACTCGGAAGCCATCCCCGCACATCCGTTTTTCCCTGATCCCTGCAGCAGACATGTTTCTGCACCATGAGTTGACATTAAAGTTGATGTTTGACCCTGGTCTAATGTTTCCTTCATCACAGTGGAGCTAGTAGCATATAGTCTGAAGATTCGGCAGCCCCTTTACGTTTTGACGATTGCTGCTGGTCCTGGATACGATATGTGGGCAGAGAGCATGGGTATCTTGGACGCTCAGTTTGTTTGCTTCCGAGCCTCTTATTATCGGATATGCGAACAAACCCTCTAAGCATAGGTACTTTCCTATCTGGAAGCGGACACGGTAGTCCTTCAACCTCCGCCAACGCGTCTTGGCAGATATTTCCGTGGAAGAATCGGAATAGATCTGCAGAAGATGGCTGCTTCCAGTCACATATTTCTGGGCATAATGTGACTTCTGCGATACTATTGAACAGTGCTTTTCTGCAGGAAAATACACGACTGCTGGTCTGTGTACTTCATGTCCCAGTTCCTTTAGTTTGTGGTCGGCCTCCCACCATAATATGTCCAGCATGACCAGGAGTTATATTTCCTTGTCTTGGCCTTCATTATGCACAACGGATCATGAACATGATTTGCTGAATGCTCTCTTGGGAACGGCAATTGAGCCGGAGAATGCGGGGGATGGCAGGTTCTCGTTTGGAGAAATGAGTGTCATGCTTTCTTCACGGATAAATCTCATTGTGGAATCGAATCAGTCGCAATAAAGACGAAAAATATAGGCAATTTGATGGCCAGTGTAGGGATAGCAAAGCTCAATCCCTAAAGTTGAAGGAAGATATAAAGTCAGCCTTGATCCTGTCGAGCGACGAACAGTCCCAACCAGAGCAGCGCCTCGAACACCAGGTACCGGTGATTTTCCATTCTCTCTTTGAAGCATCACAATGAAGCAGATCAATACCATCGCTCACCTCACAACTCTCCTTTCCCTCACTGCGAAGATAGCTGCCCACGGCCATGTGAGCAATATTGTCATCAATGGTGTCTCCTACCGTGGCTGGGACATCAACTCGGATCCCTACAATTCAGATCCTCCTGTGGTAGTCGCATGGCAGACACCGAACACTGCCAACGGATTCATTACGCCTGACGAATATGACACGGACGACATTATCTGTCACCTGGATGCCACTAATGCCGAGGGGCATGCCGTTATTGCTGCAGGAGACAAGATCAGCATTCAATGGACCACTTGGCCTGACACTCACCATGGACCGGTCATAAGTTATCTTGCAAACTGTGGCTCGAGCTGCGAGACTGTTGACAAGACGACTCTTGAGTTCTTCAAGATTGATGGTGTTGGCCTTGTTGATGACTCGACTGTGCCTGGCACTTGGGGAGATGACCAGTTGATTGCAGACAACAATACATGGCTGGTCGAGATCCCACCAGACATTGCCCCCGGATATTATGTTCTTCGCCACGAACTGATTGCCTTGCATGGGGCCAGCAGTGAGAATGGGGCACAGAATTATCCCCAGTGTTTCAATCTCCAAGTCACCGGGTCAGGTACTGCCGAGCCTTCCGGCGTACTCGGTACGGAGTTGTATAGCCCGACAGACCCCGGAATCCTTGTCAATATCTACCAGTCACTGTCCACTTACGAGGTGCCTGGCCCAACATTGATCCCGGAGGCAGTATCTGTTGTGCAATCGAGCTCGACCATCACAGCATCCGGAACACCCGTGACTGGGACCGCCGCGTCCACCGCGACATCATGAATCGGCATGATTGAGCGACCGTGACTCGGGTCGGAATGGTATAGTCTCACCCTCCGATTGGTTTATAGCAATGTAGGGGGAGATGGGTCATTGGATCAGTTTGGAATCTGCTTGTTTAGCGGCGTGGTTGCTGCTTACACCTTCGCTTCGGTTCCCTTCGCTTCCTGCTTTTCTGGAAGATTTCTGTCTGTGCATCCGCCTCCTTATGTGAAGCATGAGTTCTAAATTATAACATTCGCTTCGTAACATAATTATTTTCATTCCCACCCACGGTATCTGGTACAAAGTGTCAAATAAGAGTAAAATATAGCATCAACTCTTATTCGATGCAGGTTCAGATAGCTCAAGAATGTGGCGCATATAACCCACAGGTTTCGCCCAACCGCAAGGGGCGGCACAGAGGAAGGATCCCTCAGCAGTGCGTAAGCAAGGTGCGATGTCAGGCTCCGCACACCTCAGACACACCAGTTGGAGCTATTCATCATCATCCCTCATGGGAAGCACTAACCAAAAGGCGGTCTAATCGCCGCTATGGGGGGTGTGTCTCCGCTGCGTTTTTGAGGTCACCTGGCTGACCGGACGGCTCGAAGGGGGAAAGCCAGTTGGTGTTCAGGTATCCGCGGCATTTCCACGTTTCCCGATGGGGTAATTTCGAATTTCCGCATTCTTTTCTGAGTCATTACGACAACAAGCTTTGTGGGGATCGGAGATAACGAGAGTTGTGCTATTGTCATCGTATCTAAGACGCATAGTAACAATGTTCCTGTTCCGTATTTCCACCATCTAGACCTAATAACCTTTCTTGCTGTGATGGAAATCTACCCCCCGAACTGACGACCCATGGACAGGGAAAAAGGCTGGGGTTGACGCCATCACGGATTCGGGCGAGCGACCCTGGATTTACCCCGGAGCACCACCGCTGAATTAGTCCTAGTCGATCGTAAAAGCCGAGTTGTCCGGGGGAAGCTAACCCCATGCAATCAAGCACATCCCCACCCCCAATTACATCCGCGCTCATTAAACCCCCCGTCCATGGCTTAAGCGAGCGCCCGTAGCCTTTCTTTGCCACCCAACGGTTCTGACAGGAGCAGCAAGAGGCAACTAATCATATTTTCTGCTGATTGCGCTTCCTTCTGCGCGTGGCGTTTTTGTTTTGTGGGGAGCATCAGATCCCCACGTTCCTCTCCACAGCCTCCTATCTCTCCCCAATGGTCACTACCCCGGAGATGATACGTACATCCCTCCAGTCTTCCATCATGGATCAGCCTAGAATCACCCTTGGTAGTTGATTAGCGCTTCTTCGATGTGGTCCTAGCTCTGGGAATTGCGAGGGAGTCTAGACGAGCAATGCCTGACCCATATAAACCTTTGCCTCTCTTATCTGGGTTCCTTCTTTTTTTTTCTGTCAGGTCGCTAGGTTGCTTCTTCTTCCTCACCCCCTTTCAGCCCTCACACGCCAGACAGTTTCTCCTCATTAGCTGGCTGTCTTGCCACGCTCCCTCTGTGACTTATTCATTCCATCAATCTTACTTCTGTTGTGTGGCTTGCTGGCAGGCATCATGTCTAATATCGAAATGACCGAGGACGTTCGGTCCACTCCCTCCCCCAAGACCCATGAGGAGACCCACATCGAGAAAAACAGCAGCGAATACTTTGAGAAGGTCGAAGAGGGACCTTCTTCATATGCTGAGATCGCTGCGGCCTCCCTTTCACCCTCTCATCGAGAGTACCTCCTACAGCGTCATGGAACTTTGGACCTGGATCCTATCCCGAGTCCGTCGGGCGCAGACCCGTACAACTGGCCGACCTGGAAGGTATGAAAGCACACTCCAATCTTATATACCTGGTTGCTGACCTGTGTCTTTATTGTAGAAACTGATCAACCTCATTCTCGTCGCCTTCCACGCCTGCATGGCAACATTCACCGCTTCGATTATCCCTGCCTATGAAAGTATCTCGGAAGACCTTGGAGTCTCTATGCAAAGAGCAAGTTACCTTACTTCGCTTCAGATTGCTATTCTAGGAGGTGCGCCTCTGTTCTGGAAGCCTTTGGCCAATCGCTACGGACGTCGCCCTATCTTCCTATTGTCTACCATCCTCAGCTTGGTATGCAATGTGGGTTGTGCGAAGAGTCCAACCTACGCTTCTATGGCCGCCTGTCGAGCCTTGACAGCCTTCTTCATCTCCCCAGCAGCGGCTATTGGAAGTGCTGTTGTTACCGAAACCTTCTTCAAGAAAGACAGAGGCCGTTATCTGGGTGTCTGGACATTGATGGTCACCTTGGGTGTTCCAGTTGGTCAGTTTGCCCTACACTATTAGCGTTGCTTTCCACTGACTGTATTCTAGGCCCCCTGATCTACGGTTTCATTACATACCGCGTAGGATACCGTTGGATTTTCTGGGTGCTGGCCATCACCAACGGTGTTCAGTTCATCTTATATATTTTCTTTGGTCCTGAGACCCGCTACATTGGCGGTAGTACCGAGGGCATGTCTGACTTCAAGGCTCAATACCTATCCTTCCGCCGCATCGATCCAACACCACTCACAATCCGCGAATTCTTCCACCCGTTAACAATGGCTGCACGCCCTAGCGTCATGATTCCTGCATGCGCGTATGCCATGGTGTTCTTGTTCGGCAGTGTGATGATCACAGTCGAAGTGCCCCAACTTCTACAAACAAAGTTCGGCCTCAATGCTGAGCAGCTGGGTCTTCAATTTATTGGAGTTATTATCGGCACTGTCCTAGGCGAGCAGATTGGAGGTTCCATGTCCGACTTCTGGATGCGTCGACGTGAACACAAAATACAGCATAAACCAGATCCCGAGTACCGTCTCTGGCTCAGCTACCCGGGTGTGATCCTGACTATTGTCGGTGCCATTGTATTCCTGGTCTGCACTCAGCAGGCCGCTCCCAACCACTGGGTTGTGTCACCAATCATAGGCACAGCCATTGCCGCCTTTGGTAATCAGCTCGTGACGACCGTTCTGGTCACCTATGCTGTGGATTGCTATCCGGAAGACTCGGGTAGCGTTGGTGTTTTCATCACGTTTGTTCGCCAGGTCTGGGGATTTATTGGTCCGTTCTGGTAGGTCACTTCCATGCCTTAACACTAGAAAGAAATATAGACTAACTTTGACATCGTTAGGTTCCCCGACATGTTCGACAACGTCGGTGTTGCGGCCAGCTCTGGTGTTTCAAGTGCGTTGATGTTTGCTGTCAGCCTTTTGCCTGTCATCGCCGTCCACATGTTTGGAAGGAAGTGGCGCAACCATAATTAGTTGCGTGTATTTTACGACGAATGTATTTCTTATGACCTGACTTGAACTTTTTTTACCACCGTTCATATCACTCTATGGCCAACTATGCTAGTAGTCTGTAGTTCCGTAACGCATCAATTTTAGACAGAATACATCGACACATTAGAAGTTTACAAAGTTAAAATGCATATCGACGATAGGTAATACTACATGTACAATCTCAAAAGGCACTGTGTAAAATCAAACCATTTAGTCTCTTCAAGCCTAAACAGTAGCCCATAGTGTGAAATCATCCTCCACGTCTCGTACACTTACCCAAACTCAAGCTGCAAACCTCAGGACAGCCACTATGATACCAATAATGAACAACTCCCACGCACACCACCTATCTACATACCCTCCTTCCGGACTGCACATACACAACGTACACAATTTGAGACAGTTTATCAAGCCAAGGAACTAGAACAGAAAAATTGAGCATAGTACCACTAACCAACCAACCCACTACCGAAACAGTAAACCACACCATGAACCAATCACCAACATCCAGCAATTAAACAATATCTCAAATCAGCCTAGATCTCCACACGCCAGAATACTAGTATGTAGTAAAAGCGCCCAGCGCCATCTCAGCTCGTGCCTTCTTCCACCCACAAACCCACGCCGCCGTGGCGTCCCCTCACAGCGTACGCAAGACAGTTAATAGTTGGACGCCACGCCAGGAAGCGTGGTGCTGTGGGGAGGCCAGTTGGCTGATCTCCATCTCCCACAGGAGGGGCGTGAGATTGTCTATTGTGCTAATGGGGTCTTGTGGGGGTTGAGGGAGGGGAGGGGGGTCTTCGTGCTTGTTGAGCGGTGGGATGGTAGCGGGGGGTTGTGGCGTACTGTGTGTTTTGTTTCTGGTCTCCACTGATTATAGCTGTGGTGGCTTGTTGTGGATTTGCTGTGGGTTGTTGGGTTCTGTTAGGTAGCTGTGATGTATTTGTGGATGTTGGTGTGGATTTGTGGTGGAAGTGATGTGGAAGTGGGTGGAAATGGGGGATTATGCTGTGCATGCGTTTGGTGAGCTGCTTGTCTGGGGACGATGGGTGTTCGTTTGTCTGTCTGCGACCTGCGTGTTGGTATTCTGCGCTGTAAACTAAATCGAAGAAGTGGTATGCTATAGTAGCTAAAGATAATATGTCTACTGTGCTATGTGGGTGTCCGCCATACCTGTGGCAGATATTCCAAATGATGGTCATATTCTGATATACTATACCAATGTCTCCAACCAGAGCATTATAGTATTCAATTCTTATTGACTGCAATCCCCTGCACACCCTCATATCCCACCACCCATTAACACCAAGACAGCGCAAACACCTCCCAACTCTATTGATTTGTAAGGCTGAATGCCAACAGTGCTAGCCGCATCAAAAAACACGTGCCTGCCAACCCAACAGCGTAACAGAACCGAGGATCATTTCCCCCAGACCACATCAGCAATGATCATCCTCCGCACTCTCCACACCCCACGAATCTCTCCACACTCGTATCTGGGGTCACCGAGGTCCATTCTCCGTCTCGGCGAGATTTGAAATCAGAGAAATAGAAGCAACCATGAAACTCAGCAATGAAATCACCTCAATCTCCCCCAGGAGCCGTTGTAGTCCCTGAAACAACTCCCCCGCATTTCTTCCCCATGTTGATCCCCCGGTTCGCGAAAGCATATTCTTAAGAGTTACTCCGGCCCAAGGTTCCTGTCATTCTTCCTTAAAATATACGAGCAGGGATAAATTATTTCAAAACTTACTTTCGTCCATCTCAGCCGCCAAGTCCACAAGTCACTATGATGTCTATACTACGCATTATGCTGTGCTCCTTATCTCCGAGAGTGGAGTCGGGGATAACGCGCAATCCTGCGGACGAACCCGACCAGAACGGTTAAGCGCGAAAAGCAATTCAAGCAGCCAGCAGGCAGCGAAGCTGCAACCACGCTGGAGCTATGACCGTATCGTTATTGGAGAGTAGAGCTCAGGCTGATAGACAGCTGGAAGATGTTTCTCCTCGATGTTCTCCAGACTATACTTCTCTTCAAGGCTCAATTGCTGAGCCAGTTTGCGCCATCTGGTCGGGGCCCCACTGGCGGCGCATTCGATTGCTCGGTCGACGATATCAAGTCATTGCTGCCAGATGGGTCGAAGCTCCTTTATGCTTCTCATTATGATGCTGATGATCGCTTCACGCCCCCGCTTGAGCACAATTCTGGCGCCTTTAGGATCTCGTCGTATACGCTGCCCAGGAGTGCTTGTGTCTTTCAGGCGAATTTGACATTGCCTGGGGAGACTGAACATAGTGTTGGGGTGGTGTTGCCGGATGATTGGAATGGGAGGTTCTTGTATGTATACGTCGTGTTATCTGGTAGATTGATTGTGAGCTAAGGCGTGTGCAGGACAGCGGGAAATGGGGGTTTCTCGGGAAGTGTTAGTTGGGGATCTATTGTATGTTCAGTCCTCTTCGCTCACATAAACCTATAAACAGTTGCTTAATATAGCGATGGCTTTGATAGATCGATGCCTCCTGGTATGGATTCGCCGCTGTATCTACAAATACAGGCCACGAGAGCTCTGGCGCCGAATGGGCTTACCATAACCAAGAAGCTCTCGCCAACTGGGGCTACAGGGCTATGCATGATGCAGTCGTCAATGGTAAGTCCGTGACGGAGCAATACTATGGAAAGAAGATTGCATACAGCTATTATCGCGGCTGCTCCGCGGGTGGAAAGCAGGGACTCAAGGAAGTTGAGATGTTCCCTTATGATTTCGACGGAGTGATTGCCGGAGCTCCCGCCTGGTGGACAACTCATCTGCAACTGTGGAACATGATTGTCGGTATCTGGAACTCACCAGCAGACTCTCCACATCATTTGTCGAACGAACATATCGATCTTCTGGCCAACGAGGTTATTCGCCAATGCGATCCCCAGGATGGGGTGGAAGACGGCATCGTCATGAACCCAGATGCATGTATCTTCCGGCCTGAAGCTCTCTTGTGTGTGGAGGACGTTACAGATCTTTCAAATTGCCTGAACACAGAGCAGATCAAGACCGTGTACAAACTCCACAACGACTGGATGGAAGCAAATGACACATTCATTTTCCCACATCTTACTCTGAGCAGTGAGTGGAAGTGGAGCGGCCTGGTCTCTTCTCCCGCAAGTCTGGGTACGGACTACGTCAAATGGATGCTTCAGTTGGGTGAAGACTGGTCATGGGAGGATTGGGACCCCGAACTGATAAAGTTATCGGATGAGCTGAACCCCGGAAATGCCACAACAGATGACTACGATCTCTCTCCTTTCTATAATAAGGGAGGCAAACTTCTTCATTATCACGGCTGGTCCGACTGGTCTATTGCTGCGGGGTCGAGCATTTATTTCTATGACCAGGTTGTCAATGCTTTACGTCCGAAGGGGATAAACCCGGGTGATTTCTATCGCTTCTATCTGATTCCCGGAATGGGGTAAGTCTACCACTGTATTTAGAGCTATTTGGCCAGTTGCTGACATATCCAGTCACTGCGGAGGTACATCTGATTTGATGAATGCTCCTTGGGTCATTGCAGGAGATGGTCAATCCTCCAGTCTTGGAAGAGATGGAAACATCCACAGCGTACCCGGACATGAAGATGCAAAACACGACGTAGTCCTTGCCATGATGAACTGGGTGGAAAATGGGACCAGTCCAAATGAGTTGATTGCGACGAAGTTCGTGAATGACAAGGATCCGGAAGAGGGTGTATATCGCCAGCGTCCATTGTGTGTGTATCCTGCCGAGGCTCAATACAAAGGCTCCGGGGATATTAACGCAGCGGAGAGTTGGGAGTGCAGAGAGTTGTAATGGCACCGACACTGGGGACAATTTTGTGTAGATGACGCTCTTACGAGAACAATGTAAATACGTTCCATATAAATATTAAGACGATTCTCCCAAATTTAAGGAGCTTTCTACGGATGGGCCAGCTCGTTGGTGGAGAAACTGATCAACCGCCGCCCCTCCGTTTATCGGTTATCGGACTTTTTGTTATACTGCGAGCCCCTCCGCCCGCCAGAGTCTCCGCACTCACCAACTCACTTTCTTACATCTTTGTTTCACCTCCCCATAGACATTATACGCTAGACAAGTGCGCCATCAGTATACACCACAATGTCCAACACCGTTGCAGCAGCCGAGGAAGAAGGCGCTTACACGCCTTACGACCAATTCTTCCTCTTCGGCGACTCGATCACCGAGTACTCCAATGCCCAGGACATGGGATTCGGGTTCTCCGCAGCATTGCAGAATGGTAGGCAATCATTCCCTTATCCCCTTTTTGTACAGACATACACTGATATCTTGTAGCCTACGCCCGCCGCCTGGACGTTGTGAACCGTGGATTAGCGTGCGTCCCTCTATACCAAAACTGAAGCAACAAATAAAAGACAACAACCTCTGACTCTTTCCACAGCGGATACAATACTCTCCACGCCATCAAAGCCTTCCCCAAATGCTTCCCTACCCCAGAGCGCGCCAATGTCCGACTTATGGTAAGCACTCTTACCACACACCCTTACCAACACCCTCATAACTAACGAGCACCACCAGACCATCTGGTTCGGCGCCAACGACGCCAGTCTCCCAGGTTTCGAGCAACACGTCCCCATCGAAACCTACAAGCAAAACCTTAGAAACATCATCCAGCACCCCTTAACCAAGGCCCAGAACCCCCGCATCATGATCATCACTCCTCCCCCCATCAACGAGTACCAATTGGCCGGGTTCGACGCCATGAAGGGGAACCCCCATCCGACTCGGACCAACGCGCATGCCAGGAAGTACGGCCAGGCTGCGCGCGAAGTTGCTGCGGAGTTCGGTCTGCCTGTTGCGGATGTCTGGAGCGCGTTCATGTCGACGGTTGGGTGGAAAGAGGGTCAGCCGCTGGTTGGGTCGAGGGATTTGCCTGAGGATGGCAAGTTTGCTAGTCTGTTTACGGACGGCTTGCATTTGGCTGCTAATGGGTATCGCATTGTGTTTGAGGAGGTTATGAAGACTATTCAGGAGAACTGGCCGGATCAGGTGCCGGAGAAGCTTCCTTATGTGTTTCCTTCTTGGGCGTTGGCGCCGAAATAGGGGCTCAGCGTGGCTCATTGGAGATGACCGTGCTAGTACTAAGACTAGTAGCGCCGTCTCATCTGCTATGTGGTATACTGCTATAAATGGTGAATAGTATATATAGAGAACTGACCATCTAGAAGAAATCCTACTAAGTGGACCAGGGTACAAGAGTGAGATTATATGATAGAGCCCAGCACTGTTGCAGTCATATAATATGATCTTGACTGTGGATCCTGAAATTAGAAGCAAATGGACCAGTTGGGTCCACTGTCTTTGGCTCCATTGACAATGAATGAATAGTAGCAGAATGAGGCTTTGAATGAAAGCGGTCTAGATCCAGCGCATGGCGGCCGCTGGTTGGCTGGCGGGCGATGGATTGCGATCCCCTCATGAATTCCGGTCCGACGGCAACTTCCTGCCTTCTTTCAACTTCTCTTTCCCCCCATTTGTCCTTTTCCTCTCCATCTGTGCCTCTCTGCTATCTTCTCGACGATTTCTCCACTCCACCCTACTCACGACCAAGAAAAGTGCCTCTGCCTCTGCCTCTCTTTTAGCGACATTCTTTTTCCTACGACTCCTTCGCAAAGAACATCCCCAGAGAATCCTCCCGCCCATTCCTCGTCTCCCTCGATCCCCTTCACGAAAGCCGACCATCGCGCAAACTCCGTTACATTTCCTCGAGTACAGCGCTTCATACGAAATACCTACGTTCACGGTTCTTTATAATCGACTCCTTGCACCTTGGAACAACTCCGCTGTCGCCTGGCTCTATCCTGCATTCCCGCAATCTTGGACCAACTTCCGTCCGCATATACCATAAACGCTTCCCGCTTCTTCCTTCCCGCCGCCGTCGTTTGTGTGGCACGATCGCTCAGCTCTTCCTACCACGGTACTTCCGCCAATAATTTTTTTAAATGTCTTTGATCGGATTTGCGGATACTCGTTCCTAGCAAACCGGGTGGACGGCCGTTTGGCCGTCACACAGCACGAGGGAGGAGGATTTGAGGACAAAGCGGGCTATCAGAAGCAGCTGGCTTAGAATAGCAGACATTACGGAGAAGTGAAAGGTGTTGCTTGGTAAACGGATTTGGTCGGACTGGTTTGGTGTGGATACCTCACAGCCTTTCTTTCTGTTCAACGTTCTCGTGTGTTGCCACCATCCAGCGTCTCGTGTTACTTCCGTCTGGATATGGATGCCCAGTATCCCTTTGCCTCCCGCGACGATATCTGGCGCGTCTTCGAAGAGCTGAAGGAGCTCCACGCCACACAGTTTGAACAGGCGGAGCGTATCGCGAGACTGGAACGGCGCAGGGACGAGGATGCAAAGCTGAGGAGTGTTTGGGGTCCTTTGTCGCCGTTTCCTAGCTCCGTTGGGGGCACAATCCCCACAGGTGTGTGTGATAGTTTCTTCTTCTGGATCTTCGCAAGCATGTGGTTTGAGCATGGCTGATGCGCTGTCTTCTGTAGAGCCGGTCTTCCATACCCCCGCGGACGCTTTCAAGGGTTTCGATCAGGGACACCATCACGGGGCCGTCTCTACAATGGGTCTCGACAACGAAGAGGAGCCGCGACGGGGCACTTCCAGGGCAAACAGTGTTAGGTTCGATGAAAGTGCCATCCATGGGTACTACGGGCAGGCCAATCGATCTAGCAGTGAGCTGCCACTCCGCACCGGCAGCGGTCTCGGAAGCCATCCCCTGACGGAGCGGTCCTTGTCTCATCGGTCAGATGGGAGGCAAAGCTCTTCCGGGCACTCCCACCATTCTGCTCGTACCAACAGCCTGGGCCTTGAAACAACTAGCAGGATGATGAGCTCTGTCGGTGGTTCTCCTCTTATTCCCCCGCCTGGACTGTTCCTCCTTGGCCCTGTGCCATGCATCATTCGGTGCTGGCTGACAACTACCTTCTCCAATGATTCTCTCCTGTACGCTGCTGTCTGCTCGGGCTCATACACCTCGTCACTGGGATACCCGATGATCCAGATGCTTGGGTTGGCAGATCAAATCGTGTATGAGGGAGATGTGCAGTACATCAAGCTCCCAATCTACCTCCCCGAAGCTAGTGTGCACCAAGCCTCATCGCGATCCAGCAGCCCCGAACCTCAAGTACCTACGTTGACCGTTCGGTTTCTAGTCCGCGAGGTTGAGTCTGGCGACACTGCAATCCAGATTGTCCTGGGAAGTGACGTCCTTCGGTCCCACAACGCCGACGTGCTCTTCTCACAAGACAAGATTATCATGGTTGATGATGAAAGGAACAAGGTATCCATTCCCTTGGTGCGTCCCGAAGATGATTCGGTTTTCAAGTCATTGTCCACGATGTCGGATGCCACCCGCAGCGGGCGGAAGGCTCGTTCGGTCCACGAGGATATCCAGGCGGACACGAACGGCCATGCAACCTTTGGTGTGATTGGGCGTCCTGCCAGCCTCTCTCGCCGGGCTACCTCCACGTCTGCCTCTGCAAGAGAGTCTCTCGAGGGGTCCGAGGAGAGTCGAAAGGCTCGCCCGGGGACCCAAGAGGGGTCAACGGACACTGATACCCAAAAGGAACAGAAGTCCGGCGCAGAAGTCGATGCTCAGGTGGGTGGCCCAGCACGGGTGGAGGCAGCCGGAGTCTGGGGCTCGTGGAAACGCGAGTCCAAGTCAGATCCAAACGCTTCTGCAACAGGCAAGGCCACCCGTGGCCGTACGATGAAAGTACTGCGGCCTACGAAATCCTCCACACGAGTGGCTCAAGCTACGACTGTTCCTAGTAGTTCTGCTACCGACTATGCCGCGACCTCAGGGCCGTCGCAGCCCGCGTCGACCCGAGCATCGCCGGATGGGACACGCACGAGCAAGCAGTGGCCTAGCAATCCAGTTGGCGGGGCGTCCGCATTTGGCTGGCTCAACACCACACAGCCACCAGGTCGGACTGCAATGACCCCTAAATGAAACAAATTAGGGTGTTCCTTGTATCTTTTCCATGACTTGAGACAGTCTAATTGACGTACCGCAATACTGACTTGACTAAACCACACACACCTACAACTCTCCCGTAGTATATACACACTAGATACATCATAGTAATTAAATCTTCGCCAATCCCTCCACCGCCCCCCTCGTCTCCTCCTTCATCTCCCTAACCAACCCACTGACCACCTTAAACCCCTCATGCCCCGCATCCCCCAACATCTCAAACAACAAACTCTCACTCGTCGTCACAATCGCCCCCGCATCCCTCATCCTCTGCACCGCAATCCCCCTCTCCTCTTTATTCACACTACTCACCCCATCCACACACACATACACCCGATGTCCTCTCCGCAACAGATCCATCGTCGTCTGCAACACACAGATATGCGTCTCAATCCCCACGATTATCACATCCAACGCCTTCTCCCCCTTCTCAGGCGATGGGAGAAGCGCTTCCATCTCGGGCGTGATCATTGAGAAGAGGGTTTTGTCAAGGTCGGCCCGCACAAGCGGGTGGTTGGTTAAATGTGTAGTGAGTTCAGGCACCGTGTTGCCGAGTTTTGCGCGCGATTGGGTGGTTATGTAGATTGGGATTTGGAGGGGTTGCGTGGCGCGGAGGAGTTTGGTTGTGGTATTTACTCTAGGGATATGTTTAGCTGGTGATGGGGGTGGGGAAGAAAGGGGAAGCAGGTAGGCGTACACTTTTGGGAATTCGTAGATGGCATGGCGGAATTTCTCTTGGAGGTCGCAGATACTGTTGTTTTTTTAGGGAGTTGGTTAGGGGGATTGGAAGGGATTGGAAGGGAGGAGGAGGGTGGAGGTGCGTACAAAAGGGCTGGGTTGTCTGGTGGCGGTGGTGGTGTGGTTAGTTGGGTTGCTTGTTTGTTTGTGGTAGTGAGGGGATATGATGGTGGACGTACTGATGCGGGTTACGCGCGATAGGGAGGCCATTATGATTGCTTTGTTGAGTGGTTTAATGGGTTTAGTAGTGTTGGTTTGAGGGAGAGATGTAAGTTGTGATGGGAATGAGATAGGAGAAGCGGGGAAAGCCAGGAGAATTGGAGGTCAGGTGCGGGGAAATTGGTGCCTGGTTTGTCAGGCAGACTATCTTTTTTGCATACGCTGTGCGGTTTTGATTGATATGTGGTGACAATGAACTGCTTTTGATTATCCAGGTCTATAAATCATTTCTATAGTTGTGGCCATCTATCCCAATCACAGCTGTATCTCTTCCACCTTCGCCCGTCCGGCAAACCAGCTGTGGTCGCCTTTCAGAGCTGCCTGTCGGATGGCATACAGCTCGTCCAGGAACGCGGGCACAAAGCTGCCCGGTCCTCGTACGTTGTCTGCTGATGCTGCGTTCTCGGCGGCAATCTCGTACATCAAGATACCTGCAAGCACGGCAAGGAACTTGTCCTTGGGGTGCGTGGTCAAAAAGGCACCGGAGACGGTGCCCACGGCACAACCGGTCTAGATGATCTTTGTTAGCATATTCCATGAAACTTGATGATATATACCTACGCCAGTCACTTGGCCGAGAAGCTCATGACCGTTAGAGACCGCAACGACGCGCTCTCCATCGCTGAGGTAGTCGGTGGCGCCGGTGAGGAGGACAATGTTGTCTATTGTGGTTAGTTATGCTTCGTCAATTCGTGTAGTGAACTCACGCTCTCTCCTGGCGAGATCACGCGCCAGTCGGGCCTTTCCGTGGCTGTCGAGGTTGCTGGGCCCGCTGTCGACACCACGCTGCGTTACGCCGCTGCTGCCAAACACCTGACGGATCTCTCCTTCGTTGCCCTTGATGAGGTCAAAGTATCCACCTGACATCAGCTGGGTGACAGCTCCACGGCGGATGCTGGTGGCTGCGGCGCCAACGGGGTCGTACACCACGGGGTTACCGCGCATATTGTATGCTTTCTGGGCTTTCAGGTAGTTGGGAATGCTCTCGCTCGTGAGGGTGCCCATGTTGATGACCAGGGCACCGTCAAACTGGCAGAGATCGACGGCTTCATCTCCGTACGGTGACATAATTGGCGATGCGCCCCTATATATCGTTAGCAAAGGTCATTGGTTGAAGGGGAGCTGTAGGGAAGGAATACATTGAAAGCGCGACGTTGGCCACAAAGTTGGCCACAACATAGTTGATCATGTTGTGCACCAGCGGATGGCCCTTGACGACTTCCTGGACAACCTGAGGCACCTGTTCGAGTAATGCGGAGGTATCACGAGCAGGGGTAGTAGCATCGCTCCGGACGAAAGGGGGAGGGCTTGAGACGAGCTTCACGAATTCAGCAGCCGCTGCCTTCGGGTCATCTGCAGCCATGATAGCGCTGACGATCGCAACGCCATCCAGAGCCTTGTTCGGAGCGCGGGACTGGTAGAGAACGCGCTGGACATTGGAAGCGTTGATTCCACCAATAGATACAGTTCCAACAGTGCGGCCTGACTCCGAGATAGCCTCGAGGATGGCCTGAGTTCCAGCTGTACCAATGATGGACTTGGTGTTGGTTTTCCTACTCCTCGTCAGTGATGCACATTTTTCAAGGCTAGCCGGGTTCGTACGTCGGGGTAGCGAACATGGTGCCGATTCCGAGGTAGTCGGCACCTGCAGCAACTGCCTTCTGCGCCTCCTCTATCGAGGAGGCACTGATGCCGATGATAGAGTTCTCGGGGAGAAGCTTCCTGGCTACCTCAATAGCTGCGAGCAGTCAGAATACGACGAGTAGACGAATCAGGTTCAGACATACCCATGTCATCTTGGCCCAAGTGGACACCCTCTACACCAGCAGCAAGAGCGACATCAACACGGTCATTGATCAGCAGAGGCACATTGTACTTCTTGGTGATTTGGTGCAATTTCTTGGCGGTCTCTACTTGGACGCCCGTGTCACTTTTCTTGTCTCTATATTGGACAATGGTCACACCTACACCAATTGTCAGTGGGGGGAATTTTCCGGGAGAATGAACAACTCACCTCCTTTGACAGCTTCCTCGACGACAGCACACAGGTCACGACCTTTGAGAATGGCCGGGGTTGAGTCGGTGACCAGGTATACCGAGAGATCCAGAGTCATTTTGTGGGAACTGGTTGGGCTCTGGTTAGATCCATGTGACGCAACACCCAGGCTGGATACCTCCAGTTTTGGGGGATCCAGTAGAAGAGAAGATAGTATTTACCGTCTATATCCAACTTATTGATAATTCAAGTCCCACGATGGTCACGACAATATATTGGAGGCCCACGAGCAGCAGACAAGCGAGGCTTGATGGTGTTGGGAAGAGTGGGGGTCACGGCCGAAGTTAGTCATTGGCCTCCATCGACATCATCCTCGCCCATTCCCTCGCTTCAGTTCCTTCTACAATACTATGAAGATGAGGATGTCCATTACGTCCATGTCTTTCCAGATCATGATGACACAAGAATTATAAATGATATATTGATGCACCGACTGAAAAGACGTTGGAGCTAGTCACTAGTGCTAAAACATTAATATCCCCCATGGAGATGGCCACACTCAGCATTGAAATTGCTAGTTTACTCAATAATCAACATGCCTGATCATTGAACTCACCAAGAAGTATACTTGAGCTAGCACCTACAGATGCACCAAGGAATGCTATGTGGCCAGCTGCATCATTAAGTAATTCACCCCATGGCTAGTTACTGTGAAAGCTACTGATGCAGCAGACTGGAGTGTTGTGCTGAAACTCCTGGCTCCACTTCGGATGGCGACAGTGCTCCGCCGATGGCCGGCGTCTGCCCATGCTTCTCACCCTGGACCAATGATCAGGTTGTGCAGGCTCACACGGTCGCACGGTAGAGACCAAAATACCTAGAGAACACCGACTACCCGAAAGTTACCCCCAAGAGTTGCCTATGCCTGTGTATCCGGCCCTTGATAGCGGACAGGCCAATGCAGGGGTACAGTTTGGGGGATCCGGACAGCCAGCGACAATCCCATTGTATGCCTACGGAAAGCATAAGCATGGTGAAGTCATCAGAAAGACTCTTGAAGGTAGTTATGGCATGTCTCTACACTCTAAGCACACTGAAAAGTCGCCGTGCACGCTACTAGTTGGTAGTCGGACCCGAAGCACTGGGCTCGAAACGACCAATGGGCTCCACTGAAGAAGGACAGCAATCTCTGTACGCCGTTGGTAGACACAAAGCCAAATGATGTGCGACCTGGTTCTTCTCAAGTGAACAAGGGGAGTGACACTGAACCCTCATACAGAGAAGGAGAAGATCCAGTTAGGGTAATTAGAATTGGTAAACTACGAGTGAAGCGAGCAAAGAGAAGAAAAATAGACCGAGACAATAAATTCATATGGGGATAGTATTATTGCAGTCGAACAATATGAGACTTTTCTTAATGAAAGTGGCGCCTGGAGATGCCTCGGCTGACTCAGACGCGCGCATTTTTTCCTTCTTTTTTTACCCTCGCCGTTTTTTCCGATTTTTACTGGTTGGGAGCCTTAGCAAATCGGCTCGGACTTTTCCTTTTTTTGTTTGGGCTTCCACTTCCCTTCTTTCCTTCTTTTCTTTCTCTTCTTCTTCTCCTCCTCTTTCCCTCTTCCACCCACTTTCCAACTCATCCACCTTTCAGGTTTTTCTCATCACCATCTCATCAGCGTTGCAACGCTCTTGCGTATTGAAAGCTCTCTCCGCCAGGCTATTACTTTCGCCTGCTGGTTTCCCACACGTTTTGTTCACGCTCAAACCACTCTGGTTAGTTCCCTTCCCTTCCACCCCCTCCGGCCCTGCTGTCAGGCCTCCATCAGTATTACGAAGCTGACCGGATCGTCTTGCTTTTCCTTTCCAACAGAAGAACCACGCGTTGGTTTCTCTCTCTTCCTGCCGGAGAAAGCCACTGAAAAACAGAGTCGGTCGAGAACTTGTCTATGTATTCGTCCTGCGTCAGAGATCTCGATCACCACCTGCCGCTCAAGCTGCAATCGTTTCGCTTCACGTCGAAACCTTGTAGTATACATTCGAAGTCCTGTGGCTGAAAGCTAAGGGCTGCCGTATTCGCTGTGTCCATCATTCGACTCAACTAAAAAAAATTCGATCTCAACAACCGCCATCATTCCACCAAAATTAGGAATATTCCACGCATGTCTTGTTTTGTCAAGATATTCCTGGTCCAGAATCCGTCCCGCTTCTTCTTCATATAACCATCTCGCTTAGTCTCTTGAAGATTTCACCAATCAACAAACCGTCATCATGGCCACTGTCAACATTCGTCGGGATGTCTCCGATCCCTTCTACCGTTACAAGATGGAGCGCCTTCAGTCCAAGATTGAGGGCAAGGGCAACGGTATCAAGACCGTCGTCGTCAACCTGAACTCGGTCGCTCAGTCGCTCAGTCGGCCTCCGTCTTACGTGATCAAGTACTTTGGCTTCGAGCTGGGTGCTCAGGCCAACGCCAAGCCCACCGATGATCGCTGGATCATCAACGGTGCCCATGATGCCCCCAAGCTTCAAGACTATCTGGACGGCTTTATTTCCAAGTTCGTGCTGTGCAAGAAATGTAAGAATCCGGAAACGGATGTCATCATCAAGGATGAGAAGATCTTTTTGGACTGCAAGGCCTGTGGACAGCGCTCCGAGGTCGACTCCCGTCTGAAACTGAGCACCTTCATCATCCGCAACGGCGCGCAAGGCAAGGGAGGGAAGAAGGACAAGGCCTCGAAGAAGGCCCGTCGTGATCGAAACAAGGAGAAGAATGACACTGCGAATGGCGACAAGGATGGCAGCCCCGGAGATAGCAACAACTCCGAGAACGGTGATGAGGAGAACGGCGATGTCGCCCTGGAAGCAGGTAGCGATGACGAACTCACTCGCCGTATCAAGGCCGGTGCCAAGGACATCGAGGCTGATGAGATCGATGATGATGAATGGGCTGTTGACGTGTCGGAGGAGGCCGTCAAGGCTCGTGCCAAGGAGCTCCCCGATGATCTCAAGCGCTCCCTCGTTCTCGAGGATGGTGATGACGAGGGTGCTGACGGCCCCTCTGCCTACGACGAGCTTGGCAGCTGGATCCTCAACGCCGCTTCTGAGAAGGGCGGTGTCACCGCTGTTAGTGACGTCGATATCTACATGAAGGCCAAGGAGTACGGCATCGAGAACAAGCACAAGACTGTCGCTGTTTTGGCTCAGACCATCTTCGATGAGAAGATCGCCAAGCAGGTTCCTTCCCGTGCTGCTCTGCTGAAGAAGATGATCACCTCCGAGCGCCACGAGAAGGCCTTCCTCGGTGGAACCGAGCGCTTTGTCGGCAAGGATCACCCTGAGCTCATTAGCCAGGTCCCCGCTGTCTTGCTCAAGTACTATGAGCACGACCTCGTCTCTGAGGAGACCCTCAAGGCGTGGGGTTCCAAGGCTAGCAAGAAGTATGTCGACATCCAGACCAGCAAGAAGGTCCGCAAGGCTGCTGAACCCTTCCTCGAATGGCTTGAGAACGCCGAGAGTGAGGAGGAGAGCGAGGAGGAGAGCGACTAGATCAGCGACTCGGCTTGTCGCAGTCATCTGTCTGCTCAGTAGACAATTTTCGGGACTACTTGGTTTTTGTCGCGTGATTGTTTCGTTTGTTCCAACTGATCTCCGCTCTTTTCGGATGTGACAGTTTCGCTCTGCCTATTGTTTGTTCCAGAAGTTTGAAATAAGCTCATCGAAAAAACATTAGTCCTAGGTAGCTGCCAATAATATCGCTCTGCGTATTTGTGCTAGTAATTGTCATTGTGTTCCCAGTAGATCACGTAAACTTTTGCTCCAAAATCAATAATTATGTATCGCCACTTCCACATCTAACTCCGTCGCTTCGACTTTACCTTGAAGAACAGAAGCCATCAGCATCCCATCTACGAGTCCACCAAGACCAGACATCATAGAGTACACAAGTGGTACTATTGTTTACCTACGATGTCTAACACAACTTCAAACACACATCAACCCAACTACCTAGCTAGCTTCATTTAATTTAAAACGCCACCTCCGCAAACCTCAACCTTGTCCCCGCCATCGACCACCCTTTCAATGTCTCCTCTTCTTCTTCAACCACCTCACAGATCAAAGGAGGTCGAGGTTGCGACTGAATCCTCGTCGTCCTCTTACTCTTCTCCACCACCCTCCTCACCGCCGCCCTCTCCTCCTGGAAAATAAACCACGTTAGATCGGCATTCCACGTCTCCATGGCCTGGATCACATCCTCGACTGAGTCGATTTCCACGCTTAGAGAAGAAGTTGCGGTTGCACCAGCACTTTCTGTTGTTTGAGTCGGCTTGTTATACCGCATCCGAGAGGAGTAATACTCCGGTCCAGCATACCGTACTATCCAAGCAGCCAGGAACTCGCAGATTTTGTCTCCGATGGATAACGGAAGTCGGACGTGCGTGAGGAGCGTGATGAATAGGGGGACCATTGCGCGCCAGAGGGCGTGGTGGGGGGTGAAGGTGCGGGTGCCGTGGGTGCCGGTTGTGGTGAGGGAGAGGGAGGGGACGAATATTGATGTAGATAGGGTAAGGGCGTTGTTTGAGTTGGTCTCTTGTTGGGATTGTTGCTGAGCTCGTCTTTCGATTGCTTTCTCAGCGTCCTGGCGGACTTTATCCCATGCGCGAGTGTAGAGGCGCTCCCAGCGGGGAAACTCGGTTTCAATGCGCGAGGCCATGAAGTCGCCGGCGGTCTTGCACATGGTTTCGATGGCTTTGCAGGCTGTTGTGGTGACGAAGGTTTCTTCTTGGAAGGAGAATTCGGTAGGGGATTGTTTGAGGCTGGTGTTGATGAGTTCAGTGGAACTGCCTGTGGTTGTTGAGGAGGTGGTGAGGGAGGATGGGAAGCTGATTCGGGCGGATACAGCGGGCCATAAGTCGTTGATTAATGGGAGGAAGCTGTTTTCGTGCGCGGCGAGGGTTGGGAACACGTCAATGAGGATGGTGAGGAGGGAGCGTCGGAGGTATGGCGATGGGGAGGAGAGATGGGATGGGATGGATTGAATGATGTGGAGGAGGAGATTGTGTGGTTTGCTTAGAGGCTCCTCGCTGTCTTCGGCTTCGCGGGGTGGGGGGAGTGGTTCATCTGGGTCGTCTTCTTCCTTGAGAAGGTCCTCGATGGTGGTGTTGAAGTCGGGTTCTTGTTGCTTGGGGTTGTCGGATTCCCTTATCCAGGGCTTTTTCGGGTGTGGGATGACTTCGTCTACGTCCCCGAGGTCTTCGGTTAGTTTTGCACGCTTTGCTTTACGGTGGGCGAGGTCCTGGACGAGGGTGGAAATCTGTAGTCTTTCGTATGGCTTCTTGTGGTGGTCAACATTGCCGTCTCTGCCGTTGTCGATTGCTAGGAAGGAAGGACTTTTTGTGCCTTCTTCGACGATGGCGGCGAGAGTCCGGAACATCATCTCGACAAGTTTGGGATAGCCATGGTACATGTCTAGTATGCTGAAGATTGAATCCACCAGGTCGTCGAGGTAAGGAATCAGTCGCACGCCGGACAGTTTAACCATCATTAGGAGAACCTGTGGCGGGTATGGAGAGACGTCGAAGGTGTTCAGCTTTAGGGCCACCGAGTTCACAAGATAGTCGACATTTTCGACTATCATTGTGCTGGCGTCTGCATAATTGCAGGATGTGGTGAGAATGTTGAGGCACGTCATAGCATGCTTCTGGAGACTCGAGTTGCTGGATGCCAATAATTGAAGGACAGGATATAACGCGTCCATTAGCTCTGGGCGGAAGGCTTCTCCGAGTTGCTGGGCCTGAAGAGCAACGGCCTCTAGAGCAAGTGCCTGTACCCGCCAGTCCCTGGACTCGTCGACCAATGGTTCGTTGAGTATAGGCAATGAGACGTAGTACAACTCTTCAATCATGCCAGATCTTGAAAAACGTTGACCCGAAGGTTCAAGTTCATCCGTGGAGATGAAATCATCGAATATAGAGGTGAGCTGCGTATTGCTTTTAAGGAAGGTTAAACCTAGCCAAAGAGGTGCAATGAGAGCATTTCCCCTCTCATGGTGGACTCGATTGATAATCAGACGTGTGATCTCATTGCCAGACTCAGATGCGTTAAGTTTAATAATCATGGATTGCAAATCATTCAGCGTTTGTTGCTGGCTTCTGTGCTCGAGAATGACTGGAGGAAACGATACTGATTTAACCCCTTGATTTAGTACTTCCAGAGTCTGGCCGTTGGAAACGTCAGAGCTGAGAGGCTGAAGAGCGCTTGTCGAATTGTTCAGAGATGCAGCCACACTGTCGCAAATACCAGACGCTAGGCTAGCTGCAAGGAGATCAGAACCAGATTGTACCTGCGACAAAACCTGAAAGGCAGTCGATATTTGCTTAACCGCCCACTGCTTCGCCGTTTCGTCGTTGCTCTGCATGGTCCTGGGGAAGGCAGTGACCCACGTATGAAGAGAGTTCTTCAAAGAGTCAATCACGGCGGGATAAGTGGTGGCATGATGTCTTAGTGCAACGAATGCCTCATTCGGCACCTGGTTTTCATCCACGTTGGACAATACAACAACAGTCTCGACAATGATGGGCAGTGCCTCCTGTAGTGTTTCCTGGCAGTCTTCTACTATCATCAGGCAGAGTTCCAGGAGTGCTGTCTGTACTTCGGGTCGATCATGCCGCCTTATTTGGCTAACATTTGCAAGAGCAAGTTTGATTTGTGTAGTAGTCGCTTTGAGCCAGGATGCGTCAAGCACCATTTGGTCCTCCGCATTTTGGGAAGGAGCTGATTTTTCTGACGTTTTGGCAATTTGATCGTTCAGCACTGTCCTTAGCAGGTAGTTGAAAATCTGTAAACAGACTGATAGAAGCTTATACGACCGCCGGACCTGAGTTGATGGTTTTATGATTTTTGTCAAAGTTGAGACTGTCCGTGGCATTATACTTGCCAGCACTACTCGATCTGTGATACGCTGAAAAAGTGCTTGAAGTGCCTTGGCTGCAGATATGCAGAGTTCGTCTGATCCCTCATCTGCAGCACCTTCGAGCATCAGGTAGACCATCTGATCAACAACAGTGGCGGTGCCGACTTCATGGTAGATAGTCTGCTTAGCGACAGGTCCATCCAGAACATTGAAGATAGCGAGAAGACAGTTGAACCCCGCAATGGCGAGCTCTGGTGACCGAGTCTGTGATGAACTGGTTTCACCTGATTTATTCGGCGTGCCACCCACAATCAAGGTTAGCAGAATGATGAGCTGCTTGCCCATCTGTGGTGATAATTGCCTTCCCCATCCTTTCTCAACAAGGATGCGCAGACACTTGACGGAAAGTTCCAAGCAGTTGACTGGAGACCTTTGGGTTTCGTTGAAGATATGGCATAATGGGAAGAATGCATATTCCGCCAACTTTTCATCTAAGGCTTCTTTACGAGCAAGCTCGTCCAGTACATTGTACACTGGCTGAAGGGCGCGAAAGACATCATTTGGAGTTGCTTGTCGCCCACGGAATCGCAGGCCCACCGAGCTGAGCTCAACGCATGGCGGTTTAAGCTTCTATTTATTAGCAAGCAGCTTGTTTCCATGGAGTACATTTCGTACCTTGGTGAAAGCTTCCTGTCTAGAGATCTCCATTGACGTGATTAGAGATGCTATTGAATTAGGCGTGCATTCAATCCCTTAACAGCCATCTGATATGCAACACAGGTATGGAAGATGCACGAGTTCGGGCCAAATGCTGGAAATCCGAAGATGGGAGATGCTGCCTTACAGACCAGGCCATTATCGATAGTCTCTTACCGCCGCCACCCCGCATTCTGCCAGATATTAAAGGCGGTGTGCTGTGAATGTTTGCAATGTTTGACTGAACCACTTTGCTGCGTGTTCAGCAGATCACATCGGACTCGATTCTTCAGCAAGATTTTACTCCTATTCAGGTATTTTTTTTATGAGAGTCCGTGAATTCTCTTTCTGCCTTTGGATTTAGCTTCACGTGGGGGCTGGTTTTCCCTCCTGTCTTCAATCACGTGACCTTAATGGATCTCGCGTCACGTCACGTCGCGTTCCCGTTTAAGCCATGGAAGGCTCCGTGAAGGCAGCAGTAGATGTCGACCTTGGGTGCCTGATTTTTCGAACTCGACACTCGTGCATATAAATCGCTGCACTGCCATTTTAGGATGAAGGACGTTTGAGATAACGTCTATGCCCGCTACTCGCCCTTCCGCGTTTCTTGCGCCACTGTTACAATTCCCTTGCAGGAGACCTGCTCCGGCGCAGTTTGAGTCGCCTTTCTACAGTCGCAACTTGACCTTGTCACAGATAGGCTCGCCATTATTTAGGTCGCAAACAAGGCATTTTGGAGTCTATCAGCAGCTCAGAAGGAACTATAGCGGCATTGGATCAAGCGCAGCGCGATCGTCGCTCATAATGGCAGATTCAAGGAGCAGGAAGCAAGCTACCCTGGGGTATGTTCGGGATTCCCAGTTGACTCTTGGGTGCGTCTGTAACTGGACCTCGGATGCATCTGGAAGTCCTATTCGTTTGGATGCTAACACCGGCTCAATTAATAGGCGATTTTTCGGCTCGAACTCAGACCCCAAAGAAGCTCCCAAGAAGCAGACTACGCTATCATTTTCGAACAAGAAGAGCAAGTCTGCCAAAAAAGATAGTGAATCGGAAACGGCGCAAGATCCGGAACCCGTCAATGGACATGGAACTAGTGGAGATGCGAATGGTGGTGCTGACACGGTAGACTCAGCCATCAAGTCGAAGCAAGAGGCTGTCAAGGCAGACGAGCCTGTCGATCAGAACAAATTGAAGAGAGAAAACAGCAGTGAGGATGAAGATAGTGATGTCCAGCCTGTCAGCAAGCGCCGCCGCAAGACATCCCGAGGGGACGAAGCTTCCTCCTCTCCCAAACGAAAATCCCCATCACCTAAAAGCCCCAAGAAGCGGTCGCAGTCAAGAGAGCGCTCGCCGCCAGCTGTCATCGAGAAGGCATCAGGCGAGAAAACACCGCAAAAAGAATTGAGCGTCTCGGATGACGAAGTTGCAGAAGAGGAGGCACAGTCTGCCAGTGAGGACGAAGAGAAGCCCGAGGTGAAGAAGAAAAAGATTGAGAAGGCTCAGGCTACGTTGAAGGCTGCTGGAAATGAGCCTTATCCGGATTGGAAAGCTGGCGACCCAGTTCCGTATGCCGCGCTCTGCACGACCTTTTCCCTTATCGAGATGACCACGAAGCGATTAGTGATCTTGGCTCATTGCTCTCTGTTCCTTCGCCAAGTATTGCGACTCACACCCCAAGATCTTCTCCCTACTGTTCAACTTATGATCAACAAGCTGGCCGCGGATTATGCTGGAATTGAACTGGGCATTGGCGAGTCTTTGATTATGAAGGCTATTGGCGAGAGTACCGGACGTAGTCTGGCAGTGATTAAGACAGACCAACATGAAATCGGAGATCTTGGCTTGGTGGCCGCCAAGAGTCGGTCTAACCAGCCAACTATGTTCAAGCCGAAGCCATTGACTGTTCGCGGAGTGCACGAAGGTCTCCTTGGTATTGCCAAGGTCCAGGGCCATGGTTCCCAGGATAAGAAGATTTCCGGTATCAAAAAGCTGCTGTCGGCAGCCGACGCAGCAACAGCAGGTAAAGGAAGCAAAGGCATTGATATCACCAAGGACAAAGGCGGACCTAGTGAAGCCAAGTACATTGTTCGATTCTTAGAAGGAAAGCTCAGACTTGGACTGGCTGAAAAGACCGTGCTTGTTGCCCTTGCCCAAGCTGTCGTCGCACACGAGGCCGCTATGGAGGGCCACAAGACTCCCTCTGCCGAGAAATTGGCCGAAGGTGAGGCCATTCTGAAGACTGTTTACAGCGAACTGCCGGCGTATGAAGTGATTATACCAGCCATCCTCGAGCATGGCCTCTCCAACTTGCCAAAGGTTTGCAAGCTGCAGCCGGGTATTCCCCTCAAACCCATGCTTGCCAAACCCACCAAGTCCATCACTGAAGTGCTTGACCGGTTTGAAGGAAAGGAGTTCACCTGCGAGTACAAGTATGACGGGGAACGAGCACAAATCCACTACGTCGCTCCTGACTCGATCCATCAATATCCGGGTGCGACAGCCACCTTGAAGAAAGATGCCAAGGGTCTCAGTGCGATCTTTTCGCGTAATTCTGAAGACCTATCGAAGAAATACCCTGACGTTCTAGCCAAGCTTGATGGCTGGATCAAAGAGGGCGTTCAAAGCTTTGTACTAGACTGCGAGACTGTTGCTTGGGATACGGAGAACAAGAAGGTTCTGCCATTCCAACAACTCATGACTCGCAAGAGGAAGGATGTCAAAGCGGAAGATGTCAAGGTCAAGGTTTGCATATTCGCCTTTGACCTTCTATTCCTGAATGGCGAGGTAAGTTGTACGTAGCAGCTGCGTTTCTACTTTGCTGACGGTCAGGGTAGCCTACAGTTAAGAAGTCCCTACGAGAACGCCGTGAGCTGTTACATGAATCCTTTCAGGTGACTGAAGGAGAATTCCAGTTCGCTCAGTACGGCAACACCAACGTACTGGATGAAATCCAGACTTTACTTGATGACAGTGTGAAGGCATCGTGTGAAGGTCTGATGGTCAAAATGTTGGACACGGAGGAAAGTGGCTACGAGCCTAGTAAACGAAGTCGGAATTGGCTCAAGGTAAGCTTCACTTGATAGAATCGACGATCTGTCTACTGACAACGGACTAGGTCAAGAAGGACTACCTCAGTGGGGTTGGTGACTCTCTCGATCTTGTTGTACTAGGTGCCTATCATGGCCGAGGCAAGCGCACATCAGTCTACGGTGCGTTCCTTTTGGCTGCGTACAACTCGAGTACACAAACATATGAGACGATCTGCAACATCGGCACAGGATTCTCGGAAGCGGTCCTGGAAGAGTTCTACAATGCACTCTCCCCTTTGACGATTGATCGGCCCAAGCCCTTCTACTCCCATTCAAACGTACCCAAGGACCAGCCCGATGTATGGTTCGAACCGCGGTTAGTGTGGGAGGTCAAGACTGCGGATCTGACGCTCAGTCCTCGATACAAGGCAGCGGCAGATGAATTTATGGGAACGACTGGGGGAGGAAAGGGCGTATCTCTTCGCTTTCCCCGATTCATCAAGTCCCGAGACGATAAGAAGCCCGAGCAGGCAACGACCACGCGGGCCGTGGCGGAGATGTACCGCAAGCAAGAAGCGGTCCAGAAGGAGAATGCTGGCAAGGGAGGAGTGGATGATGATTTCGAGTACTGAGGCGCGGGGTTCCTGCATGTCTTTCATGGTTGGGAGGTATATGTACATGTAATGCCGTTGGGTTCTGGATACCCACAATAAAGTGTTTCTACTATTACTTTTGCATTGTTAGACTTTGAAGGCTGCTCTGTAAGGGTCCATTCCGTTGGAGTCAAACAACCGTCTGTCCGCGGGCATATGTCTCAGTCTGAGGTGAGAACTGCAATATACACTCCAAGCTTTCTCAATCTGATGCACAGATTGCAAACATCTCCCTTGCTGTGTGGTAAAGTCTCCCTTTCTCGGTGAACCTTCTTCGGGGTCGCAACTGATTCCATTGACCCTCACCATCTGTCGAATTGTTCCCGAAAGCTCGCGTCCAAATAGGCTTTACGGACGCCACAGCTGCTCGAGGCCATCTCCAAGGGGGAATGAACAATGGAATGGTAAGCCGCTAAGAAAGGGGAACTGTCGGTTCTGGTCGATTGGCAGGGTCAGGGCAGTGCTTGGGCTGTTCCTCTGGCCCTCCCTTGCTTCAAGCTGGCCCCGATTTGGCAGCTCGTGAAGCTCACCAGACATTCAGCCAGCCAGATGACTGGCACCTTTCCGCTGGGCATAAATTGGCCCTGGCAGCCATGTCATGCCAATCTTGGCTCCAGGACCAGTCATTCCTTTTCTTGTTCCTGTCAAACAGATCAAGTCCTCGAGGATGGGAGCTCTTCAGTGGCTGTCCATCACGGCTGCTGCGGCCTCCGCAGTGTCAGCCTTGACCCCGGAGTAAGTATCTCCAATCATTTGGAACTGGCCCATATTGTGCATAGCTAACCAGCTTACCTGCATAGGCAGATGATCGGTGCCCCACGGAGAACCGAAGTTATACCAAACCCCTCCGGTGTATGCCCATTGCCAGGTCCAGCCTTACAAAGAAGCGTCGTCTGCTGACACGAGAAGGACACCGGTCTATTCTCGACCTCCCAATGGTCGTTTGACACTCATTCTGAGAGCACCTGGTGGAGCTTGATCGACCTCCAATCGGGCAAGACCACCACTCTCACCGATGATAGCGATATCGAGGAGATCATCTGGCTTGGCTCTGACAATTCTACGCTCCTCTACATCAACAGCACCAACGCGCAGGTTCCCGGTGGCGTGGAGCTGTGGATTGCGGACTCTTCTGACTTTGCAAATGCGTTGGTTCAGGCCTTTAACGATGCCTCTGCAGACTAGTGCTAATCCTACTTGGTGCAGTTACAAGGCAGCCTCTCTCTCCGCCGGTTTTCTCGGCATCAAATCAACCGTGACAGATTCCGGCGACGTGCATTTCATCCTTCGTGGAAAGTCCTATCCCAACGGAACGGCATACAATGATCAGCTCGCCGAGACCTATCCCAGTACAGCCCGCATCTACGACAGCATCTTTGTGCGGCACTGGGACACTTACCTGACCACCGCCTCCCACGCTGTATTCTCCGGTACCCTGCAAAGCTCGACCAGCGACGACGGCAATGTTCAATATACCTCTTCAGGGGGATTGACCAACCTGGTTAACCCAGTCAAGGGTGCCGAAAGCCCATTCCCTCCTTTTGGAGGCAACGACGACTATGACCTCTCGCCTGACGGCAAATGGGTTACCTTCAAGAGCAAAGCGCCAGAGCTGCCTCTTGCTAACAACACGGCTGCCTATGTCTATCTCGTCCCACACGACGGCTCTGCGACTGCCTTTGCCGTCAACGGCCCTGATAGTCCTGCAACCCCGGAGGGAGTTGAAGGAGAATCCAACAATCCCGTGTTCTCCCCTGATAGCGACAAAATAGCGTACTTCCAAATGGCTACTAATACATACGAGTCGGACCGCAACGTGCTATACGTATACTCCATCGCCGATGACACCATCACTCCCCTTGCAAAGGACTGGGACCGATCGCCTAGCTCCGTGACATGGGTCGATGGAGACAACCTCGTCGTGGCAAGCCAAGATCTAGGACGAACCAGACTTTTCGCCATCCCAGGCGATGCAGGGGACGACTTCAAGCCCACGAACTTCACCGACGGCGGCTCCGTGTCGGCTCAATACGTCCTATCCAACTCTACCCTCCTCGTCACGTCCAGCGCCTTCTGGACAAGCTGGAGCGTCTACACCGCCAGCCCTGACGAGGGCGTGATCAACACACTGGCCTCAGCCAACGAGATCGACCCCGAGCTTAGCGGCCTTAGTTCCTCCGACTTTGAAGAGTTCTACTTTGACGGCAACTGGACTACCGTAAGTCTATCCCTCCTTGCCCCCACCACCACATCACAAACATACTAAACTCACCGCAGCTCCAAGGATGGATCACCTACCCCCAAGACTTCGACTCATCCAAGAAATACCCCCTCGCCTTCCTCATCCACGGCGGCCCCGAAGACGCCTGGGCGGATGAATGGAACCTGAAATGGCACTCCAAGGTCTTCGCCGACCAGGGATACGTCGTCGTCCAGCCAAACCCCACAGGAAGCACCGGGTTCGGCCAGCAGCTCACAGACGCTATCCAACTTAACTGGAGTACGCCATTCCCTATCCCCAAACTCCCCTCTTAAACATACAGCTAACAAATGAAATAACAGCCGGCGCCGCCTACGACGACCTAACCAAAGCCTGGCAATACGTGCACGATACCTACGACTTCATCGACACGGACAACGGCGTCGCCGCGGGTCCCAGCTTCGGCGCGTTCATGATCACCTGGATCCAGGGCGATGACTTTGGACGCAAGTTCAAGGCGCTGGTTAGCCATGATGGTCCGTTCATTGGCGATGCGTGGGTCGAGACGGATGAGTTATGGTTTGTTGAGCATGAGGTGAGTGGACCAAGCCAAACCCCCCTTTTCTCCCCTTACACCATTACCCCTATACAAATATGATGATTCTGACCGTGTATAGTTCAACGGCACCTTCTGGCAAGCGCGCGACGCATTCCACAACACGGATCCATCCGGCCCCAGCCGCGTCCTCGCATACAGCACCCCCCAGCTCGTCATCCACAGTGACAAGGATTATCGCATACCTGTGGCAAATGGGATTGGACTGTTTAATACGCTGCAGGAGAGGGGCGTGCCCAGTCGGTTTTTGAATTTCCCGGATGAGGATCATTGGTATGTTCATACCCTTTTCTTCCCCCTTTTTTCTCCCATGATTATGGGTGTTGTGGATGCTGATGTAGCTATGTGTGTGTTTAGGGTCACCGGGCAAGAAAACAGCCTCGTCTGGTATCAGCAGGTGCTGGGATGGATTAATCGGTATTCTGGGGTGGGAGGGTCGAATCCTGATGCGATTGCTTTGGAGGATACGGTGAATCCGGTGGTGGATTTGAATCCTTGATCATTCCCTGTTGCTCGTTACTACTAGTCAGTTATGATCATGTTCTGGCTGGGTCCCAGGATAGATGGACGGTTATTACTGGTCGTTATATTCTGTTTGCAGTGGTTACTAGTTGGTAGATCAGTTACGAGATGATGTATGAGACGACAGAAAGACTTATGCTTATGTTGGGAGCTGCTTCATTTGTATATCAATTTATTCTTGTAGTGATTGATAACTAACTACTGTCTGACTGTCTGTCAACCGCTATACTAACATTATACCAACCAACCAACCAATCAAATCAATTTCTGGTTCTTTCTTCTCTTCTGTTTCTTCACCTCGCAACTAGACCAATTCATCAAGGACAGGGCAGGACAGGATCTGGTATCTGAACGGAACAACCGAAGGAAAAACAAATCATACACAAGCTTTTGTACAATCAAACCATAAGAATCAGTACAGCTTTCTCTTTCAGCCTTTCCAAATGAGAGGAAGGACAGAGAAAATACAAAGATGATACCCTAGAAACGAAACGGATTCACTCGTTCAGATAGATCACTTCGTCGGAACAATTTATACCCAGAATTCGAAGAAACCTCACAGCTCTCCTCCGTGAGGAGCGTCGTCAAGGTCTCCATCTTTAGCCAAGAATCCGGCTTGGCGAGCCCGGAGACCAAAGTTGACCATGACGATAACCACCAGTCCGAGACCGACGACGGTCGGTCCCCATTTTTCGTAGTATACGCGCTTGACGTCACGACGCTTGCGGATCTTGTCCACACGCCAGACGTACAGCATGAGACTGTATAGAAGGGCGACCGCAGCCAGCACGGTGAAGGCCCAAGAAGACCCGAAAGTGATGTAGTCATCTCCAAAGTTCAACAGTGTAGCCGCAATTGTAGCAAGGAGGATGGAAAATTCCAGCCACGAGAGAAAGGTGCGTTCTGCGGCAAAGTAGACCTTCGGCTCGACACGGACGGGGACGTGGATGCCTGTGATTGTTAGGGGTTTGTGGTCAAAATACAAAAAAATGTGGGATTGACTTACGTTTGCCCTTGGGAGCTTGAAAGCGCTTCACCGTGCGCTTGTTGCCCATGACGGTAATTCCGTTCTGTTCCGGGGCCGGCATGCTGGTCGGACGGGGGCGAGGGATGAGTGCTGTTAAGCAGTGTACCATGGCATTTCCTGCGTTGTGGGCGTAGTACTTTGCCAACTGCTTGTAGTAGTATGTCCCACCCACACGGCGCGCTTCCTCCAGTTCGTCCGAATCCACGGATTCTGCATCCGAATCGTATAACGGGTAATCCTCATCTCCTGGAAGCGGTTGAGCGGCGATTCGCTCCTCTATATCCAAAGCATTTCCATCGGTATCGGCAAACAGGGCTTCTTGATCGGCAGTCGTGGCTTCAGCCCGGTTCGTGTCTTCAGCCCAGCGTGCTTCATTCGACTCGTCCTCGTCTGACTCGTCATCCTCGGGTGTTTCAGTGGTGGACAAGGGTGCGCTGGCCGGAGGCCGCTGGATGCCAAACTTGCGTGTAGCCGGCTTGCGAATGTCGACGTCCATCTGCGGCATCCAGAAGGGAAGAAGATTGATGCGATCGGGGAAGAGGGTGGCCGTGCCGTGGATGAATTTACTGTATTTGGGCACCGCCTCGACCAGGTGACTGGCCGTCAAATCTCTGATCCATTGCGGTGGCTCTTGGCCCGCTTGCGTCTGAAGCTTGACTTCCAACACGGCATAAGGAAAGCGTTCCACATCCTCTGGAGGGAGCTGGGGAAAAGGCCAATCCACGCCAATATCCATCCGCCGCCAATTGTCTCCCGCCCGGCTGCGACCATCAAGGTTGTCTTCCCTGGTCATCGTCAACTCCGTGTCTAGGGATATACGCACGCGAGCGTCTCCGGGAAGCTGAAAGGCAGTTCGGTGGTAGAAAGATCGGGTCACGGGGACCAGTTTTCGCGTGATGACTCGGTACTGGATTTCACGCGCGAGTTGCTCCAAGTTGTCGATTTCCTCTTCGCTCTTCTTACCTTCCCGGCGCATCTTCTCGAAGATGCTCTCTACGGTCATGCGACCGGAGAGATAGGCATTGACGTGCTTCTCCTTGAGAGAGAAACGCGCCTTGACAGACTTCTCTCCCGTCCAGTCCTCGCGATGGGTCTTCCGCTCCACGAAGATCTGGTCACTTTCCATGCCACCATACCAGCGCAGTCGGATGGCTTCCGCTCCCTCAGTTTTCTTCAAGCGACCTTGGTAGAGCTCCCAGGTATCGGTGTTATCGTAGTAGATGGACGAGATGGCGGCATCCTTTTCCTCGAATTCTTTCCTAGGGTTGAAGACCAGCACGGGAAGGTGCTGCTCCAATCAGCAAGGACCTTGAAGGATATGACAGGTGTTATCGGACATACCTTGAGGATGATGAGCTTCAGCTCGGTGATGTTGTCAGGGTGAACCCAGTACTTGGTCGTCTGGCGGACAAAGTTCTGCTGACTGCCTCCGGCGGACGAATCACCCTTGACAGGGTTACCTTTGGTACGGACAAGATCATAAAGCTTCGAAAGCTTAACGACGAGCGCATCGTAATTGTCATTGAAAAACGGCTTCGCATTCAGTCGTGCAGCAAAGACTGGCCGCAGGTGCCACCCAGTTTGTTTCTAAGAACAGAATAATTAGTACCGAGGTTGCGTTTCGGGCAGCGCATGAAAATTAAAGCGTACATCGTGTTTTTTGATGATTTTCTGAAAGCCTGTGTAGTTCAGTTGGGTGAACTTTGCCAGATCGTGGACGTCGGCGATGATGTCACTCAAGACCTGCTCGAGCAACAAGAAGTCTTCGTCGGAAGGGGGTCTCCGGCTGGAACGCGAATTTGAGGCGCTGTCTGAGCGAGAGCTGGAGGAATTATCCAAACGGGCAACCACATCGTTGACTTCTGTCTCGCTGGCTTGGATGCGACGAGCGATCTCGGCGCTCTTGATTCGCTGGAAGTTGAAGACCTTGTCCAATTCGCTCTCCAGCAGGGTCACGAAGTGCTTCTCATCGTCCTCCGACCAGGCCTGGCGGTCGGGCCTCGCGTTCTCGGGCGTAGGTTCGGTGACATAGCCGGTTTTGAGAGCCTTCTTCAGATCCTCGTATGCAATGTAGTACCAGTAGTACTCTTTGATCATAGAAGATCGGAGGTGCTCCCCGAACCTAGACAAGGGACGAACCGGTCAGCTAGGCGATCCAATCAGATCGAAGGTTTGGGAATTTGCTACACACCTCATAGTGAATAAGTCAATTGACTAAGCTCTTGGGATAGGAATAGGAGGAGGCAAGTAGGGTGTGAGTCAGGGGCGATAACGATTTGGAGGATAAATGGGGAGAGCTGGTTAGAGGTCGGAGGAAAAGATCATGATTGACGGTAGAGCAGGTCGTGAGAAAGAGAGAGCGAGCAGAAAAAAGAAAGCTGAGAGAGGAGGGGGGCCGAAAAAAAAGTAAAAAAACTCGAAGGAGAGTAGCAAAGGAAAAGGACCTAATGTGGTCGAAATGATGCTAATTACTAGACGAAGGCGCAGGGAGCCAGCAGTGGAGACGGACAAGAGCGTCGACTATGTACAAGAGCCGGTCGAAGCTCATGATGCTTGCTAGAGGCCCGTCCCAGGATGGCGGAGACCTCAGGCCCGGTCGACGTCAACCCGTGACTCGTGCCGATAACGCTATCGGCCAAAAGATTGGCCCTTGCTTTTCTGGTCTGGTGTACCGGTAATACCGAGCTGCGGTTCCAGTCCCGTGCCATTACCATTGGGCTAGATCATTTTGCCTAGGTAAAACCGCATGTCAAAAGAAGGTGCAAATGGAGGACAAGACACGCCCCAATGCCACGGGGAATCGGGGAGAATGACAGACATGCTCCAGTTTGCATGGAGAGGACCCTAAAAACTGCTCTAAATCATAGCTCGTCGGGGAGCCGTTGCTTGATGCATTCTCAGCCACTCGATTGCGCAGGTGCTGCTCTACCTCACCACCGCTTTCCCGCTTCGGGACTAGCTCGGTGACCTGCCTATCGATACGAGGCCATCCTCTTTCACCATTTCCATCCCACGTTATACATCCGCGTAATTTCCAATACCTCCCAGCTCTGCAAATTCACCCTTTTGCACGTAAAGTTAGTTAGTATGGGTATACTCGCATATCAACGGTACCGCTAAGCCAGCCCCCCCCCCCCCCTTCTGAATGGGCCCTTATTTATCTAGTGTCTGGTGCTTCCTTTACCATCTAGTCTACCAGTCGATAACAGCTAGACTAAGAGATGGTCTCACATGCAAACCGTCTCACCCATTCCGATCTTAATTCGCCGTCTTGCCCGCTGATCTATCTATTAGAGTACTAGTCTCCATAGGACCCGGAAAAGGCTCCCTGGTTCCAATCCCAGCCGGCACAAGACCAATTACTACTAGTAGATAGTACTCTGTAGTATGTGTCAATGTCTCACCGGTATGCATCCAAAAGGTAACAGTAACACATATCAACCCCCCATCAACGCCACTGTTAGCTAAACGTGCAGGAACATCAAGGCCTGGATCTTCGATCATCGTCGCGGCAGAAACTGGGGCCTGGTCCCACAACCAATCGGCTTCATCGCCCCGGCAAGGACGATAACGAGGTCAAGATGAAACTCCTCTTCGGCACGCTAGTAAATTCTCCTTTTAGCTGTTAATTAACAGGACGGTCCCATTGTCTGTCTGTATGTAAGTATGGATCTAGTACCAAGTATACATACCCACGGAGTCTAGTAGCCTTTTCGCTTCCCTTCTCGCCTATGTCTGACCCGTGTGTCATTCCTCGATGTAACGAATTACCTGCCTTTTCCTGTCTGTTTATTTGAAGCTTGAATCCGGGCAATTGTTTATAATTTGCCGAGATCGGGCAGGAAGTCTTGCAAGGAATCAGTATGTATGTATGAAACAAGTCAGTCTGGCATTCTCCGGCCAGGTTATGATTGGGAACAATCCGAATCTGTTGGGGAAAGTGTCTAGTATGTATTTCTGCAATTTAGTCAAGTGTAATGTGAGGGGCTGCACTAGAAGCTTGGTCGGTGCAGGACTAAGTAGTCACGTTCTGTAGGAGGCCTCTTGTCTGTCTCCAGTAGGTTCATTCATTTTCTCTGAGGTACGTAATTGCATATCAGGATCACTGAGAGGTAGTAGGAGGCTCAGCGTCTTCAAATGAATGGATACTGACGATATATATTAATACAAGTCCGCAGCACTGAACTCTCAAGATCCATCGTGCCATACTACTATGATCTTACTACTAAACATAGAAGGCCATCATGATTTCAAATTCATGAGATCTCAGCTCGTGGAATACAAGAAGAACGATTGCTTAGTTCCAAAGAGTACAAAAAGTCTCTGCTGTTTAATGCAGTGGCCACCGGCCATCTCCTAGTTGAAATAGAGGCATAGGCATTGACCAGTATGACTACTAGTTGATACTGTATTTCAGTGGAATCGGGTGGGACTGTGGCAACAGTATATTTCACACCAGATGCAACTTGCTATAGCACTATATGGTATTTTCAAGACACCTTTAGTAACCCTGCACTGGCCGTCGGTGTCCCGCCACCAGTTCCGATCTTTTTCATACTAGGGGATCTAAGACCGAAGACCGACTAGTAGTAGTCCAAGCGTGGGAAACTTTTTCAGGCAGTCCCACCAGTAGCTAGCTAGAAGAGGCTGCTGCTACGAGCCCTACAAGCCAACTAAGGGCGGCGAGAAATGCACGTACTACTTTAGCCTGTTATTCCATCTCAAGCTAGAGGGAGTCGTTCCGTAACTTTTGAGAGACTAGTCATGTCCAATCATATTCCTTTGCATGTGGTTACTAGAAATCCCGTGATGATGCCCGTTAGATAGATACATTCATAGTTATTCTTCTGTTGCAATACGTATATCGATCGACCCCAACACCAGACACCGTCTTCCCTTGACATGTGAGGAAGAAATAGGGAAAGAAATAATTGAAACTCGCACCCATCCAGTAATTATGTATTTCCATGGCATCGTATCTCATCAGCTAGTCCACCGTTGAGGCAGGAGAGAGATCAGGCAATTGCTTGTGCACTGCGCCGGATGCTCTTCCGCGCACCCTCACCAATGACATTCACGATGCCTTCGTTTTGCAAAGCGTAAATTGCCTCGCTAAATTGGTTGCTATCCAAGGGAGCGCTGCTCTGCTCGTTCAGAAGTCTGAAGACTTCAGCCCACCGAGCTGAGCCGCCTGAGCCGGCCAGTTCATCCACCACGGAAAGCACACCGCGCTTGATCATTTCCCGGTTGCGTCTCTCGCTAGCACTGGTGCCCTCGGTGAGCAAGCCCATGTCGATGAGACCGGTGCGGGAGTCCGTCGCGGCCTGCTTGATGGCCGACCGAATGAGGCGCACGGCTTCTTCGACGTCATCGGCCGTCACCTCTGACGAGAGGCGCATGCGTGCGTGGGCTTCCGACAGTCGGATCATGGATTCCAGCTGACGCGTAGTGGCGGTAATACGGCGATCTGTTGACCGGATATCATCTCCAAGCTTGCGCATAGCAACATACGCATCGGAGAGGGCTTTTCCGGCAGCAGGGGTAAGCACGGGGTGCACCTTGGTTTTAGCGTACGTGATGTAGGCCGTGAGGAACTCGACGGGCTGTGAAAAGGGTGCAGGTTAGCTATTGTTACACAGGTGACATCCGTTCAGACTTACCAAGATCTCTTCACTGCTTGCGTTGTCGGGCTTGTCCTCCAGGTACATGTTGACAAGGTGCTTGGCCAGGCGACGATCCTCCTGTTCATCTGTCCGGTCGAGCATAAGATAAACCAAGTCAAATCGAGACAGCAGGGTGGGAGGTAGGTCAATATTCTGCGGGACCGGGAGGTTCGGGTTGTATCTGCTGCCGATGGGGTTCGCAGAGGCAAGGATACTAGTGCGAGCGTTCAAGGTGGTAATGATACCTGCCTTGGCAACGGACACGGTTTGCTGCTCCATCACTTCGTGTAGAACGGAGCGCGTCGATTCATTCATTTTATCAAATTCGTCGATGCAGCAAATACCGCCGTCCGAGAGAACCAAGGCACCGGACTCGAGAACCATCTGCTTGGTGTCAGGATCGCGGGTCACATAAGCCGTAAGACCAACGGCAGATGAACCTTTGCCGCTGGTGTAGACACCGCGGGGCGCGATCTTGTGAACATATCGGAGTAGCTGAGATTTAGCGACAGATGGATCACCGCACAGAAGAATGTTGATGTCGCCACGGTAGCGTGGGTTACCGCCCTTCTGGAACGTCTTGTTGGTGCCGCCAAACATCTGCAGCAGAATGCCCTTCTTGACATCATCCATCTCATAGACACTGGGCGCCAGGGATCGAGAGAGAAGCTCGTACACATCGGGTCGGCTGGCGGTGCGCTTGATTCTCTCCTCCTCCTCGGCAGTGATCTTTCGCGTCTGCTCGGCCTCACCAGCTGCTTGCTCCGACAACTCTTGCTCAACGGTCGACACATCGATGCCCATCTTCTTGCGATCGATCTTCTGGACGTGCAGAACATCGACGTAGGTCTTGAAAAGCGTCTTCTGTGTCCGCTGGCGAGGGTTGATCCGAACCGGGTTGCATCGGAAGATACCAGTTACCTCCACGCGGTCACCGGCCTTGCAGACATCAACAAGTTCGTCGTACACGCAGAGGGAAACCGAGTGAGGGGTCTGGCCATCAGGGATGTTATCGGGGGTTTCTTGCAGCTTGATCACCTGCTTGTCGGCAAAAGCACAGCGGTTGTGAATAATCTGCATTGAGTTTCTGGCTTGGCAGACTTGACGAGGACAGACAGTGGGTTCCGCAATACGACCACGGTCAATATCGACCTGAACACTGTGGTTGCAAATCTGGCAGCGGAAGAAGGCTAGAGAACATATTAGTCGAGCAACATCAACGATGAGGCACGAGTCTCACCTTCTTTCATGTCTGGGATGATGGGCGTGGCCCGGATCACCAGACCCTTGATGCTCACCAACTTGTCCATATCTAAGGCACGTTAGCACTGAACTATCATTGTAGGCGCTTTATTGACATACCAGCAGGATCAAGGTCTCTCATGTTTACGGTAGAGTCAAGACCGAAAGGCATGACCTTGTAGGCGTTGGACTCGACTTCCTGGACGAGGTCCTGGATCTCTGCCGGAGGAGCCCGAGCAGCATCGCTCATAAGCGCATCAGAGCTGGGCACGGCGGGAGCCGAGCTGAGATCCCTGGTGTGGTTGGAACGAGCATGAGCCCGCTGGCGCTGCATTTCCTTGCCTGCCAGCTCAACCATCACATCCTTGACAGTTTGATCCATCAGAGGAATGATTTCTTGGGGGTATGCGTGAAGTTGATGCCACAGCTTCTGTGTCGATGGGTATGCCTTGAGATTCTTTGCATCGAGGTTGAGATTGGTGACACCGAGCTGACGCATCGTGTTGAGCATGGTGATGTACTCTCTTTCTTCTGCGGTATTTCCCATGATACGAGTCTCATCTTCCGTAGCTCCATCGGCCCACAGTCGATACTTGGTGGCGAAGTTATAGAGGAAGTTCTTGAAGGCGGACATGGAATCTTGGATGGAAATGTTGGTACCCCAAATCACGCGGGTGGAGCTGCCACCCAAGGCCTCAGCCTCTGAGGTATCCGGGTGAATGTTGGAGAAGGTCGCATCAGACTGCGGTTCGCCATCGGCAGTAGGCATGCCGTTGGCGTCAACGAAGATTCTGCGGCGGCGACTGGGGGTCGATCCAAACCCTCCCGAATGAAGGTCATTGCGACGAGAGGTGCCCCGGTGACCATCGGCGTTGGAGCGCGACGAGACAAACAAGCCACTACTGCTGCTAGGGATGTCTGAGCGACCTGCTTGGCGACCTAGGGAACGGGTAGGACTGGAGCTGGAGACATATCGGATGGGGGATGAGTCTGTTTACATGTTAGCATATATAAGAAGAAAGCTTATCAGATCAAGCCGGACATACCTCGTAGGGCAGCTACACCGTTTCCTCGTGGGGTAGTTTCGCCATCGTCCATTGTGGAGGAAGCTCTTACGGGGGAGCTCGGTTCGTCCATTCGAATATCGGGGGTCTCTGCGCTGCTGCTGTCCCCCTTCATGGGGGAGGATTGGAAGAACATGGGGGAGGAGGAAGGGACGGGCGCCTCGCCCCGAATCCGCCTCGACGCCCGGGGGGTGGTCTGTAATTGTTCATCACCAAGCGGGGTAGGGCTGCTGGTTTGGCGTTGTTGCTGCGAGCGAGTCGAGCGAGTCGAGCGAGCCGGAGAAGAGACGGCCGAATCCCTAGCAGGACGACCCCTACGACGAGAGGAGGCTGGAGAGTCTGACATGATGAGCCGGTCCTATGAAGAGACAAGTCCACGAAACAAATGGACCAAAAAAAAAGGACCGACAAGAGGAGGGAGGGGGGGAGGGGGAAGTAATTAGATAGGGAAAGATAGTAGGAAGTGGATTGGGGTGGATGATTGTGGTTGCGATGGAGAGTTTGAGGCACAAATTCGAAGTGGGCCTGAAAGGGAAAACAAATTCTCTTCTCGTCGAGCTCAACGCGCTGCAACGCGTCCACCGCGTAAAGTGGTTTCCTGTTTGGGACAGCGTGACACAAAAGCCACATTTTCCACATGACCTCTGTGGCTGGTGGGGCTGGGAACTTTTAGGGCTGGCTGCACCGCCACCTCCTCTACTGGTAGCCAGTCATGAAATAGAATCGAACAGTGGGTCACCAGGGCCAGGGTCACACCTTCCTCTTTCAGGCAGGAACCACCGAACTGGAAAAGCAACGAAGAATGAAAGAATGATGTCTGCCAACAAAACCCCTTATTCTCATTCTATCCTCATCGCTAAAGAATTCTACTCTCATGATGAACACAAGAGATTCTGCCGTAGTACGCGCCAACTGAGATATCTTACGTAGACTGTAACTGAAACTACGGGGTATACTACACCCCCCGAGCGGGTGAAGCATCCACCCTGGCGCGTGAGACGGTAAGTGTCCAGCTAGGGAAGCGCCATGCAGTTTCGGCAGGCGCCTTGATGTCATCCCGGTGAGGATCGGCCATCCCCAAATCAAATGGCGCTTCTGCCCTGCTGCCTTTGGGCTCCCCCCCAAACGCTTCTCTGACTGGTGGGAAGGAGCTGCAAAGTGGGTGCCACTGTTGTCATTGTTTGGTCTCTTTTATCTGTAACACGTTTTTCCCCTTCGCTTTCATCGCTGGATCTCCATTATTTGGCTTGGACTTAATCCGCTTAATCCCCCATTCCTTCCCCCTGGTGGTCATTGTCTCTTTATTTAGACAATTCTCCAGGTCTTTGCTCTCTGTTAGCGCTGTCTTCTCACCAACAGTGGTTCATCTCGTCCCCTTACATGCACTGATTGGTTCTCCCCACTTCCGCCCTCATCTCATGGGCGTCTATGGAGCACTGCTAATTGCTACTGTTACCACTAATTTTGTCGCTCTCGTCTGTGACGTGCTGTTTACTCAACTGTATAACTGCCCTCCCTCGTGATGTCTACACCTTTCTTTCTTCCTCCTTCCACCTTGAATCTAGAACTCTCTTAACTACTACGACTTCATTCATCACCTTTCTGGTGGCTCCTTACATCCATAAGCCACCACCACCACGACCACCTGCTTCGAGCTACCAAGTGGTGCTCGCTGCTTTTCCACTATGACAGATCTTGGTTCGGCGCTGGAACACGCCGGCGGCAGTGGGAAGAACAAGGAGGGTATCTCTATCGGAACTTTCGTTGCTTCCCTAACCACTGCCATTGTCGTCTTTGCTGTGGAATTCCTGCTCTTTATATTACTCAAGGGCAAACTCACTCGTATCTAGTAAGTGGTCCGCCTGGAACTACAGCGGAACGAGACATGACTGATGACTGATCGGTATCCAGCCAACCAAGAACCTATCTAGTCTCAGATAGGGAGCGTACGCAACCATCGCCGCCGGGTTTCTTTCGATGGATCGGCCCCGTGTTTCGCACTTCCAGCACTGAGTTCATACAAAAATGTGGCCTGGACGCTTACTTCTTTCTCCGCTACCTGCGCATGCTTCTCAAAATTTTCATCCCTTTAGGATGCCTAATCCTGCCAGTTCTTCTGCCTTTGAATAAAGTCGACGGCAAGGACACGAGCTACAAAAATGGTACAGCAGCGGATGGCCAATGGAACGTCACCGGTCTTGACCAACTTGCCTGGGGCAATGTCAAACCGGAGAACACATCACGCTACTGGGGCCATTTGGTCATGGCTGTCATCGCCATCTTTTATGTATGCGCCGTCTTCTTTGACGAGCTCAGAGGGTACATCCGTCTCCGTCAAGCCTACTTGACATCTCCCCAGCATCGTCTGCGAGCCTCCGCGACAACCGTTCTAGTTACAGCCATCCCCGAAAGTTGGCTCTCCGTAGAGGCTCTCGAATCACTGTTCGATGTCTTCCCGGGCGGAATTCGAAACATCTGGATCAACCGCAATTTCGACGATCTTAACGAGAAGGTGAAACAGCGCGATGAGCTAGCTCTGAAACTCGAGGCCGCAGAGACCGACCTAATTATCAAGTGCAAAAAGGCTCAGTTGAAACAGGCGAGAGCTGAAGCTAAGAAAGCCGGAAAGAACCCCAACACAGCGGAGACGAAGGAGAAGAAAGACGCCGATAGGAGGGCTTCAGCGCTGGCGCTGGATGGGGGTGTCAGCTCCGGTAACCCCCATCAAGCTCGCACTCTGGACCAGATCCTGCATCGTACTAAATCGAGAAAGAAGCCGGAACAGCCAGGGCCAAAGAAACGACTAAACCCGTTGGACCCTGCCGTCGAGGCAGCAGAGGCAGTCGGGCAGGGCATGGGAAAGCTGGGAAAAACTATGATTGGGGGCTTCAAGAAAGTCGAGCATGGACTGGACGGAACATTGGCCCGATCAGGAGGATTTGTTCCCGGCGACGCTATAGTTATTCCTGCTCACCATTCCGAACCTGAAACTGATGAAGCCAACAACGCCGATGATATGGAGCCCCAGGTCTGGTCAACGGATCCCCGTGATCATGCCGAACCCGTCCCAGAGAGTAGTGCATCAGAAGCGCGACCGGCGTCCAGACCAAAAAGGCCGTTTTGGAAAAGCCAATTGTCCAAGGATTCCAAGACGAGCAGTGAACCTGACGAACTGCCCCTGACGGCCCCTGAGTCTCCTGTGGAAAACGAGGAGGTGGAGGCCTCTGGCTCTGAAAGCGGCAATTCAATCAAAGAAAAGATCCCCTCCGACAATGCAAGAGGATTCAAGGAGGGCGATCGGGTACAGGGAGAGGAGTATCCCATTGCTTACAATGAAGGTTTTGACAACGAGGATTTTGGAGAACCGCTATGGCAGAAATACATCAGACCCAAAGATCGCGATACCATGCGGCTACCAATTTTCGGCCTCAGTTGGATGCCATCATTGTGGCTCATCGGCAAGAAGGTCGACACCATCGACTATTGTCGCAAGGAGTTGGCGCGCCTGAACCTGGAGATTGAAATTGACCAACAGAATCCGGAGAAGTTTCCCCATATGAATTCAGCCTTTATCCAGTTCAACCATCAAGTCGCCGCCCATATGGCTTGTCAGGCAGTCAGTCACCACGTCCCCAAGCAGATGGCCCCTCGTCTCGTCGAAATTTCACCGGACGATGTTATCTGGGACAACATGTCGATCAAGTGGTGGGAGCGTTATCTGCGCACGTTTGGCATCATCGCCGTCGTCTGTGGGATGGTGATAGGTTGGGCAATTCCCGTGGCGTTTACTGGCTTGCTTTCTCAGCTGTCATACCTGGAAGCTGCGTTTACTTGGCTGTCCTGGCTTTCTACATTGCCCGGTTGGTTTATCTCTGCCATTCAGGGTGTCTTGCCTGCACTTTTCCTGGCTATTCTAATGGCGATCCTACCCCTGATCCTTCGCTTCCTCAGTCGAACACAGGGTCTCTCCACGGGTATGGCCGTCGAGCTTACCGTTCAGAACTACTACTTTGCATTCCTGTTCGTGCAGCTGTTCTTGGTTGTGACCATCTCGTCCAGTTTCTCGACCATCATCAGCAACGTGACCGACGTTACCAGCTGGCCTGAACTCCTGGCGCAGAACATCCCCTCATCTAGCAACTACTTCTTCTCATATATGATTCTTCAGGCGATGTCAGTGAGTGCTGGAGCGCTGGTCCAGATCGTTAACCTGGTGAGCTGGTTCATTCTGGCACCAATCCTGGACAAGACGGCGCGGAAGAAATGGGGTCGAACCACCAACCTGAATCAGATGCAATGGGGTACCTTTTTCCCAGTGTACACCACTCTTGCGTCCATTGGTAAGCCTTAATCCCTTACTTGCTCATAGACGACTTTCGCTAATTTGATTTCCAGGATTGATCTACTGCGTCATTGCACCTCTTATCCTAATCTTCAACGTGATCACGTTCAGTCTCTTCTGGTTTGTCTACCGGTATAATACGCTTTACGTGACCAAATTCCGCTTCGATACGGGTGGATTGCTTTTCCCTCGAGCCATCAATCAGCTGTTCACTGGCCTATATGTCATGGAGCTTAGTCTGATCGGACTGTTCTTCTTGGTCCGGGACACGCAGGGCGAAGTTGCCTGCGAAGGACAAGCGATTATCATGATCATTGTCCTCATCCTGACTGCCGGCTATCAGATCCTCTTGAACGACGCTTTTGGCCCTCTGTTCCGTTACCTACCCATCACGCTGGAGGACGACGCGGTGCGCCGTGATGAGGAATTTGCTCGGGCCCAGAGAACCCGACTGGGTCTCCCAAATGAGGAAGAGGAGGACCCCAATGATACAATCGAGCACCAGCTGGCTGAACGCGAGCATCGTCAGCATCAGATTGACCGGATGTCGCACGATATCGAGTTAAAGACGCTGGAGTCTTCCTCCCCAGACCGGGAAAATCACCACATCATGCATAGGCCACATCTCGGACCGCAGCGAAAATCGTGGGCTGAACGATCACCAAACCGGCGGTCACCATACTACAAGGCCCACTCCAATACTCAAGTACCCAGTGTCCAGCGTCTGCGCGACAGGATCGCACAAGACGCCGAGGCCCAAGGCCCTCCTTCGCGCAATGTTGGGACCACGCTTTTTGCCGGCATCCACGACGAATTGGAGGACTTGACACCCGACGAACGTGATCAGCTCGTGCAACGGGCTTTTCAACACGACGCTTTGCGTGCCAAACGACCGGTGATCTGGATTCCTCGTGACGACCTCGGGGTCAGTGACGATGAGGTGTACCGGACGCAACGGTTCAGCAAGCACATCTGGATCAGTAACGAGTATCAGGCACTGGATGGGAAATGCCACACGATCTTCAGCCGCAGTCCGCCCGACTTCTCCGAGGTGGACCTTATCCAGTTATAAGGCGTTGGGCTATGTATCAGTAGGCTGTATGATTGACGACTATTTGTTCTGGTTTGCAGTTCTTGCTTCATTCGGTTCATGGGATAAGGTATTTGCATTTACAGGCGTTGGGGACCATTCACAAGGGTTATAATAGAAGCGTGTGTACATGATTACCCGAGCAAGATGCCATAGATGGAGATACATCACAAGCAATGTCTATATAGTACGATAGCAGCACCCATCAAATTTAATCCACCTCAATCCATAAACTTACACACGGGCAACCGATACTTCTCAATCCTCCAATACGGCCTCCTCACACCCTCCCACTCACCCTCCAACGCCGGCACCTCCAACTCCTCCCACTCAACATCAAACCCGGCCTCAAACAAATCCATCTCCACCACCTTCTGGTAAACATCATAACTAATCTGCCTATCGGCCCCCATCCCATTAAAGAATCCCCAGCGCCCGCTCCCATTTTCGCCATCCTGCTCCAAAATCCCAATCACCTGCTCCGAAAAGAACTCCCGGAAATCACTATACGACTCGGCAAACGTATCATAGTAGATCGCATCAACCACTACCCCCTCGCCCACCAACGCAGGCAACACATCCTGCCACCGGCCCTCATGGATCCGCACCCCGGGCTTCTGATCCCACCCCTTACGCTTCATCTCCGCCACCACCTCCGGGTGCGCCTCCACGATATGGTGCTCACTGGGTCCATGTGACTGCAGGAACGTATCGACGATGCCCATCCCATGTCCGATGTTCATGACCCGCAGTCCGGGGGTGGGGAGCAGCTTCGCCGCGGATTTCTCCATGATGGTGGATTCCCACGACATCATGACGCCGTTTTGGTCACTGTCGAGGAGTCGATCGTTCGTGAATGTTAGGTTTGAGTCGAGGTAGCGTGGTTGGGTGACGGAGGGGCCTTCTACTACTGCGCTCTCTTCGGTGGAGGTGGTAGGTTCAGCAGCGTTAGCAGGAGCTTCAGCAGTAACAACTTCTTCTTCTTCTTGCTGCTCCGTGCCCTCCTCCTGCTCTCCCTCCTCTTCATCTTCATCGTCATCATCCCCCAAAGCCTCCCACCCCTCCTCCAACCTTCCCAACAACAACTCCGCCCGAACCCCCGCATCCACAATCATATCATAAACCTCCATCAACCCCAACCGTCTCGCAATACACCCGGGCGTCTCATCATTCAAGTCCAGATCATTCCAGATCGCGCCCTCCCCGAGCAGGAACTTGACTGTTTCGACGACGCCGGCCGACGCTCCACCCTCCTCACCAGCGTTGGTTGTGTCGACGCCATTCGTCTGCTTCTCGCCCTCCTCGTTGCTCTCTTCGCATGCAGCGATGGCCGCGTGGAGCGGCGAGAACCCTGTCTCGGGGTCCTTGACGTTTGCGGGGTTCCCGGGCGTTTGGTTTTCGCGGATGAGGCGCCGCAGGAGGGGGATGTTGTGGGTGGATGCGGCGAGGAGGATTTCTTGGATGTTGAGGTCGAGGTTTAGGGCCATGTTAGGGTCTTGGGTGAAGGTTATCATTGGGTCTGCGTCGGCCATCTTGGTGTTTATTTGTGTGTATTTTCTCGTTTGGCTGCGAGAGAGGAGGGGTTAGTTGTTGTGAGGATGGTGGGGTGGAGGATTTGGATATGCGCGGCGGCGGGGTGGGGAGAGGAATTTATTTTCGAGCGGGGAAAACTTGGGTTGGGTTGGGTTGTGGTGGTACGGTGCGGTATAGCGTAGGTGATTGGGATGGACTTACAATTGATCGATTTATCAGGGAGGTGTTTGGGGGTTGGAATGGTTTGAACTCCCACGTAGAGGATCTGTTCTACTGGGTTTGAAATGGTGGTGGTTGATTCCGCTGGTAGAGATTTCCGCCGCCGCATTCGTCCCCGCCGCAGCTCCGCTATAACTGCATATCCATTTTATAGCTCGTACAGTGACTGAGTGTGTACCACCGGTCTTCATGTAGTAAGAGAAGAGAAACTGATCGCCGTTGCTCGAACCTGAGAATAACTATTTGTACAAGTACCCGATTCCATTCACCTGTCGTCCTGTCGGACGATCTTCATAGCGCCATGTCTTGCTACACCATTAACAAAGTCCCCATTCCTCTCCATCGGTCCATCCGTCCGCTTATTTCGTGTCGTCGGAGCCCGCGTTGACGTTCAGGCCCAATCCCTGGCTGTCCAGGTACAGCTTGTTCCGGCCACCGTTCTCCTGCAGGATCTGGGCGATTTGGCGGGCGTTCTCGATCTTCCGCAGCTCGATGTAACTCTTGCTCTTCTTGATGGCATCACCGATCAGCTCGGCTGAGCGAGCCTCACCCTGAGCGCGCACAATGAATGCCTGCTTCTCCTGGCGGGCCTTGTCGACCAGGAAAGCGGCCCGTTGGGCTTCCTGCTGAGCAACCTGCTTGGCTTCGACGGCGGCGGTGAATTCGGGGGAGAAGGTCAAGTGCTATGGCAGGTATTAGAGAGACGGATAAAAGAGGTGATAGTAGAGATAGCATACCGTAAGCGACACATCGTCCAAGGCAATGTTGAAGCGAGCAGCCCGACGAGCAAGGTTCTCCCGGACCAGGCGGGCAACGTTCTCACGCTGAGTGATCAACTGACTGGCGTTGAATTGTGCCACCACACTCTTCAAGACCTCGTTCACAATCGAAGGGAGCACACGCTCATCAAAGTCCTGTCCCAGGGTACGGTATATTTGGGGGAGGGCGTCCACACGGGGTCTGGACAGGACACGGCAGGTGATGTTCACCATCTGCAAGTCCTTGGTACCGGTAAGGGAAGCAATATTGCGCGGCTTTGCGCGGACATCATAGATAATAGGAGTTTCGATCCAGGGAATCCGAAGGTGAGTTCCTAGAAGGACAGCCTGTTAGATGAGCCGAATGCAGAGTATTGAGTATGCTTACCTTCACTGTAGATTTCCTTCTTGACACCACCTACTCTGGAGTACTTGATCGCACGGTGACCACCATCAACTGCAGTAGCCGTCAGTAAAAACAATACTTCCACCCATTATGCACGACAATGAGCTCACCGTTGAACAGCGAGTTGGAAACAGCATATACTCCAAGTCCAGTGAGAAGCAAAGTAGCGAGGCCCATGCCGGCGCGAGGATTACCACCACCGAAGCCGCCACCAAAACCGCCGCGGCGGTTTTGGAGGGCCATCTGGAGCTTGTACAACTGATCCCTGGGGTTCCCGGACATGATGATGGGGGGAGATGAAGGTGAGAGAGAGACGGGGAAGAGGATTGGTGTAAGCGGCGTCACTTTGGCTTCGTCGCTTTGGAAGCTCGAATTCGCGGCAAATCAATCGCCCGATTCGTCACCGCCTTGGCAGATGCTGCCGCTTTTCGACATCATCTTCGCTCTACGGACTTATCTTTCATTCATCTCCATTACTTCAAAGAACTTGTTGCCATTGCTTCTCGGGTATTCCCCCCAGGGCATTGTTCAGTTCTTATCAGCTTCTTGTCTCCGGGCTTCAGAGAATTCACCTCCTTCCCTCCGCGCATCTTCCTCAAATCATCACCTCCACCTCCTCTTCAACCACCAAAACACCTATCTATACCCTCCCCTCTTTTCTCCCTCCACCACAATCATGGCTCCCGGAGCCGGAAAGAGTGTCTTCCTGGGGAATATCCCCTATAGTATGTTCCCAGTCTTTGTCTTGCGTCCAGCACAACCACCCCAATGGCATCAAACTAACCCATCACTTCCCAGACCTCACGGAAGAACAAGTCAAAGACATCCTCAGCTCCGCCGGCACAGTAACCAAATTCCGCCTGATGATGAACCCCGAGACCGGTAAACCCAAAGGTTACGGTTTCGCCGACTTTGCCGACGCCGATGCGGCCGCCTCCGCTGTCCGCAACCTAAACGACTACGAGATCATGGGCCGCAAGATTCGGGTCGACTGGCCACACAACAATGAAAAGGACTCCATACCCCCCGACTACTCCCAGCTCTCCGCACCCACTGTCCAGGACGGCTCTCAACAGCAACAACAGCAGCAGTCCGCGCCTCTTCCTCCTCTGCCCCCGGGTGTCGAAGTTCCCCCGCATCTCGATTGCCCCAACGCCATCTCTCAGACACTCGCTTCCCTGCCCCCGAACCAGCTCCTCGATGTCCTCTCCCAGATGAAGTCGCTTGTCATGGCGGATCCCGCCAGAGCGACAGAGCTTCTACGCCAAGCTCCTCAGCTCGCCTACGCAATCTTCCAAGCGTTGCTACTCATGAACCTGGTCGATTATGGTGCTCTCGGCTCGGTGGTGGAACAAGCGAGCCAACCTAGTGCACCAGCACCCCCTCCTGCCGCCGCGCAAGCCTTCCAACCCTTCTCCGCTGTACCGGGACCGGTGTCTACGCCTCCAATGGTCAACACTCCTTTCGCTGCTGCCGCCGCCCCGCCGCAACAACCCCCGCAGGCTATGCCAGGACAGGAAGAGCTCCTGCAGCAAGTGCTCAGTATGCCGCAGGCTGCGATCGATGCGCTCCCACCCATGGAGCGCAGCCAGATCATGCTCCTTCGGCAGCAGTTGATGCAGGGTGCTATGCGGTGATTGAATATCACCTCTTATCTACTCCTCTGAAACTATTTTATACCCCCTCCCTCCCTCTCCCTCTTATCTCCCGAATGAGGAACAAAAGGAACCGGGCGCAAAGCAGCATCAGGCGGCACATCTGACGCAGAATGCCTCGGCACGAACAACCGAATTTGTTCTACAACCCTTTCATCTCTCCATCTTGATGTTAGCAACGTCATAGCTTTCATTGATTGACTGATTGATCAACAACCGGAACCGGGTGTGAGTTTTGGCGCAATACGGGCATGTTGGTGGGGTTTCAAATTTGCGGGTTTTCTTCTATTGGGTTGTGAGATACGGACTGGACTGGGAGACCATCGCCTTATTGCTCTCCCTTTCCTCTCCCTTTCTTTTTCTCGTTCTCAAAGTTCCGGAATGTACATGATAGTATAGCAGCAGCTGTAGCGGATATCCCAGCAAATTGGTTTTGCTTCAGACAGATCAGCAGTGTTGTAAACTCCTAGTATTCTATCCATGTGCTTGTTTTAACTCGTATTGCTTTCCCCGACGTAAAACTTCAGAGATGAGCCCCATATTTTCCAGAACACATGGTAGATTTCTACTTTCTCATCTATATTTCCGTCACAATTCGTATTATTCTCCTATCTATCATAAATCCCAAGATATGCACTCTAACTTCTAGAACACATAGATTCCTAGCAATTCATCTGTTATCTCCGTCATAATTCGTATCATTTCCCCCCCTTGTCATAAATCCTGGGGTTTATCCCTCCCACACCAGTAACGTTATGATTTAGTTCAACCCGTGCTATATTTCTGGACATGCTCGACGCTGCTTCCCATGGAGCATTTTGTTGACACAGTACACTCTCTTCTCTCTGGCTTTATGCATGTGTGTATGTATGTCGATGTTGCAGAGTTAGGCTCGCTGTCTAGCAACGCTGGATATGAAATCTTCCCTATAGTTTATTTTCCTGTTAAATAGCTTAAGTCTTGAGGTACTGAGGAGGCGTACAAGTCAGCGTGCAGCAGGTTCGTATCTACGAGAAGAAAGGTATAGACAGCATAGTACACGGCAAGGCCAAGGCCTGCTTATATTATTTCCATGCAGTCTTGATATCGCTATGACTAGTCCCATATCAAGTAGACCATTCTCAAAATACAATACAAGCAAGCACTCCATAGACCCTCGCCGTGCATCCCTCGCTATGGGTTCACTCGCTGCCTGAATCCTCCAGACAGACAACAACCATCTTGTGAAGATTCACAAACAAGCAGCACACCATAGCAACAGCCATTCACTGTTAGGTCAAATTTTCACACGCCCACACACGGCTTTTTCCCCTGAATATTCCTCTGCCATGTTTCTCTCTTGTTATGTCCTCTTCCTGTCTATCTCTGTCCCAGTTCTCTCTTCACTTTGTATCTCCTCCACGTGACCCTTTCCTACCCTATCATCACTTTCCATCACAGCATTTGTTCAAGTGCTTCTCAGGCTTCAAGTCTTCGGTTTTCGTTCAAATCTTCTCATAAAGATTCTTTGTAGTCTTCACTATGTCTTCTTCTCTGGAGAGGACTTTGTTGTCGTCGTCGGGTCTTCCGACGCGTCCCTCGAAACAGATGGCGCAGCAGATCCCCGAGAATGACCCTGTCATGTCTGATACTGAGGATGAGTACGATGCAGATGGTATCAATACTAAACTGCCTGAAGTAGTCAGGTCCCAGCTGCCGTTTGGTACTCGAGCGCCGCGAACACAGCTTGCTTTGCATCTCCCTCCTCTTCACGACCTGAATGACATCTATAAGTCGATCACGGAGAAGGCAGTGGAGCTAGGTTTTGACCGTGTGTTGTCCCATCTAGGCTCAAGACGCCTTCGCGTTGCGACAGTCTGCTCTGGCACTGAGTCCCCTATTTTGGCTTTGGAGATGGTACAAAAACGTGGGTGATCTGATAATAGCCCCGACTATTGCGAAACTAATATCTTTGTAGATCTGCGGGAGCAATTCAATATGAATTTCGAAATCCGTCATATCTTCAGTGCTGAGATAGACCCACTCAGACAGGCGTACATTCAGCGCAACTTTCGTCCACCTCGCCTCTTCCGTGACGTGAAGGAGCTCAATCACCGTGTGGCGTAAGACCCTCGCTTTCTGCTATTTAGGACTTATCTGACCGCACTAGTCAAACGGCTTATGGGTCTTTGGAAAAGGTTCCTAAGAACCCTGACATCTTGGTTGCTGGTTTTTCGTGTGTGGATTTTTCAAATCTGAATAACAAGCGGAAAACACTAAATGATAAGGGTGAGTCGGGAGGGACCTTTTGGGCCATTATTCGATACGCAAAAGCCTATAGGCCTCCCTTGGTCATTCTGGAGAATGTAAAGAGCGCCCCATGGGCAAAGATCCAGGAGCACTGGCATGATATTGGTTACTTTGCCACCCACGTCGATGTGGACACAAAGGCATACTATCTGCCACAGACTCGGGAGCGAGGATATATGCTCTGTGTGGACAGGACAGCTTTGGACAAACAATCCGCATGGGACGAAATAGTTCATTGGACACACACCATGACTGAGTTCAAACGTCCCGCTAGCTCTCCAGCCGGCATGTTCCTTATTGACGCCGATGACAAGAGACTCGAACAAATTGAGGCAGACATGGCGACACGCGCAAAGCTGACCCGTAAGCCTGTGAATTGGGAAAAGTATCGAGTCCGTCATCAGACTTACCGTCGGAAAAATTCTCTCGGAGACAAACGCCCAGTAAGTAAGTCACAGGACGATGGTAGCTGCCAAATGCCCGACTTTACTTGGAGAAAGTGGATGAACTCCTTGCCAGAGCGTGTCTGGGAGACACTGGATATGAACTTTCTGCGCAAGATGGCAGAAGGTTATGATATGCACTACAAAGAGTCAGTCGCAACCTCGTCTCTGATCAACTGACTGAAACTAACCTGTTCTAGGAGATGCATCGAACTCTCACAGGGGATCGAACGTGAGATCGATGTACGGGCACCTGGAATCGTTGGATGCATCACTCCAGCCGGAATCCCTTATATTTCGACCAGGGGCGGTCCTCTCTGTGGTCTCGAGTCGCTGGCATTACAAGGCTTGCCCCTTGACAGACTTCTACTAACTCGTGAAACCCAGCGCGAGCTGCAGGACCTTGCAGGAAATGCAATGACTTCAACCGTCGTCGGTGTAGCAATTCTTTCCGCATTGATCCACGGACATAAAATCCTCAAGCCAGGCGAAGGCGCACCCATGGGAAAAGAACACTCCTTCAAAAGCAAACGTGTTATGCCTCAAGACGGTCATACGATGACACCATATGACATACAGCTCAGTTGTGCTGCTCATTTTGATATTGTCCAGCTCCAGATGCGGGCAGCAAGCAGTGCAAGATATTGTGTATGCGAGAGACAAACTAGCATAAGCTTGGGCATCTTGAGATGCTCCTTGTGCCATCACACGGTCTGCTCCGAGTGTGGAGGGAACCCTTCACATGCTTTTGAGCGCTATTCTGATCTCGGCCGCACCATGCCGTTGGACTTTGTCTGTGACCTCAAGCGTAACCTACCAGCTAGATTGGTGATTTCTGGCATTTCTTCGGATTGTTATGCGTCCTTGGCTAACGACACATCACTGGATTGTCCTGCGCATGTCTGGAAAGATTTTTTGGAAGTAATTGAGCCAGCTGTTGGCGACGAACTCCGGCTCTTGGATATCAAGCGGAGTGAAAGATGGACTATCCAGTACGAAGGCAAGCATTCTTTCTTGCGTCTGTTAATCAGTGCCTCCAGCATTGAATGGAACTTGTTTGCCAAATCTCCCAAGGGTACTCCTGCACTTTGTCTGATGCGGGAAATTCTTTCCAAGCCAATCGCTCGCATGACGCCAGTGTCTGCGTCACTTTTGGAAGGCGACTGGGAAGTCTGTGGGCCTCTGAGCTCCAGACAGACGCTGTATTTTTCTGGAAGTGGCCCCAGAATCGACACCTATGAAGTACGTTGCGGCCTCGAGATGAAAAAGGTTATTGGAACAAAACGTTGGACGAAGATTCAAGTCGACGGTCCTGATACAGCGGTGGTGGGCCTGGAGGCAGATGTTCGGGGGACGTATGATCTTCTGCCGGACTGCGGTACGGCACACGCCTCCCTGCACAAAAGATCCGCTGGTGAGTACGATCGCCCGGTGTTCCTTTTTTTGGATCCAACGAAGCTCGGGGATGCAAACAATGATTTCTTCGTTTTTGCTTGGGACCATGAACGTGTCCGCGGTTATGAGCGGAGACAAGCCATCGCGGAAGTCTCCCATCTATGGCGTTCAGTCAAGGTCAGCAAGGATCCGCAGCCCGTTCACATCTACTTCCGCCAATGGACTAGAGCTCCAAATGTGGCCCTGAATCTCTATCTTCCACACGCCTCCATCTCGTGCCAAAGATTGAATGAGGCAACCAACATCACAATTTCCCCCTCAGGTTGTCGTGACGCTAATGTTCCTTTACTGTCGTTCCGAGCTCCGCCAACAGCCATGGAGGCGCTGTGGAAGAAAGAATCATGGGAAGTCATAAACCCACTAGACTCGCCATCCTCGCTTCAGGACCTCTCTTGGCTCCTACAGAAAGCGGCAGTCCATTTGGGCTTTGAAAACTGGAACGCAGTCGCTGATACTCAGGCCCCGGGTGACAATACTGACTCGGCATGTACATGTGTGCCGCTGAAGCCGCGCATCCTATGGGGCCGTGACGGTAGAGGTCAAATCAAGGCATATGAAGATCCATACGATGCAGCCCTCTATGAGCGCCAGGTGAAAGCAAGACCGCCGCCGTTCCTGATTTTCCGAAAGATCGATGAGCAGGGCCTTGCTGACTTGCGCGTTACACTCAACGTCCAGAGCCTGTTGCATCAGGCATATGATAAGTTAGTTCAAAATGGTGTTGTGAAAGAGGTGTCGTTCTACTGGCGTCTGGTCCCGAAATCATACGACACTAGAAACGTCATATTTCCCATGTTTAAGCTCAAAAACAACAAGACAGACGTCGCAGCACCTCACCCGCCTAACTTCCGTCTGGCTCTGCGGCCAGAGCAATTAAGATCACTATCATGGATGGTCCGGCAAGAAGATGATGATGCCCCGCCGTTCATGGAAGAAGAGACGGAGGAGGCACTTCTTCCATCGTTGATGTGGCGCGCAGAGGGGCGAGTCACTAGTCAGAAGTTTATTCGAGGTGGTGTGATAGCTGATGATGTTGGCTATGGAAAAACAGCCATCATCTTAGGCTTAATCGATACGCAGCACGGAAGGGAGCGCCTGCCAACCCCTGCGGAAACCGACGGATTTATTCCTTGCAAAGCAACCCTTATCATTGTGCCTCAGATCATGATCCAGCAATGGCAAGCAGAGATCTCCAAATTTCTGGGTTCTAGATTCAAGGTCTTGGTATTGGCAAAGGCGGGTTCATTCGCAAAAGTATCCATAAGTGACGTTCTGCAGAGTGACATCATTTTAGCATCCTGGTCAATCTTCAACAACCCAGCATACTATGAAAAGCTGCAGAAGTTTACCGGCACTCCTCGAACTCCTAAAAAGGCTGGGCGAAATTTTGATGCATGGTTCAAGGACGCCCAAGCTGCACTGAAAGAGCAAGTCCGAGTTTTGACCAGCCAGGGTCCAAGCGCGCTTCTCGCGTCGATTCGTCTCAAGCGACAAACTGTTAAGGGTTCTCAAATACATCTAACATATTGCCCGTCCCGGCGCCTCCGTGGTGATCAGTACGTCAAAGGTAACCACGCTTCAGAACAAGAGGGCCTCGAAATATTAGCGGAGTTATCGAGTGATGAGGATTCAGAAACAGAAGGCGAAACCGACATTCAAGTTCTGGGATCGAAAACTGACCAGTACCTTAGAATTCAGAGTTATGAAAAAGATGATCTGGCTGAGCAATCTGCATCCGAAACAGATAATGTCACTCAATATGAAGATTCTGCGGCGGAAGACAGTCAAGTCCGACCAGTTCCCTCCAACAAGACAGCTGGCCGAAAGGCGAAGAAGTGGGACGACCGCAAAGAATTCAACATAAGCAAAAGTAGAGTTCAAGATTGGAGGGCCGTCAAAAACCCGTTTCTTCACATTTTCTCCTTTGGTCGTCTTGTCATAGATGAGTTCACATATGCAGACCCCGAAAGGCTCAGCCCACTCCTCTCACTCAAAGCTCGGTCGAAATGGGTACTGTCAGGGACCCCGCCGCTTAACAGTTTTGCCGACGTTAATAGCATTGCGCCTTTTCTCAATGTGCATCTCGGTGTAGACGAGGATGACCCTAGACTACAAGACAGACATGTCAAGCTGCGACTCAAGCAGCGCTCTGCTGCAGAGGCATTTCAATCGTTACGGGCACCCTACAGCGAAGTCTGGCATGGACGTCGACACAAGCTAGCCCAGAGGTTCTTAGACCGGTTTGCACGAAAGAATGTTGCTGAAATTGATGAGATCCCATCGTCAGAGCACATAATTGTGGTCCAGCCATCACCGGCAGAACGAGTAGTTTATCTCGAACTGTATAGGCAGCTGATGACATACAACCGCCAGCTCCGTCGAAGTGGCCGAGGAAGATTCAGCAGTGACCAAGTAGATCGATTGAACGAGATTATTGGAAGCAGTGCAACGGCCGAAGAGGCGTTGCTCAAACGTTGCTCATCCCTTGCCCTTCATGGTCGATGGAATAAAGACGGAGAGCCGGAGCTAACAACATGCGCATCCCTGATCGCCATCAGGGAGAAACAGCTCGGTGATCTCAAAAGTGATATCAATATGAAATTGAAGTTGGCAGCGTGGCTTTACTGTTGTTTTGAATCCGATTGTCATCACTTCCACAAGTTCATCGAAAGCATCTTTAGAGATGATTTTGGTGATATGGCCATCACCCAAGAATTTTATTCTCTCTTGAGAGCAGCATTCTACGAATCGAAGGCTGATGATTGGGAGCATTTCTTTGCTGCTCCTGGAGAGCAACTGCCAGATGATGAAAGCAGCGCGTCTGATGCAGAAAACGATAACGAAAGCAGTGAACTGGTAGCCAACGATGGCCTCGATCATTCTTCTAGACCAAAGGTCGCCAAGCATAGCAACCAGCGAATCCAAGCCAGGAAAGCCAGCGGCAGTAAGCGATCCGAGGAAAGCAGTGAGAAAACCGGCGTTTCGCTTCCCAAAAAGCCCGAGCAAGCTTGTGAAGTCGAACCACTTCTGAAAGAGGCCACGACAGTCATTCGGAGCCTCGTTGTGGAATGGGTACTGCGCAAGAGTGCCCTTAGAACCCTCACAGCGATGCAGCTTTTGCTAACAGGTGCTGGACTCCCGCAATGCAATGGTTGTTACTGCCAGTTGCAAGTTATCGAGAACACGAATGTGTCAGGCCACTGCGGCCATACTCTATGCATGAATTGCGTTTCGGAGACTTTGCAGAGAGAGGAGTGTGTGGTACATGGATGCCGCGGTTCGGGAAGGAAGTTCAATATCATCGAAGCATCCACGCTCGGAGGGGTTAGCGTTGATGAGAGCGCAAAGTATGGCGGCAGCAAGCTGGACAAACTGATAGAGATCCTCAACGGGATCCCCAGCAACGAGCGAGCCCTGATCTTCATACAATATCCCGAGCTCATTGAAGTCGCGTCCAAGGCACTGGATCTCGCCAAGATCAAGCACACGGCGATCTTAACCACAGACCGCAAGTCAATGCAAAAAATTGAACAATTTCAACAGACAAGCTTTGGCGAAGATAAAGCGTTGATCCTGAATCTAGGAGGGGAGATGGCAGCAGGATTGTAAGTTGCCCTCCCACCCTCCCTTCCACCCCCCCTCCCCTAGTGTTTTTGTAGCTTGTGCCTAATGTAATCTGCAGGAACTTGCAATCAGCAAATCACGTTATCTTTCTGTCACCGATGAACGCCGAGACACAGTATGATTATGAGTCGGCAATGATTCAAGCGATCGGACGGTCCCGACGATATGGACAAACTCGCCGCGTTCACGTCTACCACTTGTTGGCCAAGCACAGCATAGACGTGAACATCTTTCAAGAACGGCGACACCAAGTATTGATAGAAAGGAACGGCAAAGCCGAACTCGTGGCTCACGGAGAAGCCTTGGATGGTGAGTGGATCAGGTGTGAAGGGCCGTCCTTGGTGGTCGACAACGCGTTTTGAGTGTTTGGGAAAACTCGTGCAGTGAGTTCAGTGAATGGAAGTGAGGGAATTTTCTGGCTTTCCGCCTTGCAATTTGGATTAGTGGAATCAGTGTCAATAGTTGATGTGTGTGTATTTGTCAGAGTTAACTTCAATGAGCCACTGTGATTAGGAAGATTGAATCCGTGTTTCTCAAACAGCAAGACGAACTCGTAGTTCACTGTCCACGTGAAGTACCTCCAGATAGGAAATGCATTTGTAAGAAGTCATAACCAAATCGGGCAGGAACAGCACCAGCAAATCAGTCGGACATTCTTCTCTGTTGAAATTCAAACCCAAGAGCTGCAGCAATTACCTCGGCACCGCCAGTCGAAAACAGGAATCTAGGATATGGCACAGAAATCCCGTTAAACATTGAAAGAACTGAATTGGTTACTGCTAACGAGATCCTCTATGGTAGTTGACATCAATCCCACCATATCCGACTTTCCCCCTACGCAAAAGAGAGAAATCAGAAACAACGTACTGTACATAAGCGTTACCTGGTGGCCCGTCCAGTTTCACCAACCAGGACAGAAAAGGAAAAACGAAAGGGGGAACATGACAGGGATTGGAACCATCCAACGCACGGTATCGAAACTATATTGTCTGGCTCGAATTATAGGTTTATCTTCATTTATTGTGTTTGCTCGTCCAAAGCCCCATCCTTTCTCATCATCGTAGCCGGGTCCCACACGGGCTCGATCAGGTTGGTCAATCCCGCGCTGTTCTCGCATGTATCTCTGCCGCTCAGAGGACCCGGAGCAGGCACCTTCACCGTCTGGCCAGCCTCGGTGGCCGTGGCGGACTCCTTGAGGGCGGTGAGCAGCGACTTCATCGATTCGGGGGTAAGGTCCTCGTAGTAGTCGTCGTTGATCTGGACCATGGGAGCGTTGACGCAGGCACCCAGGCATTCGACTTCGACGAAGGTGAAGAGACCATCTTCGGTGGTGTGTCCGGGGGTGATACCCAGGTGTTCCGTGATCGCCTTGACGATCTTGTCGCTACCGCAACCACCGAGCTGGCAGGGTGTCTGAAATGGCTGTCAGCAATGACAAAAACGAGGGGACGTATGCCACGCCAGGTAGGAAAGGGTCCAATTTCATACCGTCGTGCAAAGCTGAACAAAGTACTTGCCAACCGGCTCACGGTTGTACATGGTATAGAAAGTTGCGACTTCGTAGACACGCATGGGGGGCATCTCCAGGAGACGGGCGACCTCGTTCATGACGCTGATGCTGGTGTAGCCGTGCTGGCGCTGGCCAACGTCCAGGACCGGCATGACAGCGGCCTTCTTGTACTGGGGGGGATAGCGCTTGAGGATCTCATCGATGAGCTTGAGGTTTTGCTCGGTGAACTTGAACGGAACATTCGGGTTGTTTTCGCCTTTGTTGCGGTGCTGGACAAAGTCAACTGGTCAGCATTGGCACCTCGCAAAAGATATGGCTTTTTGACGCGCAATTGGCAAACGAAATAATATCCGGCATGCCGCCAAATCCGAATCAGCCATAGGAGTGCTTGGGACGTACCACGGCAAGGGAGTCGCTGAAGCGTTGCGGACCAGCCGAGAAGGGTCTGAATTGGGTCTTGGGGATCTGCTGGAAGAGCTGGCGGCCAGTCCGCGGGACGGCGGGGAAGAATTTGGAAGCCATTGCTGGCAAAGGAGAGGGGACTGAGGGTATGGGGAGGGGGATTGGAGGACTTGATCTGATGGATTGAAGGTGAACGACCGACTTGGAGTCGAAGAGGCGTTTTGCGGGAGCTGCGGCTGACCAATCAGCGCCGACAGATTACTCCCGCCTTGTGCCAATGAACGACCCTCTCGACGGCCTTTTTACAACATCACAGCCTTCTCAAAACTATCAAAAATCACAGTTATAATTTGATCAGCTTTAATCCGGCTTGCAGAATTCATCTGGACTAACAACAGGCACCTCCACGACTCAATCCCTCCAAAACGCCGTCATGACACATAAACCGACTGGACCTATAGCCCAGCAACGCATCCGACATCACCAACAGCCCATTATACATTCTCCATCTTATATACCTCATATGCGACCTCCTCATACGGATGAGCCTTAATCAATGCCTCGACTGCCTGCAGCATAACCGACCGTCCCAGACACATCACCTCCACCTTCATCTCCTCGACCGTTTCGATCGTCCCAACTTCGCCAATGGCAGGATTCGCACCTTCAGACGGCAGAAATTGGCCCTGACCAGGCATCTGGAAGCAGCATTTCCGGTACTTGCCTCCGGGAAAGGTTCCCGCGCCGGTCGCGAAGACAGCTTCTTTACATGTCTCGAGGTGGGAATGCGGGACGAAGAAGACGAGTTTGTACCGGTCGGGGACGGGGGCAGCAGACATGGTTCGGTTTTGGACTATTTGATAGGAGAACTTTTTGATCGTAGGGAGAGTTGTGTTGGTGATGCTCGTAGATGTAAGTCGCGTAGACGATGCTGGTAGAGACACGGAGAGCGGAGATCTGAATGGTGATGATGTTGATGATGACAACGGTGATAATGTTCGGGACAATCTGGAGGAATGGAAGTTGCGGAAAGACCGTGAGATGGGCGTGCGGGGGATGCAACAGGCCAGCGGGGAAATTGTCGGCGGCATCTTCCAGGTAATAGTAGGGAGTAGTATATACTATTCGTGTCTACTGGATTCAGTGTTTTGGTGTTTAATGCGTTGCGGGCCACACTTGATCTTAGTCATTGGCATGATCCCGATAGCCAACTATGAGCCCATCTACAGACTCTAATACTACCAGATGAGCTACAAATCACACTGCGTAATGCCCAAAACCAGCTTCAAAGAATCACGCTTTATTCAATATGCATCTATCATCTACTCATTACACCATACCCATACCCTTCTATATCACCAGGTAGGAGTAAAACTAACTAAGCCAAATGCGCAAACCTTCCAACATGGTCCTCAATCCTCCTAATCAACTCCATCTTCCTCTCCTCCTCAATCCAACTCTCACTCACACTGTTAACAGCAATAGTCTTCCACTCCAAGACACTCAACCCAAACGCCTCCTGCACCGCACAATAATTATCCAAAATATAGCCCCCAAAATACGCCGGATCATCACTATTAATGGAGAACTTGACACCATTCTCCAAGAACTTCCGAATCGGCACCTCTCCAACCTCCTTCACACACTTCAACTGCACATTCGACAGCGGACAAACCGTCAACAGAATGCCCTCCCTCGCAATCCTCTCCATAAGCACCTCATCCTCCACCAACCGAATCCCATGATCAATGCGCCTCGCTCCCATCTCCAACGCCGTACTAATATACGAGGGATCGCCCTCCTCCCCCGCATGAGCCGTCAACCTGACGCCCCTCTCCCTAGCCGAGGCATAAATCTCCCTAAACATATCCTTGGGCGGGCCAACCTCGCTCGACGAATACCCCAGTCCATGCACAACCTCACTTTCAAAATGCCCGTTCTCCAGAATCTTCTGGTACGTCTTCTCCGCCGACTCAACAGGTAAGTGCCTCACAAAGCAGAGAATCAACTTGGTCGAGAGACCCAGCTCTTTCTCGGCGCGCTCACACCCCGCCACGAACCCGCGCACGATGGTCTCGTACGGAATGCCGCGGTCCTGGTGAACCTGGGGATCGAAGAAGACTTCGGCGTGGTGGACGCCGTCGGCGTGCGCTTTTTGAAAATAGGCCCAGGCGAGATCAGAGAAGTCGGACTCGTGGTGCAGCACGGACATGCCGATGAAGTAGAAGTGGAGGAAGTCATCGAGGGAGGAGAAGTTGCCATACCGGGCGGTGAGAGTGTCGATGGAGGTGTATTCGGAGGTTTGGGGTAGTTGGACATTGTTTCTAGAGGCGAGGTCGAAGATCAGGCTGGGGGTGAGGCAGCCTTCCAGATGGACGTGGTGTTCGCATTTGGGCAGGCCTTGGAGGAAGGCGTGCCAGTGGGATTCATGGGGATTGTCGGATTGGCACATTTTGTAGATGTTGGTAGAAGTGTAAGTAGTGAACGATATCCGTAAATCAGTAGTATAGAAGAGTAAAAAGTAGTAGTACCAAACCCCCAGAAAAAAAGAGGACACCAATAACCTTATAAAAAGATCCTCACAACCATCCAGGAAATTGAATGACTCTTGAGTATCTATCCCAAAGCGGTACTCCGTCCGAAGCACCTAAAAAGTGGATAATAGATTTGAGTCAAATGATGAATTCCACAGCCAAACAGCGACTGTTCCTGAGGCCCCACTCCGTGCCCGGTGGGTGGATTCGTCAGGCCACGAGACAACGATAAGCTTCTTTTTTTCGCTCTCGGTGTCTCTGCGCCGCGCCTGTCCCGCCACGCTGAACCACCACAGCGAAAAAACGCCCTTAGTTCATTGCTTGTGCAACTAAGGCCCGGAATCACGCCGAGTCGGAGACGGCCGATACAGGTGCCGGAGAACGGAGATTTGCACGCACTATCCCCTCGTTTAAGTATGTTATGCTTTGGATGATAGTTGGTCTATCTGATAAGATGCGTAAGATGATACACTACTACATATTTGTTAGATAAGGCTTCTAGAAGATCGATTTTCCTCCGATCGGCTGTTCAGCCCTAAAACTCGGTATTGTTATTGACTAGGTATCATCGATACCATGCATGCACATCAACTTTATCGATCCTAACGCTCAAACTGATATTAAAAACTGTGCTAGTCATATTCTAACTGCAATATCCATGCTAAAATTCGTAAATAGTCCCATAATTTTCCTTCTAGCTAACCCGGCCAAGTCCTTCCATGCAGCAAGTAGGTATGTATGTATGTATGTAGCCCAGAATGCGATCTATAGAAATCCTCCGAGGGGTAAGAGGTTGTAAAGTATTATTATACCCGGAGTTCCGCCCCAGCGGCTTTGCGCAGCCGGTTCATGACAGCAGCTGCCAGATCGCCCTGGTGATCAGGCACGCCCTCGACGTAAATGACATCCACCTCCATTTCATCCATGGCCCGTAGCGCAGAGAAGAGGCCCTGCGCGATCGACTTGACATCCGTGCCGAGGTGGCAGTCGAAGGTCTCCTTGGTTGCAGTGCTTCCGTTGACTTGGCCGCTTACAGGGACGGAGAATCCCACTAGCTCGTCCACGAGCGATGGGATGCGCTTCAGGCTCTTTTGCATCTCGTTGGCAGACAGCAATCCCAACCCGCGCTTCCAGTGTTGCGTGCGGACAACTCCGATCATGTGTGCTCCGATGGCCGAATCTTCCAGGTCCTTGCGGATATGTCTCGTGACGGCTTCCTCATCGGAGCCGGCTTCGAACAGCACCACGCGTGCCTTGGGCGAGTAGTGTCGGTACTTCATGCCCGGTGCCCGTGGGATCTCCTTCACGTCTAGTGTGCCGTCATGGTATCCGACCTGTACATTCTCCCACCCAGCGCACGTCCGCAGCTCCTCGATTCCAATCCCGCCCGGTCGAAGAATAGCCGGGGGGTCGGACAGCCCGTCGACAACCGTACTCTCCACGCCTACGCCACAGGGACCACCATCAAGGATCAGCTCAATGCGACCTTCAAGGTCATGGAATACATGTTCCGCCGCCGTCGGGGAGGGCTTCGTGGATGCGTTGGCTGAGGGAGCCGCCAGTGGTCGGTCCGTTACATGAATCAACAAGCGTGCAAGCGGGGACGAGGGCATGCGCACGCCAAATGTCGTAAGTTTGGAGGTGACTTCGGGAGCAAGAGGGGAGCCGGAGGGGTTAGGGAGGAGGATTGTGAGAGGACCAGGCCAGAAACGGGAAATGACCGAGTCGTAGATGGGGGGGATAGCGTTCTTTGCAGTGGAAGTCCTGCGCGATGGGCTTTCCTGTGTGGGGTTGAGTAACCGCTCCAACATCCCCAGCGAATCAACATGTATAATCAACGGGTTATCTGACGGCCTCTGCTTCGCCTTGTAGATCCCTTGTACTGCATCACTCCGCGTCGCATCTGCACCCAGTCCATACACTGTCTCTGTGGGGAAAGCAACGGGGATATCGCTGGTTCGGAGGAGTTGCGCCGCGTCTTCGATGGCGGCCGCTTCCGGGGTGTGGTTATCGCGTTCGTTGGCCCACCACTCTGCGAGGGATCGCTCTCCGGGGCCTTCTTTGTTGAGACGGCGCACCGATGCGATCCGGGTGGAAGCTTTGGGAGTCATGGTTGCTGGGGCGGTGGAAGTGAATCTACTGAAGCTGCGCGGGAGACCGCGAGCAGTAAGGCGAGATAGGAGTAGAACCAGATTGGCAGGCGATATTCGTTCCCCGAACAGAGCAGAGGAACGAGCGATCGTGGGGTGAGTCAGGGCTTGTAGATTAAGTCGATACAATTTTCTCGGTAGTGGGGGGAAGAGGAGAACGGGTATCGCGCGTTTCGAGGCTATTCGGTCATAGGCAAATCCTGATTCGGGGACCTCCTGTCAGGCTGCTCCACCAGTCGTGTACGGCCCGAGCGATTGCTGCCAGACAAATGAGCAATTGGCGACTCTGTTGGGTTGCTGAACTCTGTAAGTCAGTAAAACAAAAAAGTGAAGATCGAATGGAAAATCTTCGCGATGACGTCGGTGGGCGTGACTAAGCAACGCAGTCCAGATTCGGCCATTTCTCTTATTTTCTAATGATGTTTTAACTGTACGAATAGAATGAACAAGTAAGAGTTAGATAACATGTCTAGATAGGCCTTATTTTCATAGTGCACTATATGTATTTATTTGCTGTGACCACCTATAACGTCAGAGCTAAGTAACTAATACAGCCAAACTACGGTGGTTTCCTCCATGGTGGATTGTCGATCATCCAGCACGTCAGATCGTAAGATATCCAATACCCTATATCCAGCGTCTATTTCTTCTTCCCTCCCTTCCCTCCCTTGTTTCCACCACCGCCACCTTTGCCTTTGCCCTTATCACCTCCGCCAGGTGCTGGCCCAGTCATAATGCGCACCTTACCGACGGGGACGCTATTGATGACCTCCGTGTCCTTCCACATTTTGATCAGGTCTCCTTCCCGCGCGCGAAGCTTCTCAGCGGTAGCTCGGTCGATACCAGCGTCTTCAGCGTGTTCTTTCTTGACCTTGCCTGTTGTCGTTTCGGCAACCCAGCGTCCGATGATCTCCTTGACGGCCTTGCCCTTCTTCACAGTGCCGGGTTGCAACTTGATACGATACTTGTACCGACCCAAGGCAGCCCAAGGAGCGCACACAGGAATGGCAGCCAGGATTTCATCATCCGGATGAGGAGTTCCAACCAATGCAGGAATCCACTCCATATCTGCTGCTTCTGCTGCGGCGGTTTCTTCATCGTAGTCATCGGCACCACCCTCAAAGAGAGCCTGCCGTTTCCGCTCCGCTTCCGCGGCGCGTTCATGCTGTGCTCTGCGTCGTTTCTTCGCTTCCTCTGCTTCTTTCTGCCGCTTGGCCTTTGCCTCAGCTTCTGCAGCTGCCTTTTCAGCTTTGGCACTCTTGGCACCTAGCAAGCGTAGAGCCAGTTCCCGGTCCTCCTCGTCCTGATCAGCGTACTTCTGTGCGGCCTTCTTTGCCTTGCCCCTCTTACCCCGAGTTGGAGCTTGTTTGCTGTTAGTAGATTTGGCAGATGTTCCGTTCGCTGCAGGGCCATCCAGCTCCGACGCTCTTCCTTTTCTAGCCATCCGCCTTTCTCTGGCAGAGAGTTGTCGATCATCATAAGTTTGTGGCGATGTCCCACTCTCGTCCTCGTCCTTCTCATCCTCGGCTGGCTCTTCTTGCGCACTTTGCTCATCTTCATTGTTGCCGTTCGGTTCTTCGGCTTCTTCTTCCTTTTCCTCTTCAGCTGCATCATCAGGCTGAGCGTTCTGGGATTCGTTCGCTGCAATCGATTCTGTTTGGGTGGGCTCTGACGACCCGCGTTGCAACGGGTTTCTAGCTGGGATCACAGCATCGTCCTCTTGTTCCCCTTCAGACTCGCTGCTCTGCTCTTGCTCCTGCTCCGCTTCAGCTGGTCTCTCGGACTTAGTAATCTGTGCTTCTTGCTCGACAGGCTTGTCATCGGCTTCCTTATCGGCTTCCTGACCTTCCACAGGCGCTTCTGTAGCCACGGGTTCATCGAACCGGTGCAGCTTATGGTTTCGGAGACTCTCCTTGCTCACCTGAAACATAACTCCAAATCCTAGGACGAGCTGTGAGGGGGCCAGGAAGTTCTTTTCGCCCTTGATGAGGAACTCGCCGGTGGGGAGGAGGCCTCCCGCGTCAGCAGTCTTGCTAACTTGGCTCGCATTAACCCAGTATGCTGACATGATGGCCTTGGAATCCCAGGCGCTGGACGTAGCCACGCAAAGATTACCGGCTTGCGAAAGAGTGCTTGGGGGAATGGGTGCGTTAGGTGAGTTGGATCTGTTCTTGACGATCATCGGCGTGGCACCTTGTAGATCGGCGTGCACGAACACATCGCCTTTCTTGAGGTAGCGGCGGTAGAGGATCTCGCTTTGCATCACATCGCGGCCACTGTTCCAGTTAGATCAGATCAACCCTTTACAGGCACAGCGGAAGATACATACCCTAGGACCAGATACCCTTCCGACGAGATGAAGAAGAGGAATTTCTCGAACCAGAAAGTCTTTCTAGCAGGCCGAAGAACCTGCTTCTCCTGCTTCAGACCCTTCTTCAAGTCCTGCGTCACTTTCTTCTCGTGACTTTTGAGAGCCTTGGTCGAGGACTGCGTTGTCTTCTGCTCCTTCACGGCAGCCATCTTCTTCTGTTCGTAGTACTGTGTTGCGTTCGCCCAGGGAGACAGGCCGAGATCAATGTCAATTGTCAGCATGTTGTTTGACTGTTTTTGGGCCTTGGCAACTTCTTCCTGCTCATCCTCTGATTCAGAGTCATCGTCCGAGAACAGATCCTCGCCTTCGTCCTGCTCTTCGCCCGACTCCCCAAGCATCAACGTAATTGTATTCTCGTAGAGCTTCAATGGCAGCTTGATGATATTAGCCACTGGGTTTCCTCGGCCTTGCTCCATCTCAATGAGGCGGGCAATTTCGACCCAGTCCATACCCTGAGCAATTAGGCCATTAACTGCATCCATCGCTTCTTGAACCCGGTAGACATTATCTTCAATCGCCCCCGCCTTGCGAATATGCAGCTCCTGAACCTCCTTAAGAGCGCCAATGCGCTTGGCATGTTCCTGTCGAACAGCATCAAGCTTCTTCTTCGCAGCCTCTTCCCGCTCCGTGAGCCGCGACTCCAACTTCTGTGTTTCAATCGACGAAAAATACTCATCAACCGTCGCGTTGAAGGACGGGTACTCCAGAATAGTAACACCCGGCTTGCCCTCAAACTGCTTAGGCTTGAACGGGTGGAAATCTTCATACAGATATCCCGGTTTCCGAGCGGCCTCCTCCTCACCCTGAGCCGGCGAGTCCGCAGACGGACGAGTATCATCCTTCGCAACAATATAACCAGGATGACTCTTCTCCGTAGCCAGCTTATCCGTCTCGACCTTCGCCTCCTCCAACACATCCACGACCTTTAGCAGAAGCGCTTCATCCTGCAAAACCTCGTCGAGCGGGGTAGCGGGGTCCAGCTCCTTCACAGCAAACGCATGATCCAACAACAGGGGCGGATACTCCGGGAACCCCTGCGACAGAGCCTTGCGGAGCACATCCGCATTCTTCTTCTTGGACTTCTTCGGCGCATTCCCCTCCTGTGCGAATAAGGCCTTAGCCTTCTCCACCGTCTCCTTGACCCTCTCCCTTGTGATATCCGGAATACCGTGATAATTTTGCTTATTGGTCACCGTATACTTGACTCCGACGCGGGTCTCATCCTGTCCCTCACCAGCTGGAACCTGTCGGAATAGCGCGAGAATATTGTACTCGCGATCGGTGATGATGATATTTCCGCCGGCAAAGAACTCCAAGAACATGTGGTACATGCCATCGCTGAAGGAGAAGTCGATGATTCGATCCGTGCCGATCTGTTCGATGGAGGTGATGCGTCGAGATTTGAGGAACTTGCGCATGCGCGTCACGAACGGAGTAGGCGCTGAAGCAGTCGCTCTGGAGTATTGCGTGACATGGCAGCGGAAGCCGGAGTCGACGACGAGCTGTTTGCGGTGGTCGGGTTTGGCGACTTTGAAGAGGAAAATGCGCTGAGCAGATAGCAGATGAGCTTTAAATGAAAATCATTTTTCTGGCCTAGGAGGGTTTAGCATACCGAGGAGAGATCGTAGATGTTCGAAACTCGCAAATTGACTATCTCCGATGCAAGTTCCTGGGAGATGACCTGGCATTTGTTGTGTGAGTTTCGTGCGCGGCGGTTGCGGATGGCGGGGTGTTGCTCGGCATGCTCACCTTGACATCCAAGGACGAGAATCTCTGCTTCATCTTCTGGTGTCCTTTGTCCTGTTTCCCGGAGGAGCGAGGCTGTTGCGCTGAGTTGATGCGGTGGTTCAAGAGTTTTGCAGTGACTCCGAACTCGCGGGCGTGACGTATGCGGGGCGCTTTTTCGCCTATGGATGGTATTGCTTTCCATGACTGTCCATCGCTTTCACCTTATCAACCAGTGGTTGTATACTACATCCAAGCCCATTCTAAACGCTATTTGTATTGCGCTATAGGTCTGCACACTACCAGACATAGAACTATTCTCCGCAATCTTTCATGACCATAAACTTACTCATCATGTCATCCGTTCGTTATATATATATAGTACGAGCCTCTAGATGATCTCTCAACACCTCGGTTAAGATGCACAATATTTCGCAGCAAAACACCAAGGAGTATCTCTATAGGTACCTTAAGCCTCTGCAACAAAAGAACGCGGGGGCGAATAGTAGTAAGAATGTTAAAAACAAACATGATTTCCACAATGAGCAAGCAATGCGCACAAATACCACGCCAGGACCAGCCAGATTAGATAACAGAAAGACATGACATGAAGAGAATAAAGATGAAAGCACATCAAAATGCATCAAATAGAAAGTTGCAGAATCATCAACGTCAATTACATCTGCCGCAACCCCTCCGCCAGACGCCGCTTTCCAAGCTCCCAGGCATTCATCAGACCTTGTTCGGACAGGTCGATGCTCTTCAAGTTCGGTGCATCCGGAGCAGGAGCGCGACTGACGCGGGAGGCGATCAAGACAGGGTCGGTTTCCAGGATGATTCCATCGTCGATAATCTCATCGATGGCCAAGGCGACCAGGTCGTAGTTCTCGACGATCGTGCGCTTGTCGGTTGCGCCCCTGAGGAACAGAGTTAGCCCAATTGATCTGTTTTCCCTTCTCTATTCAGCGGATATTATGGAGCCATGCATACTTGAATAGGATTCCCAAAGCATCTCTTAGCGACAGAACCACGTTGTACAACAGCACTTCGTTCTCGTCGGCGCTTCCCACCACATAGAGCATCACATCGCTCTCCATCTTGAAGACAACTATCCGGTTATCGTAGAGGATCACATCGCTGGTCTGCTTGTTGGTCTTTTCGAGGAGGCCTTGTTCGAATGCCTTCTGCTCTTTCACGGTAGGGTAGGGGTTCGCTCCGGGGTAATCGGTCGAGTTGGGGGCAGCACCGGCCGGGGGGTGAGGAGGGGAGTAGTACTTGGTGAAGATGCGAGAGCCATCGTCGGCCGACATGAGAAGGACGGCATTGACGGAGAAAAGCGAGAGAGAGCCAGGCATGGTGGGCAATGGTTCAGGAATATCGGTTTGGTTAACGTGGTGACAGCTCCGTGGGCAACAATGGGACTCCAACTATTTACCGTCAAGCTGGCCGCAATCCGGCCGCCGCTCGAACTTTGTTCCGGGGTATACAGGACATCAACCACGTCTTTTGTTTCAACCCCACGACTTATTGAAGTGAGATTGTTGGAGAAGTCCATTTGTATATCTTTTGCTTCATTTTGATGATTTCCATACATCTAGGTACTATGTTGGTTATAGATTCATATTTACTTACTGGCTCTATAATACAAAGGTCTAGACAACATCATTAAACGACAAAAAAAACACAAGACAATTTCACTCGGGGGTCGAGGTATAGACCATAGGTATGTTCATCATATAAGGAGGGGCATAAACAAGCAAAGCCGATTCGTCGCGTCCAAGAGTAGTCTGTGGAGGGGGTAAAAGGAGTGTCCAAGCAGTACCCATGTCAGGCATCATCACAACGTTTCAATGTGGTCGTCTATCACATTTCCAAAATTCAATCAAAGCAAAATAAATGGACGCGAAAAAAGTGCCAGATGCTCGAAAGGGGCAAACTGGGCCATAATGGGCTCAACACCAGTATGATGATCAACACCGAAGAAGAATGGTAAGAGTTTAACCGTAGCGGTCAACAACCCGCCATCAAGGGTTTTAAAAGATCATGCAGATTAACCGTGAATAACACAAAGCACAGAATATGTCCCTATTTGCAGGCGGGTGGTTTTACCCCACATTTTTCCACGAGACTGACGCGTTCAAGTTGAAGGCTGGGTGGCCTCGCTAGAGTTGGGACGGTTGAACCAGGGGATCCAACTGCCTCGGTTAGCCTTCTTGCGGGCAGCTTCTTCTTCCTCGGCCAGCTTAGTCTCGCTGACTAGGCGCAGGGGACGCAGTTTGTTCTGGGTCATGACAGCTCCAGTGTAATTGGTCATGCCGGTGCTAGAACGGGGAGAGCTGGAGGTTGCACCGGTAGATGCCGTATCACCAGCGGGGTCGCTCGTGACACTATCCGAGCTGCTCAAACGGCTGTGCTCAGGCTGACTGGAGAGTGAAGGCGCACGGCCACCGGTACTCATACTCGACATGATACTCGCTGAAGAAAATGCGCTTTGGCGATTTCCAGGTCCCATGAGAGTAGGGCTGATCGGCCCACCCGAGTTGCGTCCCCGATACATCTGACCCACGACGGATGCTGCCCCAACGTCCGTTTGTTCAGACCTTGTCCGGCGGTGACCGCGAATTGATCCAGCACGAAGGGGGATGCTAGGAGCTGTCTGTGGGTTCTCGTGAGCGGTCGGCACACTGGTGGGTGGAGGCATATAGCTCGTGGGGCGTGACCGCGGCTGGGTCGAAGGCCGAGGAGGGTTCTGGTTCGGGCCTGCAACGACCGACTTGGCGCGCTGTAGGAAGGTCTGCTGCGCGTCATCCTTCTCAGGGGGAGTTGGTGGAAGCTCTTTGTTGCTGTGCGCAGGCATCGGCTTGGCCGGGGGATCGTTTTCATTCTTGTCAAGGATGGTCTCGAAACCATCATGCTGCAGGAGGCGGCTGATGATCCGCTCGATATAAAGGGTAAGGGCTTTGTTCTGGTCCTTCAGCGCCTTGATCTCCGTCTCCAGCTTGCGGGTGTTGTCTGTCTCTGCTCGAGCATCGACGGATTCTAGCTCGTCAGCCAACGAACCCAAGCCACTGCCAGACTCCTTGACATCCTCGGCAGTGTCCGGGTGAACTTCCCGCATGAAGTCACCCTTTGTGAAATCACCATTGAGGGTTCTCTCACTGAGGAGTAATTGATAGCTCTCATTATCCTCCATCAAGCGGGCATTCGCCATGCGAGCTTCCAGAAGCTCCTTCTCCAGCTCTCGCTGTCTGCCACCGCCCTTGTTCTCCATCTCGACAAGCTTGATCTGGGACTCAGCCAGCTCCAGCCGAAGAGACTCGATCAACTTATCCTTCTGCAAAAGCAGCTTCGAGTTATTGCGGGAAGGGCTTCTCTCAATCTGGGAAGAGGGCGCGAATTGACCATCGACATCCGGTGATGCCCGGTTGCGGAAACTGGCTATAAGGGGCATGTTAGCAGGTTTCCCACTAGAAGAGGACAAAGGAGAAGAAGAAATGATCTTCTTACATGAGCGAGACACACTTTTATCCGAATCAGCAGCATTTGCCCGCTCCTTCTGAGCCAGCGACTCCTTCAGACGCTGAATGGTAGCCTGCATCTCTTCCTCACGACTCGCCTGTTGTTCCTTCTCCTGCAGCATGGCATTGCGTTCCAGTTCGTGTGCCTGTTCGAGGTCGCGAATCTGGCGAACATGGTCACGGATCTCACCATTCAGGGCTTCAATCTTGCTATCCCTCTCATGGCTCTGGTCCTCCAACTTGCCTTGCTCGCTCACCGCCTCATCGAGGCGCATTTGAAGGACACCCAACTGCTTGCGATACTGCTCCGAGGCGGTCTCCGCCTTTTGCAACTGCTCCTTGAGGTCATCAATGAGTGCAGCGGTCTGGGCCCGGGCCTCTTCGTCGGATTGATTGGGCGTAACTTTGGGGGCACTGGATGTGCTCAGGTTGGAGCGACCGGGTTTCCGAGCCGCAGCCCGCGCAGAGACCGGAGTCGAAGCACGCAGGGACGGAGAACGAGTGACGCCATTTGTCGAAGCACTGGGAGATCGAGTGTGCGTTCGCGATGCAGTGCCGCTGGCTGTGTGACTTTCTGCAGTCGAGTTTCTGTTGGAATTGCCCGGGATACTGGGCTTGCGAGGCGTCGCCGACATGATTACCGACAATGGGGTTCACACCAGAAACGTAGAATGATTCCAGAAGACGCAAAGCGGCCCAGAAAGGGGAAGGAGAAGAAAGGCCTCTGGGGCTTTAAAACTGGTATGAAACAGCCGGGAAATTAAGTCGATAAATTTAAGGGACAGCGGCCGAGAGGTTGTAGCGGTCAAAACACAGTGGGCACACTAAGTGACCTACTATCTCGGTGGGGGATGGCTCAGAATGGCTGGCCACGGCTAGCCTCTTTCCAGAAGCACCAAGCAAGGATATTGGGAGAGGGTAGTATTTAAGTAAACGACTGGGGGGAGAAATCGAGGGGATACGATCGCAAGTTAGGGATGAATCCGACAAACATGCGAAAGAAAGAGAAAAAGCTTTGAAGGGGTGGGAAAGCAAAAGGAATAATAATGGGAACAGGTGGGCGCATTAATTGTTCGATTGGGTTGATGGGCACGATGTCCACGGGAGTATGTATGGGAACGGCCGTATTTGGCAGTCTAAGGCAGAGTCTAAGGCCCCAACTTACCGTACGTTACCAGTTGGGCCCTTGTTGGCCTGGGGATCTCTCCGCTCCGGGGCAACTGATTATGAGTCTGTGAGGTATTAATGATTACCAACGTTACATAACCCTTCTCCCCTATTTCATCACCGTTCCAATGACTAACGCCGGACTATGTGTGCTTTGTATAACTCAGTCACTCACTCATGACTGACTTATTCATTCCTCATACCATCTGTCATCGTGGCTCGCCTGGAAAGTGGCAATGCCAACTCCAACTACGGCGACAAGGCAACACCAATACCAAACAATCCAACTGGGGCCCCCTCACCTGGACGATAACACGGGAGCCAACACATGGCAACGTTAAAGATAGTAATTTCTCACCAACCCTCCCTTGGGGTTCCTTGCGGCGCACAGGGTCCAGCCATCTGTCAGTCTTAAGCTGAGTCGACCATTGTAATCCCATCGTCGCAATCACCCCTACCATCCAATCACCTACTTCCGCCCTCAGGGAAGGGGGGCCGGACAAAAGTTACTGTACATCCTGCGCCACGTCCGTAGTGACGGTTCCGGCCATGCATCGAGATCAGCAGGGCTGTCTCCGGGCCACTTATGTAAGGCTCTTCACTCTGCAGGTATCAAATACAGTTACCTGGACTACAAGATGCAGCACTTGAGGTTTGTTTGAAGCTGAATTGTAAGGGTGTAGTTGTTATTCTTGTACTCCCATACGATTTGGCCTAGGCATAGTAGGGGGCGTGGTATAAGGTTTCTCTAAAAGGATACCCAATAGATACATATCTAATAGACCGGTCTTGTGACAGCAGACAAAGTAAAATTAAAGTAATTGTCTGTTTCGTAATTCACACTGCGTTCGCTATTGCTTGTCAATACTCCTCTTAAATAATCTGCTCCGTGACGTGACAGGCCTAGCATCATGCTTCTGTTGGCTAGTATATATCAAGAGGGTACTCCAAATACTATACTATTTCACAACCCCTGAAAAACCCCACCCTGCTCATTGTGTATCAACATATATTGCCTGACCGACCGTGCTGTAAAGCAATGTCCTGATAGACCTATGATTGGGACATTAATAATAACTTTCATAAAGTGCAAGTGGCTACATGCCACGTTAATATGACTTCTCACGTATAGCACGGCTGGACTCCTATGTCTGGCTCCACACCAATCAACAAATAGGTAATACAAACGAAACAATCATCATGGTATGAAGTGGCTCGGACTATGTAGCTTCAGCTGATAGGAAGCTATGCAATGATGCATATAACCTATATATTTACCTCACAAAGCAGCTTCGTAATCAGTGTGCCCATGGTCATACTGGGACTTACTACATATCTGATGAATCAATACTAGGAGCCAAATCACCAGGGAAATGGCAGGCCTAGAACGCAAGAGCCAGCATCACCCCCGACTCTCCCCGGTTCCAATCAACAGTTCGAAATCTACAGTTCAAAATCTAAGCAGCAATATACATGCGCAATATATTCTCATCTACAGCAGCTTTCCAAAGGTTGGTGCTCCTTATTTCGGTATATGACAGCGGCCAGTCATATGAACAGGTCAGCTATCATCGTGTTCTGCAGAGACTGCGAATATTGGTTTCTAGGAACAACAGATATAGGGTCTTAGATCCCCACCACGTGGGAGTTGGCTCCTTACTGACGTCCAGGGCTGCAGTCCGGGCAACGGATTCAGATCAATCTCATGAATGACATAAGTAGTCAGGGGCTGACAATCTAAGAAAGCGAAAGGCAGTCCTGCACTATGCTGGTGAGTGAGAAAGAAGTGAGGGATGTTGCGAACAATTAGTGTTGGCGTAGGAATTATAGAATATATCCGGGTCCATGAGGTACCCATCAGAAGATACGACAAAAGTAGATTAAGACTATGTATCTAGAGGTCCTCAGAGATAAGGTATTTCATACGGCGACTTCTGCTATCGACGTTCATCAAGAGGTAAAGTCTACGCAGTAGATCGGCTTCTTCCTACTGCGAGAACTGTATACTTTCGGTTGCGAATTATCGTTTGAAGCCACTGGAAATAAAAGACTTGTGTGTCAATCTTAAAAGAGTTATATCCGAAGATGATAAGACAATTAGAACGACAATGTACTAAACGCCCTGCCTCCTTCACGTGCACATGTAGCTTAGCAGAGAGGAAAGAACCGGCCTAACCCAAGGCCGCAGGCAACTACCCTCACCGCCCATTGCTGCACTGGTTCAAAGTACATCACGTGATTAACGACCTTGGAAGCGGGCAGCTGAGTCAGCCACCGCGGAACGGAGGAATTGCCGGCCGACATTCGTCAAACCCACAAAAAAAGAGTGGGTGATAGGTTTTCTTTTACCATCCCAATCTCAAAAGACGAGGCCGGAGCGCACTTCTCTCAACAACCACATTAAACCTTTAGGTATGTGGTATTCTCCCGCAAGCCACGGCTGATTGCCCGTTATTTTGATCATGTTCAAAAAACATTTTTTGTCATGGCCAAAAAAGCGGTAGCATTCAGTAGTGGGCTCTGAAATAGCGGAGTGAACAAATGCTGATTAAAATTGATCATGCAGAAGTTTAGTCTTCAGCGTAACGATGGCCCCCAAGAGCAAGAAGACCGGTGACACCATCAACTCGCGCCTGGCGCTTGTGATGAAGTCCGGAAAGGGTATGTTATACCAGAATTTGCCAGTTCAGACATTTTAGACAGTCTCTAATCGAGCCCATCTAGTCACCCTCGGCTACAAGTCCACCATCAAGACCCTCCGCGTGAGTATACCGGATAATTCAGGCAATAGCCGTGCAGAACATCCGTGAATGGTCGACTAATAACGTCAACAGTCCGGCAAGGCCAAGCTGGTCATCATCGCCGCCAACACTCCTCCTCTTCGCAAGAGTGAGCTTGAGTACTACGCCATGCTCGCCAAGGCCCCCGTCCACCACTTCTCCGGCAACAACGTGAGTGACTGCGATCAGATCTTTGGCATCTCTATGGAGTGGGGTCCGGACCTAGTTCTGGATAGACTACTTCCGTAGTGATCGCAACGTAAAACTGGAGTAAACGCTAACATTATGGTGAACAGATCGAGCTCGGTACCGCCTGCGGTAAGCTCTTCCGCACCTCCACCATGGCTATCCTCGATGCTGGTGACTCCGACATCCTGTCCAGCCAGTAGGTGTAAAGCCTAGTCAATGGATTCATGTTATGTCTGAACGGCGGTATGCCATGATGCACAACGTCACGGCACGATTTAGATAATGACAATGAACTTTACATCTATATTGGGTTTCGTTTCTAAACGCTGTAGGATAAGACTGTAGGAGTGATCTGGAAGATAGCACGGTCGCATCACTAAAGAACCGGAGGGAGGAGTGGCAGCTCAACTCCACTTTATGAGTCACGTGATTAAAAGTCAGGCATTTAGACAATTATAAAGCAGCGAAAAGTCATCACATTCCATTCCGCAGTAACTAAAACATGTTTCATTCACGGCTTAGAAAGAACTGATATATCAGTCTGAACAAGAATGTCGGAGTTGCCGTAGTCTTACAAATGCGTCATAGCGGCTACAGAATGTGATTGGCGGAGAGGGTAGGGTTTAGGGCTGTGCCACTCGGTAGCGGGCGCTTGCTTGGAAATCAACGTGGAAAGTGCCTGCGCCCATAATCCCCCTTCCCTTTCGCCTCCCGACACCACCTTTTTCGACAACCTCACCGTTCGCAGGAAGTGCAGCCGCCCCATTTCCAGCAGTCAAGATGGCCCGTCGTCCCGCGAGATGTTACCGCTACTGCAAGAACAAGGTGCGTTCGACCGTTTGATGGATTTTTGTGCGTTTTTGTGGATTTTTTTGGACGGGATTTTGTCTTGTGGGGAGCATTTGTCAACCAACACCAACGACGATACGCGCTACGGAGAGATGCTCAGGATGGATATCATGTCTTGCCCGACGATGGAAGAAAGAAAGATGTACCAGACAAGGATGGGAGATGAATACTGACATGATCCTCGAATGACAGCCCTACCCTAAGTCCCGGTTCAACCGTGGTGTTCCCGACCCCAAGATCCGTATCTTCGATCTGGGACGTAAGAAGGCCAACGTCGATGACTTCCCTCTTTGCGTTCACCTCGTCTCCAACGAGTACGAGCAGCTGTCCTCCGAGGCCCTCGAAGCCGCCCGTATCTGTGCCAACAAGTATGCCGACCCGCCGATTCCACTACGCCCAGCCCTCATGTACTAACACAGATGTTCAGGTACCTCGTGAAGATCGCCGGTAAGGAAGGTTTCCACCTCCGTGTCCGTGTGCACCCCTTCCACGTCATTCGTATCAACAAGATGTTGTCTTGCGCCGGTGCCGATCGTCTCCAGACCGGTATGCGTGGTGCCTTCGGTAAGCCCCAGGGTACCGTTGCCCGTGTGAACATTGGCCAGATCATTCTGTCCGTCCGCACCCGTGACACCAACCGTGCTGCTGCCATCGAGGCTCTCCGCCGCTCCATGTACAAGTTCCCCGGTCGCCAAAAGATCATCGTCTCCAAGAACTGGGGTTTCACTCCCGTCCGCCGCGAGGACTACGTCCAGCTCCGCCAGGAGGGCAAGCTCAAGCAGGATGGTGCCTACGTCCAGTTCCTGCGTGGCCACGGTCTCATCGAGGAGAACATGAAGCGTTTCCCCGACGCCTACGAGAACGTTTCTCAGGCTTAGATGGATGTTTAGCGCTTTAGGACACGAAAAAAAGATTTATTGAACTATTCCCACTTTTCATGTCCTGTTTGTTATCCTTGATGTCATTTAGTCACCGTATGGGGCGGAGTTATTTAACGCGGATTTCCTCGGCTTGCATGGTTGCACAGTAGTATGATACCGTAGGACGATTTCCCACGGTAGTGCGGCGTAGTTCTATCAGCTTTCAGTTATGACAACCAGATGGTAGCCTGTTTTGCTTCTATGTTTAATTTCGTGTGGTCCGGAATGATATCATATCTGTGCTACGATTGACCCAAGGTACTATTACAAAATGTTCTAGTCGCAACACTGTTGAAGAAACATCCATCTGTTAGTAGTCCCTTTGTAAAATGTTGATTTGATATTTTTGACTTGACAAATATCCATATTAGACTACTAGTGTACAGTCTTGTTGGTATGGTTTCTACTCCGTGGACCTAATAGACTTGGTCGTAGACCATGGACTATCTATCCCAGGTAGGCCTGCTGAGAGTTGCACAACCTACACTACTAGTGGTAGTATATGGCGTCCCGCGTCTTCATCCTAACCATACCTTCGAATATTAGATGAGAACTAAGATTGAAACAATCTACAATTCACCACCAGCCATATCAGCATGGAATGGGGATAGAGTATTGAAGCCATGTAAGACTGCACAAGCAGGGAAGACCGAGGGGCTGAGAACTACCCAGTACTACTCCCGTAGACGAACGCCACAGCTGAAAGAGCGGGTAGCAGTCGAGGACTGGAGTGAGTGAGAGCCCCTGACAGCCAGGCTCGCCTCGCCTTGGGCCATGCAGGCAAACACGGAGGATGACATGTCATTGAGATCAGAGCCAGTGGAGCGCGATGGGGTGATCAACACTGGCTGATGCCATGATGGGTTGACCTTTTGTGGAGAAGCCAGTCAAATCAGGAGAGATGCACACCGCGAGGTACGAAGCACCTCACCATGTCGGTGGGTTGAGTTGGCAGCAGTAGAAGAACTTCCAGGGAAAGTACTTCGTACTTGGTTGGTACTTAGCAGCAGCAGTGAGTGGTGATATCGAGACTCGACAGATCCCACAGGCGGGCGTCGATCAGCCGATCCTCGCGATGCAGTTGATCGGATTCGATAGTCAGCGTCACCTCCTCCTTTTTGTCACCCAGGTTTGTCTCTGCCGTATGTATGTATCTATGGGGCTATAATCTAGATGGTTGGTTGGGGGCGCTATTGACAAGACTATTATGAAAAGGCTTTCTTTTCCCTTTCTTAAAGCAGACAAAGACAAAGACAAAGCTAGAATTAGGAGGGTAAATCCTTGGGCTGACTTGGAACTGTGGATAAGATTGTCCCGTCGATGGATTTAAACTTTTTCCTCGTTTTGTTTCAGAGAGAGAGAGAGAAAGAGACAATCCTGCAACTATCCACCCACCGACCCGGTCTGGTGACTGGCATCATCCGGGTTCATTTCGTCCGGTTGACTTGTTCTTCTTGTCTACCATAGTCTACCGTTAGCACTTTTCAAACTACTCCTTCATTAAAGAGGGGAACCATTTCCTGCCAACCCCTCCAAGAACCATGGAGCACTTCTTGCTGGCTTGAACCTTCGCCTTATCTCCTCCCTCCCACGTCATCTCCGACTCATCAGCGAGCGCGAGGCCCTCGCGTCAGCATCACCGCTATCGGACCTTTCTGGACATCTTTACTTTTTCTCCCCCTGCAGGTCTCGAGACGCCTATTCTGCCTGACTGTCCAACTTTTGTGACATTTGGGCTTTGCTTGTGGCTATATAGCCTTTCCCTCCCTTGCCTCCTCGCCATCTGCTTCCATCTCCTTAGTTCCGAACACGGTCACGCGGGGAAGATCCACCGCGCGATCGATAAACTGTTCTTATCTCGCTATCTGCCTGTCCCTCCCTCCCCTCTCCCCCCAAACCAACGCCAGCCTCTTCGGATCATCTTGCTGCTATCGCCCATCTGCCAAGTCAACCCATGGCGTTTCGTCTACCCCCCCAAGTCCCCCGTCGACGCCCTTCCTATTCTAACTCCCTCCCTTCTCCCGCCCCCGATATCACCTCTCCTCTCTCGCTACTACCGGAGAATGAAGCTACAGAATGGGTGCTCTTCTCGCCGACCCAACAACCCTCCACCATCGCCCGCACGCATACCACCTCCACTGATCGCACCCCACGAACACAAGGCGTCTCCCGCTTAAGTGATTTTGGCTCGTTTGGCACGGCAACTCGATCCGCGATCGGCCCAGAAAGCGAGAGCGTGGATGATGCTCTCGATGAGCCGTTGGACGATGATGGGACGGAACTAGATAGTCTAGACGATGGGCTTCACGCCTTTCGAGCCCCGTCTTTGGTCCAAGAAGATCAAGGGGCTCCTGCGGTTCTCCCGGCCCATGATGGACTGGGGAGTTTTCAGGCCTCTAGCCAGGTCGTGCAAAATCAGTTGTGGCAGCACGAACAGTACAACCCCAATCGGAGGCCCGACCTACAGCCACGTCGTCGCTCAAGTGTCCAGCGTCAGTTAGACATGGTCGCAAATGAAGAAGAGGCGGACATGGAGAGAGAACGATGGCAGCGCATTGAGAAATGGAGAATGGAACAGAGCCGGGTATTGTTACAGGAGATCGAGAAAGCAACGCGCAGACGGCGTGATAGTCGTGCCAGTGGCATAACTGACCCCGTTGCGTCTTACCCGACGGTTTCGGACGTTCCAGATGCGGTCCTTGAGACCCCCAAGGAGTCAGAGACTGCTTCGACGGCAAAGCAAGAAGAAGATGGGGACGAGTCTCTGTTGCAGCGAATTACCCGCAAGGTCATCCGCGACCTCATCGGGATCGATGATTCGCTGTTATCGGTGATCTTTGGGGAATCATTGCCCTCCACTGAAGATGACGAGCCAATTTCAGCGAGGGAATATGCATCGAACATCGAGGCACTCAACCAGGAGCTGGACTCCGTGCCGGAAGACCATCTTATTTGGCAGAGTAAGGTGCTGCAACGCATCGCCCACGAGCTGGGGATTCTCGTCAACCAGCTGTGCGAACATCCCGGTGCATTTACGACCTATCTGAACATGTCCAAAGAGATCCCGAATCAGTATGCTGGCATACCTCTCGATCGCGTGCCAGAAGAGGGCGACGCACCTTCTGCTTCGGTGGGTCCTACCAATCTGGAGTCCACCATGAACACCGAATCGGTCCTCTCTCCACACTTTTCGCCTACTCTTGGCGATCCCAGTAGTCGAGAACATGCGGCGCAATGGGGCATCGAGGATGACGATTTCGTACATCGTTCAGCCAGCAATTCCGCGGCTGAACCGTTGGCTGAATCGGCACGGGCCCAACAGGAGAAGGAGTATTGGGAGCGAGAGCTGGATGTTCGGATGGTCTTTCGGTACCTGCGGAACCGATTTACCCACCGGGGCAGCAACAACGACCCTTATCACAGCACCCCCCGCAGAGCCCCGCAAGATGCATCTCGCCGCGCGGCAATCATCCGGCAGCACCATCCGCTCGTTGCCCGAGCGCATTCGCGCTCTCAGGCGCAGATTCGCCGGCAATCGCAGTACTCGCATCACTCCGGACCAACCGGGGTGTCGTCGCCCATCATGCGTCCGCATTACCGTCGCCCCAGTTCTAGCTGTGCCAGCCAGAGTGCCAAGCTGTCTGCTATTTCCAGCCGCCGGACGCTTACCGGTTCCAGTCGCAATTACTGGGACATTGGGGGCAGCGTGGACAGCGGGAGTGCTGTGGCGCCCGTTGCAGCCGGCCTGGGAGGCTGGGGCGAGGTGTGAGATGAGAGCTGGTTCTTTTCATTCTGTCTATAGACCCCTCTTCTTTTGGATATATATTGCACATTGGTTCTTTATATTTATTTCAATAATGACTCTATCATATCTGTTTAGTGTTGTGGTGTTTCTAACCTCTGAACCTTACATACATCGTACATGGAAGAATCGGGGGACGATTTGCATATTTTTTTCTTTCCTTGGGCTATATGTGGGCTGTACTATGCATGAGCCACATGGTCTATGGAGATTCTGGAACATCACATATATATTGCACGCACTGTGGCACTTGTCCGGCTAGAAAAATTTTCCCTTGGGCGGCGATTTTGGGGCGCAGGGGCAATGGGATGCATTTTGCGAATGGGAAAAGGTGCATATCGACGGCGTCCGTGGTAGAGGGGCAGACCTGAACTATGCCTCGGAGCGCATCGGACAGGATCGGAGGAATCAGAGGAGCACACCATTTCTGGCAATAATAAACAAGGGACATGAATGTACATAGTGTGAATGTGTGAGATATCACTCGGACTAATTGCATGCCATCACTAGCTTCGATGAGATAAATTTCAGCTGAAGGACGGCTGGCTCAGCCGCGTCAGGAACAAATGATTTGGAAAAAATAATCATGATCGCGCCTTTAGGCACACAGCCTACTTACTTTGTACAATCTCCAGTAGGAGTTAGCACTGAATCTGCCGGACGTCCCTTGCCACGGACCATTTGCACGCCCCCACTTGCCGCCAGTCGAACCGGAGTGAAGCTATTCAGTTCCCACTTGTCATATCCATTACGGATTGTTCACCACGTCCGCGTCTTCGGTGCTCTGTATGGCTCTTTCCTTTGTGGAATGACAGGCTGTGACTCAGAACCGAAGTTACAGTTAGTCGACGCGCTAATCGGGTGCTGATAGATCCACTCGTCATCTTTGGGCGCTTTAGCACCATGCGACCTGTTCGGCTGGGCTCTACACGAATAAACCCAGGGGTGCCATCCAGGGTTCACCTGAAAGTACATATAAAGAGTAAGTACAGTCGCCCTGCCCTACCTTTTGTAGTCCTCTTGAGTCCTTGCGCAAACCTAGAATCTCCTTGATATTAATACTACTTGCACATATCATTCATGATGATCCTCGACAGTCCACCTCCCACTTTCTCGACCCTCTCTCTAACGGTCAATGACCATCCCCTCAAGCTCTCCACCCTCTATCGCCCCGGGCCGAAACCCGCCATCCTCTTCCTCCACGGATTTGGCTCTTGCAAAGAAGATCTTCACGATCTGGTCTACCTTCCTTCTCTACGAGACCACACCTTGATCGCCTACGATGCACCGGGCTGCGGTGCCTCTGAATCCCATGGTCCCAGCAGCGATCTGACTATCACCTTCCTCGTGGCCACAGCCGAAGCTGTGCTCAAGCAATTCCACATCACCACCTTCTATCTGATCGGGCACTCCACCGGCGCTCTGACAGGCCTCATGCTCGCCGCCTCTCTTCCCCCCACACAATACCAACTGCTCGCCTTCATCAACATCGAAGGCACCCTCTCGCCAGAGAACTGCTTCTTCCCTCGCTCTCTCTACACCGACCTCGTCAAATCCTCCCCCTCCTCCACCCCCGAAGACGACCTCCAGAAACTCATTGCCCACGTCCACTCCACCCCAGGCTACTCACACGCTCTCTACGCCTCATTACTGCCCTCCCGCGTGCGCCCCGGAGCCGTCCGACCCATCGTCACATCCACCGTCGAGCTCTCATGGAAGAACCTCCTAGGACGCTTCCTCCGATTATCCTGCCCACTCATGTACCTGTTCGGGGACCAGAACCGCGAAGTGTCATTTCTGAGTCAATTAGAGACGAAAGGGGTCGAGCTGGCGCAGATCCCCACGAGTGGACACGTCCCGATGTACTCCAACCCGGCGAAGATGTCACGGCGCATCGAGGGATTTTTCCGGGACTGTACTTACGCCGGCAGTAGCAGTAGTGGCAGTGGTGGGAGTTTCTAGCAGCGCAACAGTTTTTACTGGAGTTTCGATTCGATTTTTGTTAGATAGATACCTCGATACGATGTCTCATGATTATTACCCACTACTCACTTACATACCATTTAGACAAGCAATGTGATATTTTCTGTGAATTTGATTGGTTGGTTGATCTACTAGTTTTGTGGAATACGTAGATACCTACGCACTTAGCTTAGCTTAGTTTCCTCCTTTTTCTTTATCCACCTGAAGTGAAGAAATAATAATGATGAGAATTGAATGCCGAGCTGATTGCTTGGCGAGCCACTCACTCACTTTCACCGAAGAATACCCTGCTCAGCTGAACTTCTATCTATCTACTGCACCTGCTGCAGTAGTCACTAACCACTGTGCATGAATTCATCTAGTAGACACCTAGGCAAGATAAGCAACTCCCTTCTCTCTCGATACTTTCCCGGCGTGCGAATCCATCTAGTAGCAATTAAGAACAATATACCTACAGAATACCATCACATGGTAGAGTAACAAACTACAGCGAAAAAAAGGGCAGATTCCGGTCTAGTCTAGAATACTCCGTTGTCTTTCAACCCCACGTCTCCTGATTTTGCCCCCCAACCACCCTGACCAGTCAGCTAGACAAGACAGACAGACAGACAGACACATGTCAAGACAGTGGGGTGTGGATCTACTCCAGTGTAAGTAGGGAGTAGTCTTTCTCTGCCCTCTACGAAACAGGCAAGCAGGCACGTGCTCCTCTGGAGAAAACTCGATGGTGGGAATGAATTGCCCGTCAATGCTGGTTCCGTGGGCCCCCGCTGTGCTGTTGCTTAGTTTGCTTCTTTTTTGTGGGCTGCAGTAGTAATGATTGAATCTATGGGTCGGCATATACATACACACACACTAAATGGTTTAGTGGTATATGGTATGTGGTATTGCAAAATTCAAGCAGGTATGCGGTATGCAGTGGTAAGTTAACGCCAGCGGTAACATTTACCGAAGTTTTTGGCGTTGTGACGGGTGGTGGAGACATAAGTAGTAGACTCGTGGGTTTTTGACTTTAGGCTAATTTTATTTGGGATGTGCGCGTGGGTGATCCTGGGGATGGGATTGGTTGGGGGAGCTTGGACCAGTTTATTTTATTTATTGCCTTACACTATACTAAGTAGGTAGTAGGGAGATAGATTTGGTTTTTGTTTGGGGGGGTTTTTTTTATGCAGTTTTCTTTTGTTCCTCCTGGAGTTGTGTATAGGGATGGAGTTATGGGGGTAGAATACTCTCATTCTTGTTTAATTGGAAAGTGGACATCCAGTAACTAGATAAGGCATTGACGCCCATGTAGGATAGTAGATGGACATCTTCTACGGAATACTTAAGAGACTAACTACTAGTAAGCTCCGGCCGAATCTCCCCGATGCAACTAACCATTAGATACATATCCCGTCGTAATATAACACTGCTCACACTATATTAATCCCGTTCCATATGTAACTGCTGTCTAAGGCTGCCTGCATGCATCACGTTCACATATCTCCTAGGGGTATTGGTCCATCTAGGAAAGGGAAGTTCTCACGCGACTCCTCCCTCCCTCCTTCCCTCCCTCTCTTTCCGCCTCAGGTCAGAACCAGACAGATCTGTCTCACTCTAATCTATGTAGGATGCTCCCAGCATCTACGTCTCTCTTTTCTCCACTACTTAGTAAATTGACAACAGACCAACAAGTAAAGGCGTGATCCCTTCTCACCTACCTAAATAGGTAATATCTCACACGACAGATCACTACACTACTACGTACTCTCTTTTACCCCAACCGTCTTCAACGCTGAAGCATTGCTATGTCTACTTAAGGTAATACTCCGTTGAAGGAATCCAGTTCCAATTAGTCTCTAGTCCTACCTAATCAGTTACTCAAACACACTAAATAGATTAGACAGGTGCAAAGTAAAACTCTATGATAGAAACTAAACCTATTCCCGAAATAAAACACGGATACGTTTTCCCGCCTACTTAGTCTATTATTTAGAGTCTATCTATCTAGCCGTTGAGAATGGTGCTTGCTCCACTTGTCTTTTTCTTTCTTTTCCTTTTTTTTTCCCCGTCGATGAAGTATGCATGCATAAGCCGAGAACTGAGTACCCACGGTATTTATCTAAGTGATGGCCTAGGTAGATACGGTAGTTTCATATACCGAAGGTGTACATTCCACTCACAATATTACCCTTTTCCAGTTAGTAGCATAGCTGAGAAAGACAATACTATCGACTAACTAGAAGCCTAGACCATAATATTAATACATTATCATTACTTCTACCAGTGTATAACATCCACACCTAAAGTTGGTATACTCCGGGAATCCCCCCGGGAGAGGATCGACACCCGTGAGGCGTATCGCCGCTCAACCGTTTTTGCTGTACCCCTAACTCAACGGCTCGGATGAGGAGGGCGGGAAAGGACGGGATGGAGGTGATCTACTATATTTTG